CCAATGCCTTTGCGGGTCGTAAGGCTTATTTAATAATACCAATAAGTACCAATTGATCCAAGATCAATATGTACTCATACTTATTATTGTATTACACCACCTGTGTGAGGAAATAGGAGCACCTGGAGAAAACCCTCGCGTGCGAAAGGGGGCAACGCTCTATCCCCGTACAGATGGATGCAGGTGGAGATGATTCCACGTGCTGAACCGGAATTCTCCTGGCTCAGCCAGCAGGTTATGGCACCTCCTCAAAGCCCCCACGTGAATGGGGGCTTCGCGAGATGTGTGCGCTCCACCACGCTTGGCCATGGCAGGTCGTTGAAGGTGGAGGGAAAGCGGTAGATGTGGAAGCATGGCTCCTTTATTAAAGACCACGGTGAAGTCACGTAACCGCAATGTATGCGTGTATAGTTGTACGTAGGTCGACTCAGCCTCAAATGAGTACATGATGCGGTGTGTAGGAAATATCAACACTGGGGAGACAAAGGCGGCCCGGCGTGGTGCTGGCCACCCACCCCCTCGTGTGGCGTTCTGGCCTTCATAGGTGCTCGCTAACATCACTTGCCACTAGTTTGTTAAGGCTATACAGGGGATCTTTGCCGTATATGAACCAAAGGGATTTTTTTTTAAATAAAAAGGCGTATAAGATTTCGATGCAATGCTTTCGTAAAACTGAATTTCATCACGAGAAGCAGCATGCAACTGTTGCTGAAGCGGAAAGTTTTCAATCGGTGCGCATTTTCTGAGTGAATAGCCAGTTATGGACATGCGGATCAGAGATGTGGATACTGGCAAAGGGAATATAAGAAAATAGGAAATGTGCCAAACAGAAGAGTAGAGAGATGATATATTATATTCTTGGTTCTTTCGGTAAAGTGACTTTACCGAAAGAACCAAGAATATGAATCTCTGCAGTCACGAAAGCTTTAAATCAAAATTTAAAGATGATATATTCTTGGGTCTTTCGATAAAGTCACGTAGATAGGTTCAAAGAAAATAACAAAAAAACTACAACGTTTCGTTCGCAACACAAACAATCGTCATAAAAAAACGATTGCTGGTGTTGCGATCAAAACGTCGTAGTTTTTTGTTATTTTCTTTGAACCTATCTACGTGACTTTACCGAAAGACCCAAGAATATGAATGCCTGCAGTCACGAAAGCTTTAAGTCAAGATTTCATAGAGAGATGCACGGTTGGAATTAAACAGAGACAGCGGAATAGCGCCAACAGCGTTCATTTATGAAAGTGCTACATTTATAAAAGGAAACATCTCAAAGTGATCCAAAGGACATATCGGATCAGGCAGCAAATGCAAGTACCGAGATGTCTAGCCGACTCTCACGAGGAAAAAAGATTGTGAGATGGGGCAGAAGACGGCGCGCGAGAAGGGATGATGGCCCACGGATGGAAACCGTTCACCGAACGGCAACCAAAGAAGAAATGAAATCTAGATTTTAAATTTTCGTGACTGCAGAGATCCATACTCTTTGTTTTTTTCGGTAAAGTAATCATGATTTAATTTGTTTTATACCTACGTGACTTTATCGAAAGAACCAAAAAGTAAAGGAAAAATTGCTCCCCGAAATGACCAACCCCCCGCGGAGTAGCGGCGATGATAATAACGGCTCACACGCCGAAGCAAGATCGACTGCGGAGTTCAAGACCGGCGAGAGTCGGCAGGCGATGGGATTGGACGACGATGAAAATTCCGCTGCAACAAAATTTCCCCCCTTTTTGCAAGGGAGACCTAGGATTTATTTTGATTGTTACAAAATCTGTGCGGCTTGTTTGTTACGTTGATTTTTTTTCTGTTAATTGCATTAATCTCTCTCCCCCTCCCCCCCAGCTTCGCTGGCTACCTATGGTAATGCATGCCTTACAATGATACATTAATCACGGACGGAAGCGTGCTCATCCGAACAAAAATTTATAGGATCAATTATATTGGAAGGAGAGTGGAAACGTACAATTTCCAGTCTTCTACATAGTTTTTTTTTCGCGCAATTTAGTGTTTTCATTATTGTGCTTAAAACCACATATGCAGAAAATCGCACGCGCGGTGCGTAGTACGAGGTTTATAGCTCACCGTGAACGGAGTCAAGTCACCTTGCACGCGCTCTATCTCGAGCAGATCTCGGGAGCTAAACAGAAGTTGTCAGCCTGGTTAGAACTCTTTATTGGGGGACTGCTTGGAGCTACCAGGTTGTCTGCAGTTAGCAGCGACGGAGCTTTTTAAGAGACCCGTGCAGAGCTTCGAGCGTGGGGTTTATCCGTGTACTCTTGCTAACCTCGATAGCAGGGGGTTGAGGCAGTGGGTGAGAGGGGCGGATTGCGTGACCATACTTCACTACAATTGGCTCAGCGCAGGTTGGTGGTGGCGCACGCCTGTAGCCCGGCACCGCGGAGGCGAGAATTGGCGGATCACGCAAACGTTTGCGAGCAACTCCCTTCCCGTGGGCCCTGCGCTAGCACGCCGTGGCTTGCCAGGAAAAGGCAATGCACTAAGTGGACTTATCGCCATCTGTTTCCACCAGTACGGTGGAGTGTATGAAATATATGTGTCTTGAACTTCTTTCGCACCGTACGTAGCCAGCCGCGATAGGGTTTTATCCAGGTGCGCTCCGTTTTCCTCCCACAGGTAAACACTATTTGGCTGAAAAGGCCTTGAGATTAAAATAAACGCAATGAAGCGGCAGGACCCTCCTGACAAAACGTGTCCTCCGACTCAGTGTGGATCCGCTTGATGAATAATCACGTAAGTAACCCTGCCGGGCGAGGAGAAACACTGACTGAAACTTCAACAATGCGATTATAGTTCGCTGGAGCAACCACCACCACCACCGCCGCTGCCACAATCACAACTTGCACAGCCAAACCTTAACCACAATATCACTGCAACGACAGCCAAGGTCTAGCTTCGACACGGATAGCTCGGGGAATTGGCATCATAGTTCGGGTGGCAGGGATTTATTTGGTGATAAAGTGGCGAACCTTATGATAGTAGATTGCGCGGTTTTGACAATCTTGTCGGTTGGTGGAGGATTAATGGCAATCATTTTATCATGAATCTAGCACTTGGCCTAAACCGAAAAACAAATCAAGAAGACAGGATTGTGACTCCCGCTAGAAACGGTCACATAAACTCGAGTACTAGATGTTATACTACCGAGTGTAACTGTAGGAAGTTAGGGCAAGGAGTTATAGAACGTGAAATAAAATTTGAAGACCTTAGAGCAATTTTCGAGAAATCGGCAGCTGTATTGCTTTCTAATACATCAGTTTTATCCAATTAGCATTTTGCCACGCAGATGAACTTAGCCATTGTCACACGCGAGGAATGCAGTGAACAAACAAACAAAACCAGAGAACCCAGACAAGTATCATCACGGGCAGTTTCTGAAGGTGAAATGTGGCGAGTTAAAAAGGTGAGCAAGATGGAGTGTGGAGTGCTTCCGAAAATTGTACTCGGATAGGCTGGTGGACTGCTGCTCTAATAACACGTCACGGGGTCCCTAGTGCGACGCAATTGATGTCTGCGTTTGTGATGCATATGTCACCGATTAGCACACACCCATTCGGTGTCTTACAGTGCACGTGTAAGAGACGGGAGAGACAAGAAGCGTGTCTCGTCTTGCTTCCCATGGTAACTACGAACTGTCGAGAGACACTTTGCGGCCCCTTTCTCCCCCACGTCACGTGCGTGACTCCCATGGCAATTTCACAGCAGCCCCAAACGCAGCAGAACTACCACCACCACCACCACCACAACAACAGTCGTATATGAACGATCCGAATTGAATGTTCGATTAAACAGACCAGTGTTCAAGTCCCGCAGGGGCCACTGGCAGCCCATGGTGGCCTTCAGTACGGCCCCTGATGTGCGCCCCCCGACAATACACACATCGTGAAAACACCCCCCATCATCATTATTATCGTGCTGTTGTCAAACCCCCACCTGAAGACGGAAGCTTGTGTTGCCTCCGAAACGTCGTGATTTTTATGTTATTTTTATTCTACTTTTATTCATTAAATTTTTTTTCCTACGTGACTTTACCGAAAAAACCTAAGAATATGAATCATTGCAGTCACGAAAGCTTCAAATCTAAAAATAAACCCCCAACAGTTTAAAATGGTGTGGCGGCCCTCACACACACATGCTGATGTCTTCTCGCCGAAAATGGCCCACCTCTGAAAATTAGTTAAGAACATTGAAATATAATATGTATGCTTCTTCGTCAGCCATGAGCTGTCCACTGCTGGATGAAGGGCCTCACTCATCCGTCGCCATTTCTCGCGATTGCAAAGATGCATCCGCCTGCAGCGCACGAGTTGAATTAATCCGCTCCATCTCCTTTTGGGCGTGTCAACCCGCCTCCCCGCTCCTCTGACAGCCACTCCGTCGTGAAGATCTCGGCCCCCAGCCGTCATCCCTTCCCGTGACGTTTCCTGTCACTTTTCTACAGCAAATACGATCTTCTCCAACGTGCAGCAGTTATCTTTCTGTGCCCGAGTGCGATTGCAAGCGGGGACATCGCGATGGTGGTTTTTATTTCCTTTCAATCATGCGCTATGAAGGAGGGCCATTGCACAACATCACCTGTTATATATTTTGTTTGTTTCCTTTGAAGGAAAAAAAGTGTTGTAAGACGGGTGTGTTGAGTTTCATGCTTTTCGGACCACTCTTTTGTTCGGGATTTCCTTTGGGAGATGCCCACGCTTCTGAACGACGTCATCGCGGGTAATGTACACCGATGGCCCCTCCCGACAAGACATGTCCGACGTTTCGCTCCGCACGTTGGGAAGCTTCTTCGTCAACCCTGTGCTTTAAAATAAAAAAAAAACTGAGCCACCGGTTTTGCCGGATGCGGTGTGCCAAAATAAACCTGCTTTAAAAGCCGCGTGTTTGCTTCAACCCGCTCCTGTAAACGATATACCTACGTCAGACAGGTGTGTGTGTGTGGGTGGGGCTGCTGTGGGTGGGTGCGTGTGTGCGTGCGACTATATATGTGCCGGCTCTCAGGTGGATTCTATCCAGTCGCCCGTGGGCAAGCGAGACGTTATTTAAGCAACGACACCAACAGCAACTGCCAGGTAGGAATAATACAATAAAACCCCACGCGGCGCGATGCTTCTGTACGTTTGATGTTTTCAACGCGAACTGTTGGACACGTACCTAGCCCCTCTATACACCGGTACTCATAGGCGGAGTTTGACTTCTATATTTGGGGGGGGGGGGCAGGATTTCGCTTTGTCCTTCACAGGGATCGCGGGGGCATGTAATGTATTTATTTAAAATCTTAATTTTTAACTACTGAAAATAAATGTATAAAGTGGAGTTTGGGTGGGGGGGGGGCACAGCCCTCTCCGTGCCCCCCACCACCCAAACTCCACCCATGCTAGTACTGTATATAGCTTTATATACATACACACCGTGTGTCACCTGTAAAGATTACATACAGATGTGTATGTATGTACGTTGAACTTCTTTCGCAGCGTACGTAGCCAACCGCGGTAATTATCGTAGGCGCGGCGGGGGGAGGGAAACAAAACTCGACGCAAAAATTGGTTTCTAAAGAAATGAGTTTTCAACCTGGGCGATTTAAAAGTGCAATAATAGCTCCAGTGGTGTCCTAACATGGCTCCCTGACAACCACTGCATTGCTTGACCGACGGGTGATGGAACGCATGAAAACAATAACGTCACCCGAACGCAGTTCGAGAAGATAAAGTGGTGGTGGTGGTGGCCTTGCTAACACAAATAAAAATGTGTCGACGATGACTTTGCTCACCAAAGGGATTATTGGAATTATGCGTTCGAATATTTCGGCAGCCATCGCGAGACCTCCTTGTAATGAATGCTCGCAACGTGTTACACGTCCTTTTGGATGTCACCGTCAGTCCCGTCCCTCCCTGCGCCTCGCGACCGAAACATTGTACGTATGTAATAATATAGCAAGGCGTGCGTGCGTGTGTGTATATGATGCCTATATATGAAGCCAAGGAATGGAACGTGTCCCGAGAGCATACAAGACGCGCTTGGCATCTGATAGAGAGCTGACACTCCGCACAAATAGAGTCAAGTTTATGCGCTTAATCTAAAGAAAACGATCCCTAAAATTCGTCGTTATCATCTTTAGCCGTCAAAATGTTCAGCCCGTAGGGCGACTGGGATGCACTCAGGGTAGGGGCAACCAAAAAATGCTGTCCGCATTTGCTGTAAGGCTAATGTCAAACGCACAAATGCAATGTCCGTGCTAAATGCTTACACGTTTACAATCTCCATCGCCGGTGAACCCAGTTAGTAATCAGTCTCCCGTGCAGTATGTGGATGAGGCCGATAGAAAGCTGCCTCGGCCTGCTGCCACCGGTTGGCAAAGGAGACGATGTGCTGATCGTCACGGGATGTGACTGGACCTACAAGAATGCGTCTTGTTACCGACAGCCACCTGTGTGGGTTGTAGAATTTGAAAGGATTTGTAATTTTATCGTATTATGATGTGGCGTGTGTATTTGATGTGTGTAGGGTATAGTGGCATGCGATTATTACCAATTAAAGTACAATGATATATTGTGTAAGAAGATATAACCTGCGCGGTGGGGGCAATGTATGACAGATCCACGCGTTAAAGCTTTCGTGACTGCAGGGATTCATCTTCTTGGTTCTTTCGGTAAAGTCACGTAGAATGGAAATAATAAAATAATAATAATAAAACATAACAAAATAATTCTCACGACGTTTCGGCCACAACGCAAGCAGCCGTCCTCAGGTGAAGAACAGGACTGTCGAGAAGACAGACCTGTGAAGACAGAGTCAGACTCTGTCTTCTCGATAAGACCTGTTCTCCACCTGAGGACGGCTGCTTGCGTTGTGGCCGAAACGTCGTGAGAAGTATTTAATTATATATATATATTATTTTATTATTTCCATTCTACGTGACTTTACCGAAAGAACCAAGAAGAAAAGATCCACGCGTCTAAATTTCGTGTTCCGAACTTTGGGCTGCTCGGTGGCCACGAGTGGGATTCGTCTCGCAAAACTTATCCTTGAATCCATCTGTGTGGAACATTGTGCGTTCGAGGGGCCGTGACGTGCCCTGGCGATTCAGGGTCCGGTTACATTCGGCCGCCCTGCTGTAACCTTGCTTCAAAGCGTGGACGTTCAAGATGCCGTGACCCCCCCGTTCTTCGCGTGAATAGGAGGGCCCATCCGTGTGCCGATGTCACGTTCCGATTAATTATTTGTCGCCAAATTTAAAGAAAAAAATTCCCCGCAAAAATTACCCATTTTGGGTTATACTTGGCAGGACCCTCATGCAAAGTGAGCAAAAAGAGGGCTAATTATGATAATTAATCATAAACTAAATGAAAACCTTGGGCAACGTCGAGATTCTCAAGTTTCCTCCCACATGCCTATATTGTAGAGGGTGGCCGAGATGTCTTGTGACCCCCCCCCCCATCCACAATTTAATTCTACAAAACGTAATGTTTTTTGCATAATGGATGTGAAAACAGAAATAATTAAGCAAAGGGGGGGAAAATGTTAGGGGTCAATAGATAAAGTCCACAACAAACAGAACAAGTGGTGTTAGCGAGCACCTATTGACAAGGCCCCTGTACAAAGCACGACAGAGTGGTGTGGTCAGAACCACTCCCGGCCGCCTTTGTCTCGCCAGTGTTTTTTTATCCCTCTATGCCCGGATAATTATTTAAGGCTGAGTCAACCTAGGGGGGGGGGGAGCAGGGACCAGTTCAGATAGTCGTCGCCGGTTCTGGTCGTGAATCGAACCCCGGGGGTGGCCGGGTTCGTAGCGCAGCGTAGCGCTAACCGCTACACTACCGCTCCCCACACACACACACTCCACACACACACGCCACACTCACACACCACACACTCACACACACCCTCACCCACCACACACACTCACACCACACACTCTCACACCACACACACTCACACGCCACACACACTCACATCACTCACACGCCACACACACTCACATCACTCACACCACGCACTCACCACAAACTCACGCCACACCCACATCACACCACCACACATATGCCATTCACACACCTCACACACAACACACTCACACATCACAAACTCACTCACTCACACCACACACATGCCACACTCACACACCACACACCACTCACGCCACACACACCACACATATGCCACATTCACACACCTCACACACACCACACATCACACTCACACCACACACACATCATACCACTCACACTCACACCACACGCACACACCACACACACACCACACACCCTCCCACGCAGGCCTAAGCCATGACCGCCTTCCGCGGCGTCTGGACGCAAGCCTTCTGGCGCTGCGTGGCCGCCGAGTTCGCGGGCACGGCGCTCTTCCTCATGCTGGCGCTGGGCTCCGCGATGCCGTGGCCCGACACGGCCTCGGACCCCCTTCGCACGGCCCTTGCCTTTGGCCTGAGCCTCGCCGCGTCGGCCCACGCGTTCGGCCACGTGAGCGGCGCGCACCTGAACCCTGCGCTCACGGCGGCGATGGCGTGCATGAGGAAGATCACGCTGGCCAAGGCCGTGGTGTACATGCTCGCGCAGTGCGTCGGGGCCGTCACGGCGGCCGGGCTCGTCTACGCGGTCACCCCACCCGAGGCACGCGGCGATATGGCGGTCACGCAGGTGGGTCAGGGGGTCGGGGTGGGGTGGAGTGGGTGGTGTGGGTGGGTGGGAGGGAGGGAGGGACGGGTGTGTGGGGTGGTGTGTGAGGGAGGGAGGGGTGTGTATGGTGGGGTGGGTGGGAGGGGCGGGGTGGTGGTGGTGTGGGTGGGAGGGGCAGGGTGTGTGTGGGGTGGTGTGGGTGGGGTGTGTGGGGTGGTGTGGGAGGGAGGGGCGGGGTGTGTGGTGTGTGTGTGGTGTGTGTGGTGTGGGTGGGAGAGAGGGGTGTGTGTGGTGGTGTGGGTGGGTGGGAGGGGCGGGGTGTGTGTGGGGTGGTGTGGGTGGGATGGGCAAGGTGTGTGGGGTGGTGGTGTGGGTCGGGGAGCGGTGGGAGATGGGATTGGATATTTTCTATGGGACCTAAAAGAGTCAACAGAGCGGCTTACATCGTTTGGAAATCCATAGCAGCAAACCAATCAAAAATTCCATCCATCCGTGAATGAAACAATACGAATAGAGAGTACACATGAGAGTGAGTGTTTGGGAAAAGTGAAAAGAAAGTGAGGATTGCGTGCCCAATCAGTCTGTCATTCATCTATTGAGGCAAGTGGGCAAGTATGGACCCGATCTTGCCTGTGTAGCTAGTCGCCACAATTTTTTTTTCAAGTGACATTTTAGTTTGTATCGTCCCATGGGACTTGTGGAGGAATGATTTCTCTGTAGCTTCTTCAAGCTCTCAGGCGGCATGCAGACTCTGCCGAAGACTTGGAAATTATCTCGCGCAATGCAAATTCCGAAATAAGTTTGATCCACGTTGTAAGTGTAATTATCATTGGATCACCTTCACTTCATTTCTATGCAAAGTGATGGCAGCCATCATTAACAATCGGCTCTTCAATCACTCTGAGTTCTTATACTTTGTTTCGTGAATATCAGGATGGGCTATGTGCCCCTTAGCTCCTGCAAGCCAATCTTACACCTTCAACCATCAACTCTGGCATCCCGCAAGGATATGTTTCATCCACAATATTACTTCTTAATGCCTTGTTGTATTCCGCTCACGATCTGATCCACTCATTTGCAGATATCAGTACACTCCAAGCATCATATTTGTTTAACTAACAAGCTGAGAGTTGTCGACACTTTGCTGCCTAACGCACAGATTCTTCACTGTCAATATCCACCGACCTGAATACAAGTCTCGATTTGGTTACAAAAACCTGAGCATGTTGAACAACAACAAAACACCCAATCAGTAACAATATCATGGAAGACTGTCAATTGCACAGTTCCTGCTACCGTTTAACAGTGAACAGGCTTATCCGTAGTTAAACGATTAATATGCTTGGCACAAAATCTCTCCGCACCCGTTGTGGACCGGCTTTGTGACTAATCTGGCCTGAGGGGCTGCGCTCAGCAGCCGTGGTTTAAACAACAGCAAAAAGGTGATGGTAGTGGGAAGGTGGAAAATCATTCTGGAGTTTTCTGTTTAATTTAAAGCTCCTGGAAAACATTGGCCCAAATGGCACTAAGGCGCTGGGGGACTAAATGAAGATCTGTGCTATCTGATTGCTGTGTTCAAGTACTGTAATCGATTACTCTGCAGATTGTCGGTTCGATTACTCTCACGACTTGTGCCGGTGGACGGGAGGTGACGGGCAGGGGAGCATGGAGAGGTCATCGGCACAGTCAGCCGTGTCGCGCTGGGTGGGGCTTGTGGGGGGTTTCCCTCCTTCTGGAGGCCAGATTTGGGTGGCGACCACCAAATTTTAAAGGGGCCCAGGGTAGTCGACCACCAAAGAATAAATTACAACGAATAGGGTTTTCCCGCTTTTTCTGGCAACAAAAATGACACCTTTTGCAAGGAATCATGTTTACATTAACCACAATACTTGCAGTCAAATGCAAACAAAAAACAATACTCTGATAATTTATGCATTGTCCTTGAAACTGATTGGTCCACACCAGAGACAGCTTTCTTTAGAGCCTAGTCTCATATGGTGTTCGACCAGATGACGCCAAAAGGCGCACAGTTCAAAGACAACGCACTATCAGAGTAATGAGAGCTCGGGTGAGCAGCTACATCATGGGACCTCCTTTGCCAGTACCAAAATATACTAATAGGGTTTTCCCCCTTTTTTCTGGCAACAAAAATTACACCTTTTGCAAGCAATCATGTTTACATTAACCACAATACTTGCAGTCAAATGCAAACAAAAAACAATACTCTAATAATTTATGCATTGTCCTTGAAACTGATTGGCCCACACCAGAGACAGCTTTCTTTAGAGCCTAGTCTCATATGGTGTTCGATAAATTACAACTTTAGTCGATTTATTCAACCAATCGTTTTAACTATAGACTCCCGTTTATTCCTTTGTGGTAACGTGAGCCTTGTATAGTTTAAATACAAAATTTCCTACAACACAGCACGTGATTTATATTTTAAACATATATTTTTTAACGATTTTTCTGATTCATCTTTTTTTTACGAGGCCAAAAAATTATTGGCGCGTGCGGCGTTGGGATTTTCGTTCGTTCCCGCACGTTAGATTACCTTCTTCCACGTCGCCCTTGTAACAGAGCAATGCCTGTCCGAGCCCACGCTTTATTTAAGCGCGTGATTGATTGCATCGTTCGTTGACAGCTCCAGTTACTTTGTCTCCTTACGGGTTGCCATGAATCCGTATACATCTTAATGGGTTTTGAGACACGTTCTTGTGAACAGTGTCATTGAATGGCTTTTACTCTTATATAACCGGGCTCGGTTAAATTCAATGTTCACCTTTATTTAACCAGGTCCGGCCGATGCCCTTTATTCAATCAGCTCTAAACGCAACCAGATTTACTTTGATTTATCACCATTTAAGCCGACGAGATGGTGCAGCGTCACCGGCGTTCGATCACCAGTGGTGTCTAACGCCAGCGGCGATTTACACCCAACGCTGCCCCCCCAAAACTGTTGCTCGCCTGCACTGATCAACCGCGATGAAGTATAACAAAACTACTCCCGTGACTCGGGAAGCATGGGTCGGCCTTCATTCGGCAGTGAATTGAGAAAGGGATGTACATGTTTCGATTTAAAGCTTTCGTGACTGCAGGGATTCATCTTCTTGGTTCTTTCGGTAAAGTCACAGACCTGTTCTTCACCTGAGGACGGCTGCTTGCGTTGTGGCCGAAACGTCGTGAGAATTGTATTATGGTTTATTTGTATTATTTTATTATTATTTCCCTTCTACGTGACTTTACCGAAAGAACCAAGAAGAGGATGTACATGTTTTATGATTATTATACACTAGGCAAGAGGCCAGGGAAGATTTCATTATTGCCCACTTATGTATATAAACTCGGCACATGCATCAATAACTGAGGGATCTCTCTGCTTAGAAGAAACGCCTTTTCGTGGAAAGGCCCCGATTGTGTATATTGTTTTGTCTTTTATAGTTTGGGCGTTGTTATTGATTATCGCGTTTTTGTTATCTCTGCCTGTGCACCACTGCAAACGCAGTATCACAAGCAGTGGTTAGTGATGTGCAGGGTTTAGTTAGCAATTTACCAAACGCCCGTCTATTGAGCGGTGCTCGGGACACACATCTGACAGAGACGGTCTAGTTCACCAGCATTGGTTCGAAGAAGCGGCTGACTCTGCTGATGAGACAATGGATGTCAGAATCAGTACAGAGTCTTAAACCAATGCTGCTCAAATTATATACTCTCAGAATGCCGTGCGGGATGTATAAAACAATACTTTTATTTATGCGAAGGAGTCACCATTGCTGATTTATTATTGTATCATTTGAGATAATTGTAATGAAGCATAACAGCCTGGAGTCTAAACCAAGCCTTCCTTGCCCAAGACGCGTTCCATCGCCGTGTTTGATCTGTGCATGACTGTACAACACAGCTTGAGGATGTGGTTGCACTTTGCATAGCTTGCCTACAATACCGTACGAGCCAGCAACCACTGAACTGTATTCTAGGGAGAGTATCCTCTGACCAAATCACCTGGAACAATCCCATCAGATCCTGTCACATTATTACCCAGGTTGAGCCTGGGTAATGATTTGATGGGTCCACCTTTGTGGACAAACAACAACGTCAGAACGTTGGTCAATAACACTGTGGCCTTGAAGGTAACATATTTCATAAAGAGGCTACAATGACCCTTCTTCATATCACGTAAAAAATGTTTTATTGTGCTATAAAGAAGGCCCATTGGCTGAAACGCCACCTATTATATATATGGTTTTCCTTTTAAGAGCACGGTGTTATTGACGAATGTGTAGAGTGTATTGTTACTCGTGCCTGCGCACCAGTGCCAACGCAGAAATCGCCAAATAATACCGTTGACAACCAGGTTGTTGCAGGCTGTGGGCCTACGAGGTGGGCTGTAGAGGGCTAAATTCCTCTTGATATGCAAATTCCTTTTGTCAAGGCGCTCTTCCCCCTCCAACCCAGCTTAAATATACGCTGCCAAGCCTGGTGGTGTTCATTCAGACGCTGTCTTTCCGACAGACCTGTTCTTCATTGAGGACGGCTGCTTGCGTTGTGGCCGAAACGTCGTGAGAATTATTTTATTATGTTTTATTTTTATTATTTTATTATTTTCCTTCTACGTGACTTTACCAAAAGAACTAAGAAGAAGAAAAATATATTGTTTTACAATTAAGTCGGGTCGATATTTTTTATAGGGTAACAGATTCGACTGTGCTGTTCTTGTGTGGACAAATTCAGCTTTCAATTTTTTTGGTTTCACTTTAAGATCATTAGAATTGATATCAGTCTTAATTTTGGATATGTGTCCTCTCTCTGTGTGTCCTTGTGATGTCTGTCTGCTTGTATGTCTGTCTATAGTTTTCTAGTTAGATTTTTGTTGCTATTTCTTTTATGCCTGATGATGATTGCTTGTGTTGCAATCGAAACGTCGTAATATGATATCAGTCGCCCGGTGTGTGGGAGTGTGTGTCAGCGTAGGTGCCACCATGGGTGCCACGCTGCGCTACGAACCCGGAGACCCGAGTTCGATTACCGCTCACGGCCAACAGCAGTCACGATTATTTGAACTGGTCTTGGGCCTCCCTTTGGTTGACTCGGCCTCAAATGAGCACCCAGTGCGGTGTGTGAACATCGCCACTGGGGAGAAAAAGGCGGCCGCTTGTGGTGCCTTCATAGGTGCTCGCTAACAGCACTTACCCCAAGAGTTTGTTCAGACTATACGGGGCATCTTGTCTTGGTCTTGCCACGGTGGCGAGATGTTAACTACCTCGCCTGGTATGCAGGAGGTCGTGGGTTTTATGCCGACCCTGACTCCTGTTGCATGTTCTCCCCGTGGTCACGTGGATTTTCTCCGAGTCCTCCGGTTTTTCCCTCCACATTTATAAACAAGCGTTTAGATTATTTGGCTGCTTTAAATTTCCACGTGATAAGCACACTTCGTTGAGCTACCATTTGTGGCCAGGTCGCTTCTGAAAAAGAGCTGTGTCGCTCAGTGGGCCTTACCTGGTCAAATAAAAACATAGTTTAGTGTTAGATGAAGGCATTTGGTTCTACCGCTTGCAGCGTGGTGCTACACGGTCGACAGAGGATAGTGCTGACAAATCTACTGTTGTACAGTACCAAGCTCCAGTCACTATGCTCCCCACCTACCAGCCGACACGGTGAGATCCGATCAGCAAAGCGGTGAAATATTGTCAAGTAGCCCCCCATTATCCGCACTGCGTTGGACGGTCCCTCGCTACAACAGCAGTGGATTGACAAAAGTTCCTTGTACATGTAGGGCGAGCCAGGGCTATCGTGTATATATGTGTGTGTGCACAGAGCAAAGAGGTTTACGTTGGAGGCAAAACTAAAAAACGGCCACTTGGAATGTTGCTTTGCAGGTTGACCACCAACATTGCGTCCTGCTGGAACACGCACTCCCCCACTGCCTGCCTCGCAGCACCACTGCACCCCAAATGCCAAACATGTAACTGCATGTCGGCACACACACAACAACTCCTTCCATGACAACCTGCAAATACAAAGATCCCCCCCCCTGTAGCCCTAACAGACCATTGGGACAAGTGCTGTTAGCGAGCGCCTATTGAGGCCGCCATGGAAAACGAGGGGGTGGGTGTAGCAAGCAACATGCCCGGCCGCCTTTGTCTCCCCAGTGCTGACGTTTGCAGGCTGAGGCCCAGCACCGGTTCAGGATGTTCGCCACTGTTATTCGGTCGTCGCGAGCCGGGAATCGAACGCCGTTCCCAGCGTGGCGAGCTGACGACTGATGTGCCACCACGCACGCACACGCGCACCATCCCAACTCACACACGCGTGTTCCCCTTCCCTGCTGCCCCCCCCCCCCCCCCCCCCAAGCTGCACAAGTCGCTGTCTGCGGGCCACGGGCTCCTCATCGAGATGATGATCACCTTCTTCCTGTCCTTCACCGTCTTCTCCACGTGCGACCCCAACCGACCCGAGCCGCGCATCCCGGGCTCCGTCGCCGTCGGGGTGGCGGTGATGGCGGGCCACCTGTTTGCGGTAAGCGACGTCCCGCTAATTAGAAAAACCTATAAACTAATTTGTTTTATTTTACAAAGCCCCCCCCCCCCCCGACCGGAGCTATACATAGTTCTTTTTCAGAAGTGGGCCTGCCTTTCGCACCAAGCTGGCTCATCGAAGTGGGTTGTCGCGTGGAAATTTTTAAGAAGCCAAATACTCTTGATGTTGAGTCAAAACGTGGAGGAAAAAACTGGAGGACCCGGAGAAAAATGCACGCCACCACGTGGAGAACATACAAACTCGAAATATACAGCAGGCATGAGGTTCGGGATCGAACCCACGACCGCCTGCCTACCAGGCGAGATAGTTAACATCTCCTTGTCACCGTGGCTCCCGGCGCCAATCAGTGGCGTGGCGTAGTGTGGTTGGCATGGGCCCTGGTGGGGTCCCCCACCTCCGACCCCGCTTGCTCTTCATAGCCCGGCACTTGTGCGCCTCTGCCTGCCTGCGCCTGGGTGCAGGCGCTACGCTTACGTGTCCAAATGTGGTTCTGGTGGCAAATGCGGTCGCAGATCAAATACGGTCCAAGGTCACCGACAGTCTTCGAGATCCTCCGAGGACTCGTTCCCTTCCTACACAACGCCAACTTGTTGAATGAAAGTTTACCCAGAAATGGTTCCAGAAAACACCATGAGAATAATTCATTTTAGTAGCCCAACTGCCGTTTCCATTCGGGTTAGGGATCTCAGGAAACATAAGCATCAGAGGGAGGGACTTGCACGTGTTTAAAATTCCTGCACCTTTTAAGACAATTAAAACAAAAGTAATTCTCTTTATCATAGGATTTTAAAAACGTATTTTCATTTGAGTGTCTATTTGGCTTTTGCTGTCCAAGTTAAAAAAAAACGTGCTTCCCAAGGAGGCTACACCACATATGAACCTACAAGGGGGTTAATGTTTGTCCAGCACTCAACGATAACACTGTTGTTGTAAGTGAAGACGAGACTTGTATTCAGTCCTGCCAGCTGAACTCTTTCGCACCGTACGTAGCCAACCGTGCTGCGAGGTTGGCTACGTACGACAGAGTTTGCCCTCTGTCCTTTTTCGGGTGTGATCCCCACCAGAAATCCAGACAAGGCCACGTACCGACATGTAACTGGTGCTATGATCGCCGAATAATTAGTTTCATAAAAGCCAATGAACTTGGGCAGGACGTGTCGTCAGTAGGTTCGATGGCCAACGGTTAAGAATAAGAACCAGAACACACGCGATGAAATCATTTCGTGTGCAGGCACTTGATGTAAGCCGATTCCATCACTCCATCTCCACCGTAGATGCCCAACGCTGGTGTGTTCCCTCCTTTGTCCGCCACTCCGTCGATCGTGGGTGTATCAACAGAAAGACGTAAGAGCGAGGGTTGCAGCGGCAATATTATCTGGAGAAGCAAGCAAATTAGCTACAATTCCAAACTGAACATCTTAAGAACATCCGTGTTCAGTACAGCTTTGTATGCCTGCGAGACTTGGACATTGAAAAAGACTAACGGAGATAAGATATCGGCATTCGATATGTATAGCTACAGAAAGATTCTGCATCTAAACTGGACCAAAAGAGTGACTGACATGGAAGAAAAAGGTTGCACGTAGAAGAAGACAACCTGGTGATGCAGGCAGTGATGAGAAATAACTGTTTGGACACCTACGTAGGATGGGCAACAAGAGGAAAATGTATCGTGTGTTGTTCAGAAAAATGGAAGGAACCGGAAAGAGAGGAACACCTAACGGAGAATGGCTTCACGATGGTACGAGAGATTGGCGCTAGAAAGATGTGGCGCTAATTGAGTGTATTGGCACAAGACCTCTTGGGACAGATATTTTGCTGTGACAGTTTCACCTGAAGACAGAAGCTTGTGTTGCCTCTGAAACGTCGTGATTTTTATTGTTTTATTTTTATTAATTTTTATTTCATTTTTTTTACCTACGTGACTTTACCGAAAGAACTAAGAGTATAAATTACGAAATGTGCAGTAGACACCTCCTGGCTGTCTGCCCATGGATCGTGATGATGATGATGATGCCTCTGGGTGTTTTGATTTAGCATGCTGGCCGACGAAAGAGGTGCTCACGGCTATTGCCAGTGTCTCTCGCATGGAGGTGGTGTGAAACCGGCATTTGGTCAAGGGGGGTCAAGGTCTCTGCGGAAATGCGCCGAGAAGTTTCCACTTGGAAATGGTCCCGTGCCGCCGTTGAAAATGTGAAATTTGTGGATCATGAGGTTTTTCGGTGGCGCTTGCATACAGGGCTGGAACGGTGGCGTGCAACGCTTAGTGCATCCAGTTACGTGAGAGAAACGTTCGCGCAATGTACGCACGTAATCGATGCTCACAATCATAATTACAATGCATTGCTGTTGATCAAATCGATCGATAGTTGCGTTGCACGGTGAAAGCATAAACGCAATTAAACTCCGTCCGCCGAGCGGGAAAAGAAAAGTAAGAAGTGTTTGACAATTTCCAGTTTTTCAACATCGCTAACAGACCGGTCTAAATCCATTCAAGGCGATTACAATTTCACTTGGCCGCCTGCTCAATTGGACTCAAGTTCATTTAGCCGCGTGTCGCTTACGGAGCCGGTGGAAGGGAGGGCTCTGGCGATGCCTCCTCCCTCGCCCCTCTCGGCGAACGCCGAATGGAGAGCCCCGGCACTTAATTCCCCGTGCGATCGCAGCATCACGTCTCGTCCTAGTAACCGACCCGCTCGATTTTGCCCTTTATCTGCCAAGCGGCCACTGGTAATCTCCCTTCCTTCGACTCCTCCGCGGTTCATCCCACCTCCCCCTCAAATCCTCCTACCCCCCCTCCCCCCCATCCACCTTCCTCGTCCTACTCCCCACACCGCCCCTTTAACTCGCCATCCTTTCCAATCACCCCCCCCCCCACGCCTCCCCGCCCCCCCCCCCGCACCACGTGTGAATCTTAACGAGGTGTCATATCGGAGCACCCAGCATGGGGCTTTATGATTTTTTTGTTCTTTAAACACGAAAATCGTCGTCCTCTCTCACACACATTTTTCTTTTTAAATCCCATTTGTGCCAACGGGAGTGGTGTCACGAGACGAAGCATCAGTCTGGAATCGCTCGGGAGAGCGGCGCTTCGCCCCCTGTCAGAGAGCCGTCACAGTGCGCGCGTCAAGCCACGTGTCTTAAGAACCGCGTGGTTTTATTTTTGGTTCGAACACGACCCCCTGAAGCCACAAGAGGCCGCTACGTATCGGTGAATCGGCAGAGACGTGGCGGGCGTCCGAGCGCGGGGGGGGGGGGGGGGGTGGAGGCGTGGATCGTTACACCCACAATTGTTGTAATTGTTATGATAATAAGGCTACGGCCCACGGCCACACTTTGAAATGTCCCGCAAACCGATATTTATCTGTCACCGAGAGCGTCGCAGCTGCTCTGATCGGGCACTCGAGGGGAATCATCTGGGGCCGGCAGCACGCCCAGTGTCCCCCTAATTCCCATTCGCGCTGAGTCACCTGTTGACCTTCAAGTGTTTCTCGGCCGCACACACACACAGCGAAATAGCGTACAGTCCTCACGCGATTCAAGTCTCCGCGGTGGCTCTTGCGCGCCTGTAGACCGGCACTGTGCGGGCGAGGGTTGGTGGATCACGCAAGTGTTTTGCGGAGTTCCCCGTGGGTGTCGAGGGGCCATGCAATGGCGTGTCAGGAGGAGGAGGTACGGCAGAGAGCAGACTGATTTTCTCCTAAAACTCCCTTCCCATGGGTCTCGAGCAAACATACCATGGCACGCCAGGAGAAGGCGGTACGGCAAAACGTGGACTAATATCATCCCTCCTTTCCGTATGGGATAGGGTATTGCTCCTCTCACGTGCATGACTTTTCACCTGATGCTCTGGTTCCCTCCCCCCCCCCCCCCCCCAATCTGCAAAAACACTCAATAACTGGCTAAAAATATCTTAATTGGCAAATTTGTGACCGCAAGATGCAATTTGTATGAACGACGACGACGCCACACGGTATACAACGAGAGCACTGCCTGAAAACGTTGTGAATCTTTACCGCCAACGAGCGCGTGGCCCCCGCCAAATGGTGTATGCAAATTCTATTCGGCCATCTTTAATGATATCACATTGCGAGGCGAGCAGTTCGCGAAAGGCGTGCCATGCCGACCGGTACGTCGATGGATCAGAGTATTTATTCGTACTGAAGGAATCCGATGAGCTATAAAGATCTATTTTCACAGATGTCTGGGAGGGGCTGGTCAGAATGTTACACAACAAAGAGTACAAAAACACGATAGGAGTGCACAGCATATAAAAGGTAAAGAAATCACTTAAAATATCTACACATTTTTCAGAAGCGACCTGACCATGAAAGATAGCTCAACGAAGTGGCTTATCAAGTGGAAATTAATAGCAGCCAAATCCTCCAAACGCATGTCTCTAAATGTGGAGGGAAAAAACTCGAGGACTCGAAGAAAAATCCACGTGACCGAGGGGGCGTCAGGGTCTGGATCTAAACCACGATCTCCTGTACACCAGGGGAGGTGGTAAACATCTCGCCACCGGGGCAGTGGTTCACATCTCGCCACCGTGGCACCCTTAGCCTCACACCATCAATCAAAAAGGGCATAGTGCTCGCTTGTAAAACTGGAAAATCAAGCGATCAGAAAACAGTTCTGTACTCAACGTTAAGCGACGGTTGCAAATAAACTCGAATTTCGAAAAAGCAATTGTCGAATTCCATTCGTGAGAACGAGCGTGCACTCCCACTTAAGCTCCGCGGATTGAGTGATTTGGTCAGTTTGTGCCTATTATTTAGCACATCGGGAGCCTGTCGAGATTTATTGTCTCCTCGGCAGAAAATACCTCGTTCCCCGTGGCTGTGTAAAACGAAGCCATCTGAGGCACACGCAGCAAGAGGCTTGCTGTGTTGGAGAGTGGCTGGCGACAGAGTCGCCCTGGGAATGTTTTCGCCCGGCAGTGGATAGAGAATGACGGCGGCCAACAGCGTTCCGAGGCAGATGCGTCGTCCGCCTCGATTTAGAGCGCTCCCAACATTGAGTGCTCTCCTACACAAATTGTGGGGCACCGCAGTGGCGAGATGTTAACTGCCTCGCCTGCTATGCAAGGGTTCGTGGGTTCGTTCCCGACTCTGGAGTTTGCTTGGTCTCCCCATTGCCACGTGTATTTTTTCTCCGGGTCATCCGGTTTTTCCCTCCACATTTAGAATTGACATGCATTCCGAGTGTTTGGGTGCTGTAAATTTCCACGTGCTAAGTCACTTCGTTGAGCTGTCATTTGTGGCCAGGCTGCTTCTGAAAATGAGCTATATAGCTCAGTGGGCCTTACTTCAGTGTAGTTGGACCGCCTGGACATTCAATAGCAACAAGAATTATAACGAACTCCCCCTGCTGCTGCTCTATATAAGAACGGGAGACACAGCAGAGCCTCACCATTCTGGCGAATTGCCCGATGATGCTGGATGCAATTACCAGCGAAACGTCGTACTCAAATTGTAAATGTTGTGGTTTCACGCTTCAACACACCGGTGGGCTAAAGCAGTGAACTATTTGTCTTTTGTCAACGTGACACTTTTTTACTGATTGGTCGTGTCGGGTGGTGGAGGGTTACGACACATTTATAAATAACGCGATCTAAACCCAAAAACGTTGATTATGAATATTGGTCGCGAAAGCCTACGTGTTAAACGAACTCCCCCCCCCATAACCCCCTGACACCATTCTACCCCCCTCCCCCCCCCCCCCCGTTTCTGCTCCCCTCTCCTGCACCAACCACATCTATCGCGCAGATCCCGTACACGGGCGCCAGCATGAACCCTGCGCGCTCGCTGGGACCCGCGATCGTGTCCGCCAACTGGGACCATCACTGGGTACGTCCGCACCCGTCTGCTCAAGGCCCACGTGCTCCCACCCTCCCCTCCCCCCGTGACCCCCTCGTGCGCCCACCCACACAGAGGAGCCATGAGCAGTGTCGGTGTGATCTCTGGTGGGGAAAAGGTGCTACAGTTTTGAGAGCCATTTTAGCGTTTATTTTTTTTACACTCGGCTCTTGGGTGTCTGCGGGCCAAAACGATAATGTGCTTTGATAATTGTTTTTTTACCCTTTTTTCTGGCAACAAAACTGACACCTTTTTTACAAGGAGTCATGTTTGCATTGACCACAATACCTGCAGTCAGAATGCAAACAAAACACACAACTCTGATAATGTATGCACTGTCCTTGAAATTGATTGGTCCACACCCGAGACAGCTTTGTTTAGAGCCTAGTCTCACATGGTGTTGGACCAGATGCCGCCATAAGGCGCACCTTTTTTTGTCGATCAGACAAAACAAAAAAAACATGCTCGGTTATTCGGCACTTAGATTTTATGGCCCTTTTTGGACAAAAAATATAACATATATTAATTACACCTTTAACCCGTGTAACATAACTCCCATAGTGTACTACTGTGTTCACAGACACAACAAAAAAACACCCTCAAAAACTCATTGCAAGATCCCACCCATCAGTCACATCACACAGATCACTCTCTGTAGCCCAACACGTCAAAAAGGATGGAACACCCTTCCACCCCCCCCCCCCCCCCCCCCGTCGTCAACTGAGCGTAGCCAAATTCCAGCCAAATTCCCGGCATAAATCAGGGCCCTGACGATGTGACGGTGGCTGGATGAGCCATTCCCTTCAATTGCACATTTTCGGGCCCTATAGATCGCCAGTTTCGCATTGTTTGCGATAACGTTCACCAAGCCCTAATATCTTTGGTGTCTGCATTCCCTCCCTCCCTCCCTCCCTCCGTCCCCGGCGCAGCTGTACTGGATTGGCCCAATGCTGGGCGCCGTGCTGGCCGGCGCCGCTTACGAGTACCTGCTGTGCCCCGACCCCGAGATAAAGCGCCGCCTCAAGGAGGCCTTCTCCCGAGCCTCTCCCGCCCGCCAGCACTCGCAGGGCGCCAAGTACGTGGAGATGGAGGAGGCGGGCGGCGGGCGCGAAGACGGCAACCTGGTGTTCAAGCCCGGCTCGTCGCACCTCGCCGAACGCCCCGAGTCGAAGCCCAACAACAACAACGGCGGCGTCGGTGGCGCCGGCGTCGGTGGCGGCGGCGGCGCCAGCCACAACCACGGCAACGTGGCTGGTGACCTGGGATCGTCCAGCGCATGACTACGCGGCCCTGCCGAGCGCGGGTACAGGGCCATCGTGCAAGAGCTGCAAGCTCGCTTTGCGGCGATCAGAGAGACCACCGTGTGAGAGGTGGCATTTGTCACTTTTTTTCCGAGCGGGCGTTCTCGAGACTTCTGAACCTTCCACAAAAAAAAATGTTAAAAAAATATATAAAAGTGATTTCTTGCCCAGGACGGCGCTCGTCTGTTTACAGCCCTGAGGCAGTGGTGGAAATTCCATATTCCTATGGCGGGGGAGGGCGAGTCTACGCATAGGACGACCACTGTTGACTTCATCACAAAGTGGTACTGTTTGTATCCACCGCAGAGGAATGATGGGCTGAGTCAACCTCTCCCCCCCCCCCAACCAGGATTTGAACTCGCAAACTTCCGATTGCGAGCCGATCTCACTGCCGCTGTTCTACTTGCCCCAGCTCGCCACACGCAACCTAAACGCCGATCATGATTATCAATAACGCTGCGATATGGCCAGGCCAAATTCTATTTGAAATTTGTCATCTTTTTTTTGTTTTTTAAAGCGTAAACCTGCGTCGACTCGTTTACGTGTGAGGAATGGCCCCGTGGGGGTGGTTGGGTGGGGGCTGGAGGGTTCTGACCCCCCTCCCCTGCTAGAGGCTCAGTATGGGGGGGGGTGGGCGGTTCTAAACCCCTCCCCCCTGCTGAAGGCTCGGCCAGCCTGCTTCATGCGTTCATGGCCGTAGTCGAAGTCAATAAATATTGCCGCGACAAATACTCTGTACAACGAAGCAATAGGCATCACTTCCATAGTATACACAGCGGGTGAGAGCCAGAGCGGAATGCACGATAGACGTTAGAGTCCATGCCGTTACTCATTCAGTCTAGCATTTAACATTTGTTTCGTGTTTGTTTGATCTTTGGGCGCGTCATGACCCCGTGCATTTGTTATCCGCGCTCTCTTTAAACCGGGCCGCACTGCGGCAGCGTTGTTGAGGAGCATGCGTTATTTATTTATTTCCGTCGTGCAACTACGTATGTTAAAAAAAGTGCTTTCAGTTGACATGTGTAACGGGCAGGACACGGTCACTGTGGTGGGCGGCGGTGCATCGCTTTGTCGGCGAACAAAAATTGTCTTATCGTGCGCGCATCGAGTGGTGGCGTGCGGGAATCGATTATTTACGGATTACGACGACGACGACGACCACACTATGCCAATGTTGCCCGAGAGCTAAAGGGGGCAAACTAAACTGTGCAAACGATGGAAAGCAAACGACGAGGAGTCCGAACCAAGCCGGAAAAGAACAATGCCCCCCGAGAGACAGTGATTGAGTTGAATCATGACCCCCAAATAGTGACGACTCGTGGAGTTGGTAGGTGACGTGGTAGGAGGTCTTGGGTCAGGGTGGCCTGAACCTCAAGCCACCGTGGTCTTTAAAGTCCACTGAGTGTAGCGCTTTGGTAACTTCTCCAAATCAATTGCGAGAACGCGGACCAGCAAACCCACTCACCAGACTTGTCAAATTACGAGAGTGGAGAAGTAGCGTCGCCAGCATGGGCCCTGGTGCCTGAAACTAAAATTGGGGGCACCCTATTCCAACTTCCCCCCCTCCCCCCCATTCTCCGTCTCTTGGCATCTGGGCAACCCGTTTTGCCCGTGGGCCTCTGTGCAGTTGCACCGCCTGCTCACACAATAGCGAGGCCGCTGCGTGACGCGCGTGGCAGAGAGATGAACATAACACTTGAACGTTGGTGTCGGCGCACGACCTCAAGGTTTGTGGGAAGGTCGTTTGTGACGTGCCCGACCCGCCAGCGGGTGTTAACGGGGAGCGATCGTCATTTCCGTTGCTAAAGTGCCGAGCTCGCACGCTGCCGACGGGAAACTGGCGTCCAACTTGTCGCTGCGTTGCACGACGGTGAGCAATAGGCAGCCAAGTCGATCCGTTCGTGTGCACCGCTGCCGTTGAGCATGCACGTGTCTATTTTTGTTAAATATTCTTTCCTCGGCAGATTTTTTTTTTTTTACCCAATGCAAAGGGTGTAGCCTGCTACGCATACATGGAATACAATGAACGGGTTTAGCGCCATATTATTAGATAACGCTGTTATTAACTTGCTAAGTCTTGTTAGATTTTAGTTTCTACAGCAGGGAGATACTTTACATGCACAATATATATTTGGTCGGGGATATCATGCATGTATCTGTCCCGATCGCCTTCATCCCCACATTATCTACAGTCGTAAGATTGATGTCAAACAGAGGCTTTCGAGCTCCCAGCTGTGACTGGTGGGAATTTACATCGCGAGCACGTGCAGATTTTACGAAATCGCGATTTGAAGATTCCCATTTTGCACCACGGCAATTGGAAGTCCGAGGTTCTGCCGAGTGATGGTGGCACGCCGACGTCCAGAATAAAACGCCTCATTCGAGACCCAAATGGTCGCATCTCCTGACTTTGGCATCCCTCAGCGACACCGGTGGGGTAACCATCGACCGCATCGGAACATCAGCAGGCCGATGACGCGCATCTCCTTCGTTAATGGAAAATTAAAGACGCAGGCAATGGTAAGTGCACGGCCCCTTGATGAACAAAAGCTTTCGTGACTGCAGGGATTCATCTTCTTGGTTCTTTCGGTAAAGTCACGTAGAAGGGAAGTAATAAAATAATAAGAGTAAAACATAATAAAATAATTCTCACGACGTTTCGGCCACAACGCAGGACGGCTGCTTGCGTTGTTGCCGAAACGTCGTGAGAATTATTTTATTATGTTTTATTTTTATTATTTTATTACTTCCCTTCTACGTGACTTTACCGAAAGAACCAAGAAGATGAACGTGGTGAGCTTCTTTGAACGGAGGAGCAGAAAAATTACATGAACTCTCTCTCTCTCTTGGAGCCCGCTCTCGTCATTGTTCGCAGTCCTCGACATTGGCATTTAGCTCCCGAACATTTTGCCGTACGCAATAATATGAATAGTACGTGATACGCTTCGATGTAAATAGCCAGAGGCATGACCGACGGTCAAACTAAAGTAACGTCAAAAGAAAGGAGCTGAAAAGTGGTGGGAGAAACGTCCCAAGACAATCCAGCATGGCGGTCACGTGTTCGCTTATGCTATGCACGGCGCCTTGATGAACAAATGCAACATTGCACAACTTGCTGGTGAAGTTACGTCTTACACTGTCATTTCGAGGTATGAATATCCAGGAGGTGCTCGGGAAAAACAACAACTACCTGTTGAGAGATTTGGAATTTCATAAACGAATGGGATAATCGATGTTTGTGTGTATGTGTGTGCGTTGCATCAAGTGTGGGGAGCGGTGGCTCAGCGGTTAGCATGCAGCGCTACGGACCTGGCCACCCCGAGTTCAATTCTCGCTCAAAGTCAACTCCAGTGACGATTATATGAACCGGTCATGAGCCTCCTCGAGATCGAATCAGCTTCAAATGAGTACCTGGTGTGCTGCGTGAACATCGCCAATGGAGAGACAAAGGCGGTCGGGCGTGGTGCTGGCCACCCACCCGCTCGTGTACCTTGCCGACCTTCATCGGTGCTACTCACTAACAGCACTTGCCAAAACAGTTTGTTAAGGCTATACGGGGGATCTTTGTCTTTTTGCATCAGGAATGGTGATATAGCATTGCATCAATTAATCGAATACCATCGATCATTAAGGACCGCGATCCATGACGCTCCGTCTCCGGCTGTCCGAAAATCAAGGATTTTTGTTGGTGCATGCAAACTGTAAGCAATCTAGCATAACGAACAAATTATACAATAACAATACAAACAATATACACACTTTTTCTTCGCGTGTATATTGTTTGCTTGAAGTCAATATACGCACACACGAGACGCGAACAATCGATTATTGCATCACATTGTTTACCGTCCATATCAATGGAATCATGGATTATTCGCGACACCCTAATTAAAAGCCATGTACTGTATATGCAGAACTCCATTCTGTGAGTCCACAAGTAAGAAAGCACGCATCTAAATGTGTTCATCCATCGGCTAATATCGGCTTCTCTGGGCCAATATTAATCCGGCAGCATTTGTTCAAACGAGCAAAAATCTTTGCCAGTTTTACCACCTTCTGGGTCTCACCGGCAGTCGGTATTGTGAAGCAAACGCTGCTGGATTTGTCCGCACACTCCAGAAAACCATCAGACGCTGTCTGTGCAAGGCAACAGAAATATGGAGTTTTGTATGTCTTCCATTTTTCACGACGTTGGAATTTATGAGGTCCCCATCCCCCCACCCCATTATTCTCCCAGGGATCTCACTTCTAATTTAGTTATTGCGTCCAGGAATGTGTTCTTTTTGAACATACCTTGCATTAGATGTCGATTAACAAAGGACATCCATCACATTAATTACGCCCAATACGTGACTGCCGTTGCTGGGTGGGAGAGGAGTGTACGTTAATTGACGCGTACTTATTTATGAATACATTTTCTTTTTATATAGACAACAAAAACTTGTAATAAAAATAAATAAATGCTTTCAACACTGTTTCAGGCGTCACTCGTTTGGCTTAATGACTGTGTGTGCCGAGTGATTATTAATTGCAGAGCTCGCTATAAAGTGACGAATATGAAACGCGTGGACTGTTGTGATGTTTAATAGCGTTCTATTGTGATTGGTGTGTTGTCCTTGCCCCTGCACCTCCGATTAGCGCGGCTGGCTACGTACGGTGCGAAAGAAGTTCAACGTGCATACATACATACTAGAGTGGACGGTTTTACGCAATGATCCGTGTTTTTTTAAAAGGAGGCAACGAACTGGATGTCTGTAAAAACAAAGAGCTTCATAGCTCATCCAATTTCTCCAGGATAAATAAAGATTCAAATTCTGAACTTGAATAATGTCTCCGGTAAGTACACACAAAAATAGAGATTTCGGTTTAATACTCAAATGAATAGATCAACGACCGTTCAGTTACGTTATAAATGAAACGAACGTTTTCCTTAATGCTCACAAATTCCCTGAAGAGAGATGTTTGACAGTGGCCACCCCCCCTCCCTCCCAAAGTGCCCCCTCTGTGGGGGGCCATAAAATAGCAAAGTCAACTGAACTTTAATTTTTCATTTCATTTAATTTATTTGGTATAGCCCTGTGAGCCATGCGGCTCTAGAACGGGTGCAACCGCAACAAACAAAAAACATGAACAAGAAAACATCTTAAAGTGACTATGTGCCTATGTGCAAACAGAAAATCCAAGAAAAGACAGAAAAATATTGCAACTGAATGACACAAAGGCAGAAGGGGTGGGGGGGGGGGCGTCCCATTACTATTAACTCAATAATAACGTTTAGTAGACCTTGGTCGATCCACTGTTGGATTGATTGGGGGGGGGGGGGGGGCTACCCCAACACCGATGAAACTCCAGCTTTTGATCTCGGAGCAGGCAGGCACTGGAGCCTCGCACTCCAAAGCGGCGTTCCGCCACATCGAGCCGTGTGTGTGGCCGCACACGTGGAGCGCGATCTTCTCAGGATCGTGGTACGCGCCGGAAAGTAAGACGCGCCCTCCCCCCTCTTCCCCCCTGACTTGTTCCCCGTGTCAAATCTTCATGGTTGTGTTCACACAGGGATTAATATCTATACATATATTTTACTATATATGGCCTTTGACAGACTGTCGGGGCAAGTCCTTCTTGCGAGTAGCACTTATACGAACAAAGGCCAATAGAAAGATCCCCCGTATAGCCTTTAACAGACTGTCGCGGCAAATTCTGTTAGCGAATAATATAATCATTCTATGAACAAAGACAAAGAACCCCCGTGTAGCCTACGCAGGCGGTGAGGGCAAGTGCTGTCAGCGAGCACCCATTAAGGCCGGCACGGCACGGCACATGCCGGATTATAAGACCATCCAACCACCCTTCCCCCAACTTTCTGAATAAAATAAAGTGCGTCAAGTCGTCGGGAGATGACGGCTACGTATCATCATCATCACCGATTGCGACGCGAATTAGTTGATTAGACAACGGCGGTAGTGGCGAGCCGGAGCCGCGCTGGTGAGCACGTGGCGGCAATTGTTTGACGTGGAGCGATGGCGAATTGCGGTGAGGTGGGGGGACGGCGGCTCAATCTGAGGACGAACCCACCCAGCGAATAGGCGAGCACCACATCACCCATCCCCCCCCCCACGGATCAATAATTAAGTGATTGATTAGGGACTCATTCGGCCAAACATTACCCTCCCCCCTTCCCTCCTCGCCAGCACCTCCGCAGCTGGTTCCGATGAATGTTAAAGGTGAACAAGGCAAAGGTGCAGCTCCTGCAATTGCGTTGTTCACGCCACTGCTGCGAGATAAAGGCCATCCATCCAACTGGAGGAGGAGCAGGGGTCGGCAGCCTGGTGGCTCTTCAATAACTGCATCGTGACATATCTTTAGGGTCTTTCGGTAAAGTCACGTAGATAGGTTCAAACAAATGATTGAAAAAATGCTACGACGTTTCGATCGCAACACAAGCGATGACGAGCTACGTGACTTTACCGAAAGAGCCAAAGAATATGAATTCCTGCAGTCACGAAAGCTTTAAGTCAAGATTTGCTTCGTGACAGTTATTTATCGTTGCGACTCTTGCATTATTGAGTGTTTTTTTTTTTGTTTTACTCAATTCTAGCGAACTCTAGACGGTCGCTCTGGAGGTGGGTTTGGATGCCTGCTCTGACACCACGCCGCAAGAGGCCCCCCACACTTTACCCCCCCACCACACGCTACCTGCCGATCATCGAAATGTGCGGTGTACCCAATGAATGAACTTTCAAACAAGATCCTCGCCTCTTCGAGAGCTGGCGACACGCCGCAACTCACATTATGTGTTGCGCAATTGTACGGAACGTGACGTGTACCGCCTTTGTTAATCCACTGCTGGATGAGCCCCACCCACCCCCCCCCCGTCGCTATACGGATCGTGGGAGTTGTTTGACCATACTTCACCACGCCGGTCAATCGATGTTAAATGTAACGAGTCACGACGTACCCATTTTCTGAAAATAACTATAGGACGTTCACCGCCTTTCCCACACTATCAATAATAAAATCAATATATCCATACATTAATTGAGTGATTGATTTGATCTCCACTCGGGCAAACATCAACCGCACGTGTTCTGTAGCAATGTAAAAAAAGAAAAAGGTGCTCCTCGTATTCGTCGGATCTTCAAATGCTGAAATCAAATCATTGGTGCTATTTGCTCGTTTAAAACGTCGTTATATATTTGCCCTTGGAACATCAATTATACATCGCCTCGCGATAAGCGGGGCTTACGCGGGGCAACGTGGCAAGCTGGGGACTGGCGGTGAAATGGGTCGAGACGCAAGTAGGAGTGGCGGTCAAAGGAAAGGAGCGACGGAATGATGTGAACGTGCAGCGCAAGACGGCAGGCTGCACACGGGAGGGCCCCACTCCGTTATGCGAGACGAATGCCACCAACGCGGCGCACGGAACATCGAACATCGATCTCCCCGGTCTCCAGAAGCGACGATTTAAAGAAGAGAAACCCAGCAATCTCGTGTGCAGGTGGCTTAGAGAGGAGGGGCTGCGACATCGCAGGGGCCGTGACGGCTTGGAGAGGCGTTCATCCAGCAGTGGATTTGGTCACGATTCTCAATTTCAACGGTTGAATGGAGAAATTAACACAGATTCTGTCATGAAGCCCTCTCGTCGTGGCTCGTGGCTCACAGCCCAGCCGCCCCCCTTCCCCCGCACCTCTGATGAGCACGGTTGGCTCCGTGCGAAATAAGTTCAACATACATACATTACTTATTATCGTGACGATGAGCTCTTGTAACCCAGATCTCCCCTGATAGACACAGAGAGAGAGAAAGACTTCTGTGAGTCGCAAGGCCCTCTCTCGTCTGGTTGAATTCCCATTCCTGTCCGCAGACTCACGCCGGCGTGACACCCCCTACTCAATCACGAAGCGCGGCTCACGCAAAACAACCGGAACGGCTCCGCTAATTAAATACAAATCCCGCCTAATTTTCACAGCCTGCACCTGTCTCCAGGTGAGAGGCGAAGGGGGAGGGGTGTGGGCAAGGCTCTTCAGGTATCGAGAGGGGGTGGGGTTAGAGTAAAACGCTTTCAAGTATCCCGACAAACGTTGCGCGGAAGAAAAAAAATCCCCCACAAATCCGCGTAGCCGGCGCTACCGATGTGCAGTTCACTTCCAACGGCGTGTCCGTGAGCACGCGGGCCACACCGTTGGCTATATCATCATCGTCTCGCGATCTGGGCCAGGTTCCTCCTCCTCCTCGGCCCCACCACCAACCCATCTCGTCGCACGTAGCCGCCAGCGATCATGGCGACTACGACGCCCTACATAGGCAGCAAGATGAGCTTGATCTCAAAGGCGGGCATCCGCTACGAGGGCATCCTGTACACGATCGACACGGACAACTCCACCATCGCCTTGGCGAAAGGTACGCACGGGGGTTTTACGGGGCGAACTCCTGCCCCCCCCCCCCCCCCCCCCTCACGATGCCTGGAGGATCTCTCCGAAGCTCGGGGTGGGTTGAATGATGCTGGTTTAGTTGTCTTGACACGCACTTGGTAGAGAAGGAAGACTTGCCTGGAGATAGTTGGCCAAGAGGTGAACGTTACGGTACGGCGATGTTATTACTACTGGGCAGTTTGTGTGTGTGCATGTCTCGTATTTTAATGCTAATATCCACACATTGCTAGTGTTAAGATGTAGATAGTATTAATCGGTTTTACCCTTCCAGGCAATAAAACAGCGGGTGGTAAGATGTTCAAACGACAAATAAGATACCTTTTTTGCAAGGAATCCAAGTCTGCATTAACCACACGCAACACTTGTGATGAGCATGCTCTGATAATAATAATATACTGCGTTGTCTTTGAAAACTGGCCGACACCAGAGCCTTCTCTGGCCTGACACTGGTGGTGAGACGGGGCTCTAAAGAAGGCTGCCGTCTCTGGTGTAGACCAACCAGTTTCAAAGACCATGCCCGAATATTATCGGAGCATGTTTTTGGTGGCATGTTCACCACAAGTACCGTATCTTAATACAGCATGTCTAATTTGATGTTAGAACATCTTGAACGTCAGTTTTATTGCCAAAGGGGTAAAGCGTATGCTTAATTTCCATAGTATTTTAATGCTTTGTGGATTTGGATTTGTTTTCCTAATGAGGGCACTAATTCCGGATGCACGCTACAAAGTGTTTGGCGCACGGAATAATGCAGTGCATTCGCCGCGATTTAAAATTTTGGTTTTATTAAGCAAGCATTTGCCTTGTTGCGCACAACCCCCCCAGATCTACAAACCCTCGATTGCAAACGAGTAAAGTGGGCCACACGAGAGTTTAAAGATCGATCTGTGTCTGTCTAATTCGTTGTATTTCTATGTAATAGTTAAACATTGTTGCCACTCGCACAACTTAATTTGGAAATGTTCCAGATTTATTTTTGCCGTCAAAGATTGGGCCCAACGGCACCTGCCGGGATGAAATTGGCACAATTGAGCACTTCTTCTTTCGTATGGCGTGGGGGAGAGGGAAGCAACCGTATGTATCGATGTCATTAGTTGCATGTGAAAATCCTTCAATCAATGCAAGGCGGCAGTTGGACGCTGTGCGGATTGCAGCGATAAGCGTCAGGGCTGTGCGCGGATGGCGATTCCGTCCGGTGATGCGTCTCTCTCTCTTTTGATGGTTCGGCACTTGCACACGCTCAAGTAGCTGAGAGCCCATCTCATTTGCTCTTCGCTCGATGTAACGATTCTCCCCATCGCAACGGCCGCGAGCTCGAAAGCCAAAAAGTTTGGCAAAGAAGCGTGTGAGAGAGAGGGTGGGGGGGGGGGGGTTGATTTGTAAGATTGATTGTGAACTTTGATGAGAGCACATTGCGGCAGGATTGATGGTATCGACCAAACGACCGTTTTACGTTGGGGGGGGGGGGGGGGGCCCGATGCGTTCCTGAAAGGTGCGACGACGAATATCGAAACGACGTAAATCGAATCGTATATTTACATGGCGCCTTTATCCAGGGCGCTTTACAAGGGTTATGACGTGGGTACAATGAGGGTAGCTGAAGGTGATGCGGTGAATAGGGATTGAGGGGGGGGGGGTATGTGGAGAGAGGTTTTAGTGGGTACGGGAATTCCAGCGGGGGGTGGCCTCGGGAAGGATGGGCCCAAGGAAGAGCGGAATCTAGACGGGGGGAGGAGGGTGCTTCTCGCTTCACGTGGAGGGGAAGTTTGTTCCAGTGCAAAGGGGGGCAAGTCGGGAAAAGGAGCGGAAACTTGGATTGTGTCCAAGGAGGGGAGGGGGGACGATTTGGGAGTCGTGGGAGGGATTGGGAGCGGGGCAGGGGGGGGCATGAAACGAGAGGAGGGAAGAGAGGTACGGGGAGAGGTGTTTGCGAAGGCTGAGAGGACGACGGATAACGAGTCGGGAACGGACGATGTGCGGGGTTTTGGGCGACTCGAATCGGGCAGTGGTGGCATTTTAATAAAGTAACGACGTATTTGCGAAACGACGTTAAATGTGGTTGATGAGAGGGGGGGGGGGGACTTAAATGTGTATAAAATAACCCTACTTACAAAAGAACACCAAAGTGGGGGATGGTGCAGGGCACGTCGCTAGCATGGACGCGGGGGTGGGGCGAGGAGGATTAATACACAGGGCGAGATCACGCGGCGTCGGAAAGGACAGGATGGGGGAATGTGCTCGTGCGGGCGGTTCGGTGGCTTGTCGTCCTGTCGCAGGGTCTCGATGCATTGCGGCGGTTTGGGGTTGTGGGGTGGTTGGGATTAATCCAGCAGTGGATCGACCATCGCTGCTGCTGCTGTTGCCTTGTGAATTGCCCTCGCGTCTCGAGCCGCTGTACAACGGCAATGCCATCTGTCGCCTGCAACTCTGGGCGATTACTCGACAACGAACCCCGCGGCGCATTCGTCAACACCGCCGCCTGGTTTTTTTAAGTACGAATCTACAAATTAAAATCAAAATCTGCCAACATTTCGGGGCAATAAGGGGGGGGGGGGCCCGCCTTCATGTGCGAGGAATGAGAGGCACGTGTGCTTGTGCGCCATTGCAGGAACACCAAATAGGTGGTGGAACTCCGACTTGATCCACGTGTGACCATGGGCACAATGATTTTAATCACGCGAGCTGGAATCTATTTAAACCAAAATTCAATGCCTATTTCTGTGCAGTTATTGACCAGGCTGAGACCCATGAACTCGTGCTACCTGAGAACCCGATTTTTTTAATTACGCGTGGCTGAAACCATCCGGATTCTACAAACCACGATTCAAAATCAATCTTTTTTTTGACTGGAGGAATCCAATGAGCTATACAGTTCTTTCGCAGACGTCCCAGTAGGTGCGGGATCAGAACATTACTACAACCAACAATACAAAGATACGATTTTCAAGCCCTAATGCCATCTCAGTATCTCTCCTATGATTCCGCCGATCGCCTCTTGCGCATGCTGCTTTTAATTGGACAAGTGGTTTTCTGCGGGCTGCATGAAGTGTCCTTTACATGGGGTGGGGATAGCGGTCGTGTGCGCTCGTGGTGTTTATCACGTGGTGTGGGGGGTGGGGGTCCGTCGCATCGTTGAGATGCTTGTAGGCTCCCAAGGACGGGAGGGAACGAAATTTTATGCCAGAAATGTCACTTTGCTTGGCCATCCCGTTCTCTAAATTTGTCTGACTCCTGGGGAATCATGTTAATTTACGATAAAATTATTACGTATTCGCGAGAACGAACTAACTGCACTTGTTCCATTAAAATAAGACTCTAAAAAATATAATCGACATTTTCGCGACTTGCAATGATAATTGCAGTTGGCTACAATTCTGCCACTCGCGCCATTGCTTGCCATGGCCGGGAATGAAACCCAGGCGAACAGTGTTGGTACACAAGTGCGACAACCACTGCCCCACTGCTCGACCCAGAAATAACAATCATTTGCACCGCGCGCGCGCGCACTGGTCCGTCGACGTTGAAGGATGAACTGACTGCGTCTTGGCTGTGAGAATGCGTTCCTCAAAAATTTGAATATTAAGCTGGCCCGAGAGGGATGTTTGTAATTGGTAAGCAGGTTGCGAGGGTGATGATAGGGATTTGTGATGTTGATGCCCATAAACATTTCAATACCTGCAGGCATATGGGTTATGGATGATGGGCGAGTGGTTTTAATACAGCTTGTTTGCAGGAAATAAATTAATCTTAATTTTTGGCTTGCATGGCTTGCAGAGTTGAGAAATGTGTGCGGCTCAGAATCTCGTAAGCTAGATTTTATTCCTGGCTAAAGGCAACGTCGGTGGCCTTTATATCCGAACCCATTCTGGGCTTCGTGTAGGTAGACTGCCTTCAAGTTACGTTACCTGGTGTGGTGTGTAAAAGTAAAACATTTCTATTAAATCAGCACTGGGGAGGATGAAGGCACTACAAACTATTTTAAACAATTAATTAGGTTACTGGGTAAAGCCCACTGACTATACCGCTCTTTCAGAAGCGACCTGCCCACATGGTAGGTAATTCAACGAAGTGGCTTCTTACTTGAGAACGTATAGCCGCCAAATACTCCAAACGAATGTTTAGAAAAACCGGAGGACCTGGAGCGAAAAAAAACGCTCGACCTAATGGGGAGAAAACCATGCCAACTCCAAATATACAGGCATCAGGGTTTGGATCGTGAAACGCATGACCTCCGATATACCAGGCGAGGGTAGTTAACTTTTCTCTGCAGTGGCGCCCAAAACCCACAACCACGCACCTCGTGCTCTGTTCCGACCTGCATGGGCGCTCTCGACCGTAACAACACTTGACCAAACGGGTACGTGGAGGTCTGTACCAGCGGCGGGCGTCTTTGTGTGTGCGAGGGGAGCGGTGGTGTAGCGGTTAGCGCGCTGCGCTATGAACCTGGCGACCCGGGTTCGATTCCTGCTCACGGCCAACACCGGTGACGATTATCTGAACCGGTCCCGGGCCTCCCCTAGGTCGACTCGGCCTGAAATGAGTACCTGGTGCAGTGTGAAAACATCGCCACTAGGGAGACAAAGGCGGTCGGGCGTGGTGCTGGCCACCCACCCCCTTCGTGTGCCGTTGCGGACTTCATAGGTGCTCGCTAACAGCACTTGCCCCTACAGTCTGTTAAGGCTATACGGGGGATCTTTGTCTTTTGCAGTGCGCTCGTTCGGCACAGAGCGGCGCCCCGCCGACCGACCCGTCGCCCCTCGCGAGGAAGTCTACGAGTACATCATCTTCCGCGCCAGCGACATCAAGGACCTGACCGTGTGCGAGTCCCTGCTACCGGCTCTGCACCACGACCCGGCTATCGTGCAGGTGAGAGATGTGCAGCCGCTCTTTACCATTAAACAATTTTTTATTTCACAAGGTCAGGCCCACCGAGCTACGTAGCTCTTTCAGAAGTGACCTGGCCACAAATGATTTGCTCAACGAAGTGGCTCGTCGTGTGGAAATGTCTAGCAGCCAAATACTCTAAACGCACGTTGGTTCTAAATGTGGAGGTGAAAACTGGATGACCTAAAGAAATCCACTCGACCACGGGGGAAGGCGTTGAAAACTCCAAATATAAAGGCGTCGTGGGGGTCTGGATCGAACCCCCACGACCTATTGTATTCCAGGCGAGGTAGTTAACATCTTGCCACTGCAGTGGTGACATGGTTTAGGGGAGTGGTGGCACAGTAGTTGATGCGCTGCGCCACAAACCTGGCTACGACCACCGGGGTTTAATTCCAACTTACGGCCATCACCAGGGGACGATCATCTGCCCCAACCCCCTCCGTGTGCCTTGCCTGCCTCAAAGTTGCTCGCACAGCACTTGCCCCAAACGTCCGTTAAGGCTTTAAGGGACATCTTTGGCAATAGGTTGACAAAATGTCAAATAAAAACTCAAGTCCTCGACACTGATCGGGCACATTTTGTACAAATTGCCCTTCATGGCATTGGAATCGGGAAGCCAGAGGTGGAGTATACGAGTTGGAGACCGCACTTCACATTAAGGGGCTTGATGAGAGGTACATTGGAGGGTTTTATAGGTTGAGGAGGAAGCTACCAAGATCCGTGCCAGCGTGCCAATGGATGAATTGCGCAACCCCTTGGCCCTGTCACCCGATTGTCTCTCAAGTGACGACATCACATGTATCCCTCGAAGACGGAAACAACAGGAGGATTTCTACACAAATTAGGCTGTCAACTGATGCTAGTTGTAATTGCTGGCGGGATTACACCTCCAACACACCTGTGTGATGTACAGTAAATAATTGGCATGTTCTGTTTACGTGACAACCCTCACTAGTTGGCTGTCGGGTGTGGCGGGTTCAACGACATTTACGTGATCTAACCCCCCCAAAAAAACTCCTGTTTTAATATTGGTTGCAAAAGCCTACGTGATGAACTGGAATACGATGTTGATTTGTTCATCTTGGTGTCTTTACGAATTGTATTGTATTCTTAAGTGTTCTTCACAGGAGGGGGAGCGGTGGCTTGGTTGTTTGTGCGTTTGCGCCATTCAACGCTACGATAGTGGTATTGGCCAATGTCAAGACCGCAAATGGGGGCCTCTGCAAATGCAACAGATGTTGTGCGCTGTTTTGGCTGCCAAGCAGTAGTTTTATATAGTCGGCTAAGAAAGCGTGCAAACGCACACATAACGAATGGTCCATTTAACGGTAGGCACATTGGAAAACGATAACGTGTAGCTTGTGTAGTTGGATGCGTGCCTGGGTTGTGCCAGGTTATCCAAAAAATGACGGGAAATCCCTAAAGGGACACAACAGTTTGAAGTAACTTTCGTAGCATGTTATACGTGAATATTGAAAGATAATTGAAGCTTTTGTGTTTTTCCTATAAAAGAAGGAAAAAATTTTGCCCGGTGGCTCGGATGTCGGATCATAACTCGTAACGCCGAGGGCCCTGGTTTCAAATCGAGGATTGAACCGGGTTCACCGTTTTATTGAATTGATAATCTCAGCCTGATCACCAATGACCAAAACAAGAAAAACCCATTTCAAATTCCATTTCGGGAGAATTTAAAACTTCGTTTTGACGTGTCACGTGACAAACAATCGCACACTTAGGCAGAGTGCTTAGAAGTGTCCCCCCCCCCGCTCTACTATTTGGACCAGAGGGCACTTGCAGGGGTCTCCAGAGGCAGCTGTGATATCCGCTGTCGTGGGCCGTTCCCTAACGCGAAGGGGTCATTGCGGAAGAACTGAATGGGATTCTTCGTCTCGCGACGACGTGCTGCCGATGGCGCAATCGGGATAAACTTTGGGGGGGAGAGAGGGGTCGGGTGGAAAATGAGACTCAGCCCTGGGGGGATGTGGGGATGTGCGCGCCAGTGAGCTGACAGCCGTATCCTGGTATCACCTCTCCAACGCCTGCTGCGTCTTGGGCGCTCTCCGAGGCCTCGATCCCATAATGCGTGCGACATGCAGGAGCAGTCTGGCCGTCTGGGGGAATTGCAGATTGGTCCGGTGCGCTGCGAGACCGCCTGAGAGCGATTCCCAGCCACGGCGAATATCGGCGGAGAGTTTTATCCGCTGCCCCGTTGCCTCCCCTAGGGCGACTTTGCTTTAAATGCATGCCTGGTGCAGGTGTAAGGGGGGGGGGGGTTGAAGGTAGCTCAGGGTGCTGTTGTCCCACCACCCACCTGCTCGTCCAGCATTGACCTTAATAGGCGCTTGCTCGGTTGTGCTGCCACAGCTGAGGGTGTTGGTGGCTGTGTACATAGACTGTCTTATGTCCAGAAAGGCTAAAGCCTCTTCTTTTCTCCCAGTTAATTTATTAGCATTGACTACGAACGGTGCAAAAGAATTTCAACATGCGTACATCATTATGATTATTCTGTTATATTCTTGGGTCTTTCGGTAAGTCACGTAGATAGGTTTAAATAATAATAAAATAACAGGAAACTACGACGTTTCCATCGCAATGCAAGCGGTCAAAACGTCGTAGTTTTCTGGTCTTTTTATTTTCTTCGAACCTATCTACGTGACTTTACCGAAAGACCCAAGAATATGATTTCCTGCAGTCACGAAAGCTTTGAGTCAAATTATTCTATTGCTGCGTAAACCCCCCACCCCCATCCAGTCCTCCCTAGGTACCCCGGGGGGGGGCGCTCGCTACCCCCTGCACCACGCGTGTGGTGGCGCGGCGAGCCGCTACTCCGTGCCGGGGACGCCGACCGGACCCTACGGGGCCATGGGCGGCTACGGGGGCCACGCTCAGCACGGCGCGCAGGCCCACCAGCTCGTGCAGGCGGCGGCGGCGGCAGCAGCGGCGGCGGTCGGGCACTATCCCTTCGTGCAGCCTGCGTACGTAGGAGCTGCAGGTATGGGTGGTGTGTGTGGGTGCGGTGGGAGGTGGGGTGCGGCGGTGTCGTGGTGAGCGCGCCGCGCTACGAACCCGGCGGACAGAGTTCGAATCCCGCTCGCGGCCAACGCCGGTGACGATTATCAAAAACTGTTCTGGGTTGTCCCCTCGGTCGACTCTGCCTCCAAATGAGTACCTGGTGCGGTGGGCAGTAAGCATCAGCACTGGGGATACAAAGGTGGCCGGGCATTGTATCGGCTGCCCTCTTGTGCCATACCAGCCTTCGTAGGTGCTCACTAACGCAACTTATCCCATCCGTTCAAGGCTATGTGAGGAGGGGGTCCTTGTCTTTTGTTGCGAGTGCTTGGAGTCGTGACTATGCGTAAGGCACTTATTGGGAGTACAAAGAACGCCTATCCATATAAAATACTTATCTTTGACCCTGTATTCTGATAATCATATGAAAAGATTTGATGGAAAGGATGACGATGATAATAATGCTATTCGTAACCTGTGCAGTATTTCGCAGATATAAATGCCGTGACCTTTAAGGTGCGTAGTTGTCTTTTTCAAAAGCTCGGCACAGTTGCGTGGATGCATTTCGTTTTTTTTGCCAAACGTCGGTGTGGCTTGAATGCCGCCTCTGCCGCCGCGTGCTGCAGCGGAGGGAAGGCCGTGGCCACGTTCCAGACGGCCGAGGCTACCGCGGAGAAACCGTGCCTGGCAGGGACTGTCCTGGTCCTTGGGGGAGGTGGGGGGGTAGAGGGGTAGAGTGGAGGTTGCGGAGTTGTGCTGTGGCCGAACGTGGCGTGCCAAAGTTACTCGCATTGTTCTTGTACCGTTCCGCATGAAATGAAGCCACGGGTCGGTTGGTGTATGTGGGGCTGGGTGGTGGTGGACATGGGGAAGTGGTAGTGCGGTGGGTTGGCGTGCTGTGAGCCAAACCCAGTGAGCCGAGATCGATTCCTGCTCGCTGCGAACGCCAGCTGAATTTCTGAACCAGTTCTGGGCTTTGCCTTGCGTCGATTTGGCCTTAATTGGGTACCTGGTGCGATTGTGTAAATGGCTCTACTAGGGAGACCAAGGCGGCTGGGTCATGGTGCTGGCCACCCACTCGGTGTGCCTTAGCCTTCCATAGCTGCTTGCTAACAGCACTTGCCCCCGACCCCCCAAACACAGCAGTCTGTTAAGGCTACACGGGGGGGATCTTGGTGGCGATGCGTTTGATGCTGCGGCGTATTGATAGCGCGCCTGCTGTGTTATCGAGCAGGGTGCTACTCTTCTGGGCCAACATCGGTGGTGGCTGTTTTTGGACCGGTGGCGGTCCGCTTTAGTAGACCCAGTCTTAAACGGGTGCCTTTACCGTGCCGTGAAACATCGACAACGCGGAGAGGAAGGCAGCCGGTCACGGTGCTGTCCAAACCACGCTCTGCTTGCACACCGTTGCTGATTTTATCGATGGGCGCATGGTGACGGTGCTTGCTCTTACGAGTCTGTAAGGCTGTGCACGCGGTCTTTGTCTTTTGGGTGTCACTGTTCCTGTAGCTCTTCCCCCTCCCCCTAATTTATCGATCTCTTCTAAGACTCGACAGAGCCTTAATTTGTGCCGTCAGAAGCTGCTTCTGATTCCCAATCGAATCTTTCGATTGGTAATGGGCCGTCGCAGCTCCGACTTGCAATTCCTAATCGGATTCTTTCAGAAGGTCCGATCGCATTTTCTAGCCCAGATTGACCTATCCCTAGGATGAATTGAACGTTGAGGATACGTTCTTGCGCTGACCTTTATGTTGCCAGGAACGCCCGAGTCTCTGCACACTTTGTATGGACCTGCATTTGCGATGTATGGATTGTACTCGTGTTGAGAGAACCCAGAGGGGGAAACCCATTGCAGAATGGGGAGGGAGAACGATCCACATTGAACCCCCCAGGGTCTTGGTGCTGTGAGGCACAATGCCACCTGCACAATGTGGGAGCAACTTGAGCTCTGCACAGTTGGACTACCAATCTGCTGGTTGCCACCTCAGCCCAAGCCTTCAACACCGAGAATTGCCAGGCAATCCACTGCTGGATGGATGCATGTTGAACTTTAGTACCGTACTTGGCCAACCACGCTAACTGGAGGTGCGGGACGAGTGCCCCCCCCCCCCCCCACAGCCCAATGAGTTGTGGGGGTGGTTCGACCACATGTTACCATGCTGGTGAGTGTGGGGGGGGGGGGGCGCCATAGATGAAGGTGGTGGAACCGTAGAAGTACAATGGGCCTTGCCGTGCACTGCCTTCCGCGGCTGACCCATGTAGCCCCGCGTTCTTTGTAACGCCTGTCAAGTGTGACAGTTGCCCGTTCACGCACTAGCCCAGGCTCGAACTTTGCTCTACCTCTGAGATCTGACCCAATATTCGTGACCATTGTGATGTGCAAGTACCGTTCTAACCACGCTCAAGCAGCCTTGACGTGACAATCCGGCACAGATCGGGTGGGGGTGGCAATACGGTTGTTTAACCATGGAAAAGATCCCTCTGCTACAATTTGCCCTTGGGTGTGGTGGTTACGACCTTGAAGGAGGGTCCGTGACGCCCACTGGCTTTGCCTCGAGCGATTCATCCCTGATCCCTTTTTTTTTAATGACCCCAGGGAAGTCGCCGTGGTATTGTAAATGGTTAGCGTGCCGGACTTGGGATCCCAGAGGTCGCTGCTCCTATTCGATCTCCCAAACAACGAAGGTGAGGTTTGTTAAATGTCCCCGGCTATTTCCATCCCAGCGATGTAAATGATTTAAAGCTGCCACGGATTGGGTGGATCGGCAGGTCACGTGTGGTGGGGTAAAATGTGGGTACTGCCGCTTTTCAAAGTTGTCTGGCATAGTTGATCAAATTCCATTTTTGAGAGGGCTTTTGAGCCAGCTTCAATGCAGGCTTCTCCACTCGTGGTATCGGCAAGAAATTGCAGGCCTGCACCTGTACCCTTTCATGACCTTGCCATGTATTTTCCGTTGCCCAGTGGTCTTGCCTTGGGTCGTTTTCGTCTTGCTCGTTTAGAGCAACTGCATGATTAATGCGATCTTAATTGAACGCAGTTGAGTGCAGCTATTTTTATGGAAGTCTTTTGGGAAGCATATGCAGGAGCATAAAAGGCTCGGTGTATAACAGCATGATGATGATGATATTTAGTGCATGCGGACTAACATTTTTGTTTTTACTTTGCACTTGATGGTGATACCCAGTGATTGTGTTTTAAATTGTCCCCTTTTCAGAATAACCCGCCATTTAAAGCGTGAAAATGTGGTGCCCTCTATCAATGCACTGCTGGAAGAAGGCCATGCTGTCTGTCATGCGGGGGGGCGGGGGGGGGCGTTATTTGACCTACCATACTTGTGTGGTTGTGGTGAATGGGTAGGTGGTGAGCCAACCACTGATTTGGATAATTCACTCGTGATGTGGCTGATTTTTTTTTGTTGGATTCATAGTTCTGCGAGAGCCACTCTTCACACCCCTACCACGCGATAATACAAATGTGGTGCTAAATGGTTTTTGTTTGCAATAACAGCATTTACCAAGGCCACTTAATTTAGTGACTATTTGTGGTAAAGTGGCTTCTGAAAAAGCAATATAGCTCGGTGTCTTGCCTGATAAAAATACAGTTTTTAAATTACCACTTCCACCACTCCACCCAATTAAGATGTGCACTCACATTTTTTATTGCAGCTTAGAAGTCCTGCAGGATGCATTTTTCCATGGCAATGGTGAACTAAGACTTTTCTTTTCTCTGATTTGTGAAAAATGAGGTTGCCAGAGGCAACTGGCTATATTGATCTCAACGAGGTGTGGTGGTGTTGTGGCCACCCTATTCACTGGCTGGGTATGGGGAGTATTTCTGATCGGATCTTCGCCTGCATCTCTTACTAAACACCTGATGCCCGATTTGTAATGTCCAGTGAGACGTCGTACGATAATCCGATTTTTTTTGCTCTTTTCAACATTCTCGTTTGAAACCACATCGATTGGTGTGGTGGTCCAGGTGACAAATTTGAATTTGTCGGGTGGCAGAGGGTGTAGCAGAACATTGGGCATTGCAGACTAACCCGATTTACATTGGTGATGCATTCCTGAAATGTGCGGCGAATATTTAAACGACGTAAATCGAAGCAATTTTTTCCAAAAATACTGTCCATGAATATATTTTGTTATTGACAGCGCAGTACATGTCGTCATGCGCGCGGCACAAAGTAGTTGGTTTACAGGGTAGGTGAGGGTAGAGGCAATGGATATGAGGAAGGACTGATGCTGTCACCGACGTAAATTGGGTAGCGGTGTTAGTAATAATGTGACGATGTAATAGCGGGGAAGTTGTAATTTGCTATTTCTGTGTACCCCACGATCATCTAACCCAGTGGTGGGCAGATTGTTTTTAGAAGGTGAATAATCGCAGCACAAATTAAGCACGGGCACGCAAGTGCAACTACTTTGTTTAATAAAATCTACCTTTGTTAACATTGTAAATTTAACGAATGAGAACCAGACGGGGGGTTGCAAGGCTGCAGTAAAGGTTATATAACAGCCACTGATTTTAACCGACACGTGTGAATCTTCGTGCTGCCCGTGTTGGTTTAGCCGAGGTCTCCCTCTGCAGGCGAGAAGACGAATCGTGAAATCTGCCGCGGCTTGTGGACGGCAGCCGGTGGTGACCCTCATTCCACCGTTTCGTTAATTAATGTTTAAACCTCCCCCCAAAGTGGTGCTGCCCGACCATGAAAGTCCGTGCAAACACCCCCCCCCCCCTCTAACGACAAACGTTTGCTATGCGCGTGGCAAAAATGTTTTTAAACCTGTGCAAAAGAATCGTTTGCACAATGCATAGTGTGCGATGGCAATTGGATGCATCGAGAGCAAATGAGGTTCCGTTTCGTAGATGTCGGAGACGCAAATGAGGTTGTCGGCAACGCTGCGCTTGGCTGCCGAGTGATCCCGTGTGGTTTTGACGGCCTCGCTTGAAGTGAAAGTAAAAATTGCACGCTCGGCCACGCTGGGATTTGTGCGTGGTGAGCCCCGCTGCTTGGTGAGAACACAAACTTGTGACTGCAGTCGTGAGGAACGATCGGGGGTGGTGGTGGTCATGATCATGAAGGAATGACGGACGATAACACGATGGGTGATGGAGGGCTTTGGCACGTGTCTTGCCCACACAGCTATTGTAGAACGCCCCCACCCCCATTACACCAACAACCACCTTTCACCACTAAGTGACGGTAACGCCACCACGGCGCCCGTGCCAGATCGGGTGCACTTTGAAGGCCACGACGTGTCGACGGTCGTTGACTGGGGAGGTCACGGGACGGACCCACGTGTCCCCATGGGTTGAACTGAGACGAGCGCCCAGCTGTGCCTGTCTCCTCCACACAGGTGTGGCACCAAAAGCAAGTGCGTCCACCGTGCGCGTCAACACCACACCGCAGCAGCCGGCGAGGAAGAGCGTCACGGTGGAGCAGGGGGTGCAGACGGCACCCCAACAACAGCAGCAGCAGCAGCAGCAACAGCAGAGGACCCCCGTGAAGCAGATTGCGGGTCCCGCGGCTCCCAGCGTTGGGCAAGCAAGTACGGCTTCAGGTGGTGTGGGTGGTCTACGCCCCCCCCCCCCTCCTCCTCCCCACCCCCATGCCGTCATTCATCTGTTCATCAAATTTGTCCGGTCGTTTTTTAGCGATGTGTCACAATTGACCGTTAGTATCTCGTACCGATGCGCACTCCGATTTTTGGCACGGTTGGCTACGTGCGGCGCATACAGTGCTGCGTGTGTGGGCGAAGTGTGGTTCTTTAGAAGGGCTCCAAAGGAGAACCTTGGGCACAAGCTTGTCTCCCAATGCCACGGCAGTCGTCCTGTCTCCTGGACCTGTTGCCTACCTGTGCATTAAATGGGGCACCCACGCCAGGGAGGCGAGATGAAAAGTTTGCCCTTCACCAACACGTGCACTGCCCAGCGTAATGAAATATGGTAAAACATCACCCACAACCATGATTGATAGCACATGCTGCATGAGAAAAAAAAAACATAATTCGTATGCGCATTCTAAAATAAATGTGCTGTTTAATTTGATCGATAGAGATCGATAAGTTATTGCACCATGATGAACTGCCTCCATGTAGAGGGGGGGGGGGGTCTGTACCGTACGCAATATTGAAGTCTACGTTTGCTATATTGAAGCCACGTGAGACGAATGCGTTTGTGTATTGAAGGCTAGACGTGCACAGATTCCATCGAGGCATTAGTCGTGGGGCTATATAAATAGCGGTGGAAAGGCAAAACCCCTTGCCGCATTCATTATTGACGCTGCCTCACAAAGGCAACGCGTGCATTCGCCTAGACCTTGGCAATGGCCTTTTGAACATGTACAGAGGGAAGAGGGAATAAGAGATTCTTGGCTGTTGGTGGCGACCTGAATACCGAGCAGCTGGTGTGCAAATTTTGTTATGATTGTGAATATTTACCCAGGAAGCCTGCTCGGAAGTACGACTCTCATCTGTCCATGAGGGTCCGGGAAAGCTGTTTTTCGTAGCAGGGTGTGGTACTGATTGATGCATTATTGCAATGGAGAAAGTTTGCAGGTGATTTTTTCACATTTGGACAAATCTTTTGACCAGGTTGCCAGCACACAATGGCTTACTCTTGCGATTGACAACGCGGGATCTTTAACGTCCACTGAAGCAGAATGGCGTGCAATTTCAATTATTGTGAAACAGCCGCAGTGATGTAATCGGGGGCTGCCGCTGAATTGGAACTGAGCCTCTGCAACGAGCGGTTGTGTGTGCCGTGGCGTGGGGCGTATTGTTGCATTGCAGAACCGTGGCCGTGCTGATGGATTTGGAGGCGTTCGTACGTCGTGTGGATATAATTGTGTTGGCAGACGACGACGATGGGTGGTGGTGGTTTGCGAATGCTACTTTACACTGCGGGGATCCTAAGAACTGCCATTTTTGTTAAGTTGTCAAATACCAGACGTGGCAGGTGAGCGGGTTTGCTGCTAGATACTTATTGCATCATTGCCACCCCCTCCCCACTAGTTCTCAATTCAGTTAGGCTGGCTTTCCCAATCTCCTCAGTCCTCTGATCACACTACGTCTTTTGGCGATTACGAAATTTACTCCCCAATTCAAATACAATTTTAACTAAATTCCACGCTGCTCCGCAGCAGTCGTCTAAAATCGGGGAAACTCCGACGTTCCGGCTGCTACGAGCGGCGCACGTGCAGTGCAGAGCGTCGGTGTGGTGTGTGTGCGCACCCTTTTGAAAGGAATCTGTCGGAACCCGTTAGGCAAGGTTTGCTCTGGGGTGTGGCTCTCGGTTAACTATTTTACAGAGCACTCAACTGTGCCATTTTAAAAAAATTATACATGTAATTGCCACCTTTTTGTGCACTTATAGAGGGCCAGTCAACTTTGGATGCGGAGTTCAATATTAAGTGACCACCCAAGAAGAGTATTTTGGGATAAATTCCTTTCCATTGTGAGATGGATGGAAGTGGAAGGATGTAGGACTTAAACGGTGAAACGAAGCGAGTTGCAGGTCGGAAAGATGAGGTAGCTTGTAAACGGCCCATAGGTTTTTGTTGCTTATTAGGGTTTGAATGAGTTGCTATTTAGGGCTATCCCTATTTTATAGATCTGGTGCCCCATGAGCTCCTTGGGTCAAATTTTAGCCTTGGCTTGTGCCTCGCGTAACTACAGACACCATGACAATTTGTTAAATAGAACTAATTTATTTTTATTTGGCTTTTTTAAAATCCTCATTTAATCAAACACCCTTTCCAAGAAATTTTTGGCGGAGTTGCCCATGTTTTTATTTTAGTTTTTATTATATTGTCATTGGGCTTTTAATGTCAGTGTTACTTTCATAAGGTTAATTGTTTTACCTCGTACAGCGCTTTTAGATTGCCAATATGAAAGGGTGCTTCATGAAACGTGAGTTTTGTTATTATAGATGATAATTTGTTATTTGCTTTATCAACCTTAAATCTTGATCTAAAGCTTTCGTGACTGCAGGAATTCATTCTTTTGGTTTTCAGTAAAATCACGTACATAGGTTCAAAGAAAATAACAAAAAACTACAACATTTCGATTGCAACACAAGCGTTCGCCATCAGGAAAAGGGGGTTGGCTTCTAAAAGTAAACCGTTTTATAAAGGTTCAACCCCCTTTCCTGATGACTGCTTCTGTTGCGATTGAAACATCGTAGTTTGTTTTTTTCTTTGAACCTATCTACGTCGCTTTACCAAAAGAACCAAGTAATATTTAGCAACCTGGTTCACCGGGGCATCTTGGAGCATACTAATCATGAATGTATTTGTATTATTTTACCGGGTAAGGCCTAAGGGGAGGTGTACAATATACATCTTTGTCGGAAGCGACCTGGTCACAAATGATAGCTCCACGAAGTGGCTTATTGTGTGGAAATTTATAGTGGCCAAATCTCATAAACGCACGTTTCTAAATTTGGAGACCTTGGAGAAAAATCCACGACCCACGGGGAGAACATGCAAACTCGTAGGTTTTTTCGGTAAAGTCACGTAGGTAAAAAATAAAATTAAAATTAATAAAAGTTAAATAAAAAATCACGACGTTTCGGAGGCAACACAAGCTTCCGTCTTCAGGTGGTACCTACGTGACTTTACCGAAAAAAACCTAAGAGTATGAATCCTTGCAGTCACGAAAGCTTCAAATCTAGAAAGAACATGCAAACTCCCAATATACAGCAGTGGTCGGGATCGTACCCACGAGCTCTTGCGGTACCGGGCGAGTGTAGTTAACATCTCACCACCACCACCGCTGCGTTAGTGGCTCACAATCCAAGCTGCCGTGTTTTTTGTTCCCTCCCCGCAGGCGTGAGCCGCCGTTGGCGTCCCCGTGGGCGTCCCCAGAAGGCCCAGACCCCGAACCTGGGCGACGAGTTTGAGGTGGAGTTTGACTTTGAGAGCGCCAACGCGCAGCTCGACCGCGACGAGCTGGACAAGGAGTTCCAGGGCAACAAGGCCAAGCAAGGAGAAGGTGGGTGGTGCACTTCTTCTTTTAAAGGAGCACTTTAGGGGGCCCGGTTCTGCTGCCCCCCCACCCCCACTACCTCCCTACTGCCCATCACTCCCGTGTGATGTCTCCTATTAGAATCTGAATATTTATTTGTCTACAGGAGGAATCCTATGCCGCTACAAAGGTCTTTAACAGATTGTCCGGTAGGGGCAGGTCAGAATGTAACAACATACGATACAAAAACACGATGGGAGTGCACAGTATAGGTAAAGTAAACAATCGCTTGAAATAATAAAATAAACTAATCTTGTCTTACCAGGTGACGCCCACTGAGCTATTCGCTTTTTCAGAAGCGACCTGGCCACAAATTATAGCTCAACGAAGTGGTTTGTGGATATTTATATCGGGGCCTTTTTCATACGAGTTGGAGTAATCGTGAGGAATGATAACTTGACAAACTCTCCACATTTTACAGCTTTTAGTGCTTGTCTGGCTGTCACTGCACTTCTAGGTGAGGTCCTCGCATCGCTGGTCAGGTGTGGGTTTCAGAAAGAGTGGAACTTGGACAGTGTAAAGCACGGATGTGCAGTGCTACAGTGGAGTTGTATTACACCGCCCCTCTGCTGCCAACAAATTATTGGGGGGGGCGGGGTGGCAGCACCACGGAGGCGAAATGTTTAACTACCTTGCCTCGTCGGTTTGATCTGAACCCTGACGATTATATATTTGGAGTTTGCATGTCTCTGCCCCGTGGTCGTGTGTATTTTTCTCTGGGTCGGTTTAACATGTCAGCTTTTGCAGCCAATATCATCCATGATACAGGTTTTTTTTGGGTTGGATTACGATCTAACCCAAACCTGTTATGGGTTTCTCTGGGTCCTCCGGTTTTACCTCCATATTTTAGAATCAACGTGGAATTATTGGAGTTAACCTGCTATAAATTTTCACGTAATAAGCCATCAAGTTGAGCTATCATTTTGGGCCAGGTCTCTTCTGAAAAACCATACAGCTTGGTGGGCCTGAAATATAAAAAAACATGTTTATAGTTGTATTGTTTTAGCCCCGACTCGCATTGGTGAATAGTTGTATTTTAATAAATGGTAAAAAAAAAATTGGAGACTTCCCTGTACTAAATGTTGTTCCCTTTAGGACCATGATGCACTTGGACATTTTTTGTTTACTAGGAGCAATCTCCACGAGCGTCCATCACGATGACCTGTTGCCACGTCGTTTTCTGTTGAAAGGTTTCGTTGCACAAATCTGTACCGTTGTCCCCCTCTAGTGGTTCACCTCAGCCATCGCCACTCGGGAGACAAAGGTGGTCGAGCGTGGTGTTGGCCCACCCATGCCTTCAGGGTGCCACTTGCCAACAGCACTTGCCCCTCCAGTCTGAAGCTATATGGTGGGGGGGTCTTTGTCTTTAATTGTCCAGGCCACCCCTTAATTTCTGACGTTGATGCCTCCCTTTGTGCTGCAGACAAGCAGAGGGGGGGTCCCAGCAGAAGCTCTGTCGTGTTCCCTGATAACTGCTTCTACGACAAGACAAAAAGCTTCTTTGACAACATTCCTGAAGACGGCAGGTAATGGTGTAAAAATGTAAAATTAATAAAAGTAAAATAAAAAATTAAATAAAAATCACGACGTTTCGGAGGCAACACAAGTTTGTCTCCGAAACGTCGTGATTTTAATTCTACTTTTATTAATTTTTATTTTTTACCTACGTGGCTTTACCGAAAAAACCTAAGAATATGAATGATTGCAGTCACGAAAGCTTCAAATCTAGAGGTAATGGTGTCTCTGCCACTTGTGATTTTTAAATGGATCTCCTTGCTTATTGCGGTGTTGATGGTCTTGGCCGGGCAGTGGTGGCGGCACACCGTAAATACAGCGCCTGGAGGAGGCGAGAGGTTGGTGGTTCACAATCTCTTGCCAGGAGATGGCAGTACAGCAAGTGGCTTCATCTCCATCTGTACGGAGATGGTGTTGCTGTTCCCCCCACCTCCTACCTTTGCACGTGTGGGTTTTCTTTGGTTTTGTCCCTCGTGTATAATAACTCTCAAATGGAGTTTGCCTAACCATCCCAGTATAAGATGACAGATCTTGGGAAATTGTTGGTGCCGTTCCTGGCTGCCTTCTTGCTCGTATGCGGTTGACCACGCCTCCTGAATATCTGGAAACTATGGGCGTTACGAATGTGTGACGTTAACTTTAATTGCTGTGCATAAAAATGCACATCGCGTAAATTGTGGTGTTGGCACTTGATTCGGGAAATAGTCTTAACCGGAAAATAAAGAGAAAAACATGTTATTCTTTGTCTGGGCACGAAAATATTTATCATGCTGCTTTATCTCCTCCTTCCCCACCACCTCCAATACCAACACGTGCCAGGTGCACTTCGAGGCTATCACGTGTAATGTCGAAGACTTGCTGACGGGAGGTCACGGGAAAGACCCCAGGTGCCCATGGATTGACAGATGACTGGCAGATGCACCAGCCGTGCCCCCCCTCACACCCCCTCACACCCCCCCCCCTTCCTTCCACCTTGTAAGGAACCGCCGCGTGACGTGGGCGGAGGAGCGGCGCTTGAATCTGCAGACGTTCGGGGTGAATCTCCCGGCCGCGCGCGCTCGCCGCTTCTGGCCCGGCCGGGGCCGCGCGTCCTGGTTCAACCGCGGGTCCCTGCGGCGTGGGGACGGACGGCCGGGCATGCCCGGAGCAGGGGTGCAGTCTCCTCGGCCGGCCAAGGTGCAGGCCTAGACGGAGGATGATGAGTAGGAGGAGCACGTACAGGTAAGGGCAGCTCCCGCCCCTGCACTCCCGTTGGGCTGCAAAACAAAATCTGCTCGTGCCTCCCTGAAGTTACGTGACTTTTGTGGCCAACCCTGCTGAATCCCTTACCCTCTGCCCCAAACCCCCCCTTTGTGAAAATACACTGCTCCGTGGAGTATGATGGAGGCACATTTATAGCCTTGACTCTGAGCGCATTTTTCCATTTGTCTCCTCTCCCCCTTTCTATATTCCTCTTTCAATTCATTACATCCTTGACTCCCCTTCTCCTGGTTGTAGCCACGGGTTCACTACCACAATTGCTGTCATTTATATGAAGACAAGTCCAGATATTGTGGCCAAGGTTTAGCAAATTGTTGTTTCATTTTTTTTATAGCAATTTATTGGGGGGGGGGGGACATTTGGAGCACATTTGAATATTGGGGGGGGGGGATGTGTCCCCCCCATCTATATTATAATGACGGCCTTGATGTTACACTGATAGCAAACGCAGCCAACTCTCACGGAAGAGCAGAAATCACATTGTGCCGATGGTCACCTCGCACACAAAGGGCTCTCACAGCTCCGTCCACGAGCCCTTCTTCCCCTCCCCTCGCGTGACGCGTCAACCCGCACCCCGCGCGCACCGGAGTAGACTACGATGCGCCCCCCTCTCGCCCCCCCGCCTCTCGCCCCCCCCCCCTCTCGCCCACCCTCCCCCCCCCTCTCGCCCACCCTCCCCCCCCCCCTCTCGCCCACCCTCCCCCCCCCTCTTGCCCACCCTCCCCCCCCCGTCTTGCCCACCCTCCCCCCCCCTCTCGTCCACCCTCCCCCGCCTCCCTCTCACCCTCCCCCCCCCCTCTCGCCCACCCTCCCCCGCCTCCCTCTCACCCTCCCCCCCCTCTCGCCCACCCCCCCCGCCTCTCGCCCACCCTCCCCCCCCTCTCGCCCACCCTCCCCGCCTCTCGCCCACCCTCCCCCCCCCCTCTCGCCCACCCTCCCCCCCCCCTCTCGCCCACCCTCCCCCCCCCCCTCCTCGCCCACCCTCCCCCCCCCCCCCTCTCGCCCTCCCTCCCCCCCCCTCTCGCCCTCCCTCCCCCCCCCTCTCGCCCACCCTCCCCCCCCCCTCTCGCCCCTCCCTCCCCCCGCCTCTCGCCCACCCTCCCCCTCTCGCCACCCTCCCCGCCTCTCGCCCACCTCCCCCGCCTCTCGCCCACCCTCCCTCCCCCCCTCTCGCCCACCCTCCCCCGCCTCTCGCCCACCCTCCCCCCCCTCTCGCCCACCCTCCCCCCGCCTCTCGCCCACCCTCCCCCGCCTCTCGCCCACCCTCCCCCCCCTCTCGCCCACCCTCCCCCCGCCTCTCGCCCACCCTCCCCCGCCTCTCGCCCACCCTCCCTCCCCCCCCCTCTCGCCCACCCTCCCTCCCCCCCCCTCTCGCCCACCCTCCCTCCCCCCCCCTCTCGCCCACCCTCCCCCCCCCTCTCGCCCACCCTCCCCCCGCCTCTCGCCCACCCTCCCCCTCTCTCGCCCACCCTCCCCCGCCTCTCGCCCCCTCCCCCCCCCTCTCGCCCACCCTCCCCCCGCCTCTCGCCCACCCTCCCCCCCCTCTCGCCCACCCTCCCCCGCCTCTCGCCCTCCCTCCCCCCCCTCTCGCCCACCCTCCCCCCGCCTCTCGCCCACCCTCCCCCCCTCTCGCCCACCCTCCCCCCGCCTCTCGCCCCCCTCCCCCCCCTCTCGCCCACCCTCCCCCCGCCTCTCGCCCACCCTCCCCCCCCTCTCGCCCACCCTCCCCCGCCTCCCTCTCACCTGTGGCCGCGGTGCTGTCGGCACAGGCGGCGAGACCGAGAGAACAGGCGACGCAGATGCCGAATGAGAATAACAATCCCCGAGGCGCCACCACCACCATCATCACCATATAATTCTCCTCCTCCTCCTTCCCGCTGTGCGATGATCGCCGCTCTCAACACTTCTGCCTCCTGAAGGAGATCCTGCAGGGCTGGGTCGTGCCCGGGTCTCGCTATTTATACCCCGGGGGGTGAGGTGGGGACCCTGCGGGGTGGGCTGGTAGGAATAATACTTAGTACCGGTACAGGGATATCGACCGGGTATAGAGGAGTTAAAGAAAAAATTACTGTATTCTAGTGTAACGTTAATTAAAAGTGTTTGTTTTGACAAACGCTGTGAGCTTTAAAGACTCGTAGTCTTTCATTTCCAACACCACCCTCAACACCACCCCTCACCACCCCCCACCCAACCCCACCACCACCTTCTGCACTAGGCCTCGCAAAGCCTGCCCTGCACTAGGCCTCGCGAAGCCTGCTGCACTAGGCCTCGCGCCGTGCTTTTCGTGCACAAATAAGGCGATTAAATGCATCTCGTCTGTGTTAAAAAAAACGTGCTGCGTTTCAGTAAAATAAATTTGAAGCGAAGTTTATTATTACACTTGTTAAGCCAGGAAAGCCCCACTGAGTCAAAAGGTTTTTGTAGGGTCCTGCCAAGTGTTTGCAGTAGGGGGCGATGTTGATACACGGACGGACACATTAATCTATTGGTGGTCAGGTCCACTTCGTTCCTACCAGTATAATTTACATATTATATCGTGAACAACTTCTCAATCATCATTCATATAAATCTTAAACATGACTTGATTTTTAATCGACCATTCGCATGCCCCATGTTAATGCTTTTATACGATCTGATCCCCTGGAGGGCTACATGTTTGGAAGATCCAGAGGTACGAGTGATGGCCAAGATTCTTACAGGTTTTCTTGAACTGTCAGAATGTCCTCTTGACGATTCATTGCTCTTATTTGGATGCAACGGTGGCGATGTTAACTCCCTTGCTGGTATGCAGGAGGTCGTGGGTTCCATCCCAACGCCTGTATAATTGAAGTTTGAAAAGCCTTCCCGTGTTCGTGTGGATTTTTCTCCGGGTCCTCTGGTTTTATCCCTCGTTTTAATAAAACATGCATTTTCGAGTATTTTGCTGCTATAAATATCCACACGATAAGCCACTTCGTTGAGCTATCCATTTGTGGCCATGCCACTCCTGAAAGAGCTACATAGCTCCGTGGGCCTTACCTGGTAAAATAAAAATGTAGAGTATTTCAAATGGGGTTTGTTGGCAACGCTTTCGTGCCCAATTTAGATATTGGCGAAGGGCATTGTGGATGGCTTGGAGAAACCTTTTGACCAAATCTTGGCCAAAATCGAGACTACGGAATACGATTCTCCAAATGAGACTCGTGAGTCCCTTGTGGGGTCGACGACGATCTGTTGGTTTTGTTTTGACGCCGACAATGTGTGCTCTTGTTGTTTGCAGGTTGCAGAGAACCGCACTTCCTCCCAGTGTACATATATTGAGGGTTTGCTTTATTTAAAAACAAAGATATTTGTGGAGTTTGAAAAAAACGTTACGTAGAGGGGTAGTGCAAGGACTGTACGTGGGTTTTGTTAATTTATATGCGATTCTTTCATGTATATGGTGTGTAAATAAGAGAAACACCGTTTAGTTTAACGCTTGACACATTGTAAATATTGTTTTGAACTTCAGTCTAATGGGTGAACTTAAACATTTCTGTCAAGTCGGACTTAACTTTAAAGCTTTAAGAATTTTCTCCTAAAATGGGTGCTTTTGTGTGACCAGTCTTAAGCTGAAATGAGCATGGACATGACAATTTAATTAATGGAGTTGTTATTTCACAAGGCAGCGTTAAATGTTGCGGAATTTATATCGGTGCATTGGCTGTGGTGAAATGGCTGGCAAATAATGAAGTTGGCCAACTGTTGGATTTAGAACATTGCTTCGTTGGATTTACTGCATTGCTTTAGATTCCTGTAAACTTTGGCCGGGATGAAGTACAATGCATGGCTTTAACAGGGTCGGTGGGGTGGAGGGGGGTTTGCTGGATTTGAACAAAAGTAAAGTGCCCTTCAATAAATTGAGGCATATCTATTCCAGCTTAAGGGCCGATTTTGAAAATAGAATCTCTGCTTGGTGTGTAAAGCAGCGCGCATCACATCTTAACTTGGTGTGGTTGTCTCCTAGGATGGTGCTTTTCAGCGCCAGTCCTCGCAACCCACTGTGGGTGCAGCTTTCTGTGCTTGCCGATCTAATATCGGTTGTACGCGGTACCCGAATTTGCATATCGGGGAATTACAAACGGTGGAGTGGCAGTTCAGAAACTCTTGTCCAGACCCGGTGCTTTTTATCGGTAAGATCTTGGATTTTGCCCTCTTTGGTGGGGACGACCGCTGCTTTGCTGTTATCTTGTAGTTATTTGCACAACCTTTACTTAAATGCAGTGCATGGGATCGCCGGTGCGGTTTATGGTGTTGCGTAGTTTTTTTTTGTGCAAAAATTTGACGGGAAAAGTTGTCAAGTGAACTAGTATTAATGACACCTTTTTTTTGCTCGCCTATTTTTACGATCTTGATTATGTTAGATGTTGATTGCGAACAAGGGTTGTTTGAGCAGTTTGTGATCTTTAGGAGTTTTTTTGTCGTAGGCTTCCGTTGAAGTCGAGGGTCAAAGTTTGCATCCACATTGTGTTGCGTCGTGAAATATTGGTGGTTCTGTCTGACGTTGCTGTGGAGACAATTGTAACCTCGGAGAAAATGGATGTTTGCAAATGCTTGTCAGCAATTATTATAAGGCACATTTTAAGTCAACGCTGTGAACTTGATTTGGAAGATCAGGCGCACTGACCTGGAGAGACCAATTTTTTTTTCTAGGGCAGCTAAATGCTGAACAAGGTGTATTGGTGGTATGGGTGGCTGGCAGTTGCGTGCAATGAACCTGGCCCCCCACCCGAGTTTGATTCTCAGTCATGGCAGAAATAAGTGGCGTTTATATACGAACCGGTCCTGGTCCCCCGGTTTGGCAACTACCACCGACCCGCTCTGAGATTAAGTATGGTCAAACAGCCAAGAGGTTGGTTGTGGTGTTGAGGCTGACCCTGTGGTTTTTGTTTTCAACGGGGCCAAATAATGTTGGGATTGTGGTTGAACAGCCAACAATACAAATCCAATGTTTCTGCTTTGCGTGTTTAGTATTTTGTGTTATGTTGCACGTCCTACGTATGTGATCTCTGTGCATGTTTGAAATAAAGGTGTGCACCCATGCAATACCCTGCATATGACTTGACTGCTTTATGGCCACACGTTTCATTTTGCTGGGTTTTTACTGGATGCGTTGACAAGAAAATTTAACATGAATCCATGGAAATGCTAAATTAAGAGCCCATTGTGGTGGTGCACAGTAGCGCCGTTACACTGACCTGCGGTGACCCCCTTAAACCTGCATTGACCAGTGAAGTATGGTCAAACCCCCCCCAACACACTGGAGGAGGGCTTCCAGAATTATTGCAGAAGGGCTGGCAATTGCCATTGATAGTTTGAGTCCAAGTTTCATTCGTTTCTAATGCAACGATCTAAACTTGGTAAATGGGCACAAAGAAAATGCCTGTTAGAAAAGGAATAAATGTCAATACCGTCATTTAAGATGATATAAGCAAACTGGATGGACGATTTAAACATGAACTTGAGATTCATGTAAATGCATAATTGTCGCGATTTTGTGGGGGTCTTTTGTGCACAATCGTGAAATCGCGCATCACGAGTTGGAGTAATAGTTTTTAATTGGTATCGTTATCTCTCTAACGCCTATAAGTCCAAGTCTAGGGCCTGGTCAGTACTTGGAGACCACCTGGGCTAGCCATGTGGTGCAGGTGTGGCGCTCCAATATGTGGCCAGGGAATGGTGGTATTAAGCTTTTGCATAGGGGTTTTTTTTTCCTGGGTTTTCGGTTTTCCCTTCTACTTGAGGCCAAACAGTCCAATGGAGGTGTAGTGACGTCGAATTGGCTATGTAGCAGCATAGCGCTGGCTGCTGGCGGGGAAGGGGATCTGCAGCTTGCAGCAGCAGGCCACGTGATAGACCAGAGGGGGATCTCGGGGAAAGGTCGTGCAAGGGGCACACCAGGAACCCGCGGGTAGGTTCTAGAAAGGGGGCGTGGCCGGGGGCGGAGCCAGGCCACGCTGGCGGTATAAGGGGGGCCCCGGGAGGGGACCTCGTGGCTGTCGTGTGGAGTGGGAGGGGGTCCCGTCGTGCTGCTGCTGGAGTCTTCGCCGTCTCCGTCTTCACGGTCTCGGCGTCGCCAGTCAGAGGCAGTCTACCCGCTGCCCTGACTGGGAGCCGTAGTCGACGACAGACGGATTATTTGGACGTGTTTAACCTGTTGGTGCGTGTTCATAAACAGTGCCTCCAACTTGGTTTCTCCGATTCAGTCACTACACAGGGATTCTCTTCAAAGTATGTGGGGTGGGGTGGGGTAGGGAGAGGGTGGGGTAGGGAGAGGGAGGGGACGGGAGGGTGGGGTGGGGTGGGGTAGGGTGGGGTGGGGTAGGGAGGGGTGGGGCGGGTGGGGTGGGGTAGGGAGGGTGGGGTGGGGTAGGGAGGGGAGGGAGGGGCTGGGTGGGGGAGGGGAGGGTGGGGAGGGGGGGGGGGTAGGGAGGGGCTGGGTGGGGATGGGCTGGGTGGGGGCTGGGAGGGGTGGGGCTGGGTGGGGGTTGGGAGGGGTGGGGAGGGGCTGGTCACCCCGTGGTGCCCTTATAAAACTCAACGTTTAACCAACTCACGCCGGCTTGTGCCCGCCCACGGCCATATTTGCGGAATACACCACGCCGCCGTTGACCCTGGCCATTGACCGAGCAACCCAACGTTCCTACCAGCTCCCTCCGCAGGAATGTGTTTATGTCCAGATGGGTATCACGCCCAACTCGGGTGTTCTTGGATGATTTCCACGTGATATTGCCTTCGCCCGTGGTTACTGTAAACCGTGGCACCTGAAACGGCTTCATGGCGCGGTCGTGCAAGGATCGCAGGTGTTGGTTAGGCTGAGCCCCGCAGGTAATGTTACAATAACACATTTGTTGGAAAATTAAGTGGGTTCAGCTGGTGCAACTGCCGGTCATCTCGGCCTGTCAACCCATGGCACCTGGATCTGTCCCATGGCACCTGGGTCTGTCCCATGGCACCTGGATCTGTCCCATGGCACCTGGATCTGTCCCATGGCACATGGGTCTGTCCCATGGCACCTGGGTCTGTCCCATGGCACCTGGGTCTGTCCCATGGCACCTGGGTCTGTCCCATGGCACCTGGGTCTGTCCCATGGCACCTGGGTCTGTCCCATGGCACCTGGGTCTGTCCCATGGCACCTGGGTCTGTCCCATGGCCTCGCCGGCGAACCTCTTCAACACTTCACGTGGCCTCAAGAGTGCACCTGGCCTGGCACGGGCGCTCGGTGGAGAAGTCGCCGTCACTTGATGCCAAATGGCGGCTATTGTGATGTATTTAGTGTTGATGCAATTCAGAACCACCCCACCATTTATTTAAATAACCCGTGAAAAACTCCCCCTTGGCCCTGGGGGGAAATAGAATCAATGGGGGAGAGACGCAGTCCCTACGGTGACCTTGCCTCGACCTTCGGCGCCCCGCAAAAGAAAAGAGAAAAAAAAACGGAGCAATTAGTGGCGCTCGTGTGGACTGAGCATAATTTATATCCGCCACTCCCATTGGTCGAGCAGCTTGGTTTTCGGAAGTTGCGCAGACCTTGATGTCGAGGGGCGTTCCTCTTTCCACCACCCCCCAGCAGCAGCCAAATCTCCACCAATCCATCACATCCCACGAACGTGTTCGCGGTTCCTTTTCCTGTTTCTAATTCAGCACGCGTCTTCTCTCTTGCTCGCTCTGTCTCGCTCTCGCTCCTGCTGGGTTAGCGCTTGTGGCTTTCACACACGAAACGCCACCGCCGCCGCCTCTCGCTTTCTCTTCCTCTCTCTCTCCGTGCCTTCATCTCTTCTCAGCCTCCAGCGAGTGAAGGAGGAAGAAGACGACTCGTCGCAATGGCAAGCGCAACAGGGCTGACGAGTGACCCAGCGTGGAAGCGGCTGGCCGAGTGGCACGCCGAGCACTCGGCTGCGCTCAAGATGAGGCAGCTCTTCGACAAGGACGCGGAACGATTCGCCAAATTCAGGTGAAAAATATAAAACAAACAATGCTCTCGACTCGCTGCCCGCTTGTTGGCAATGTTGCTTAGATGATGATGTTGCTGCTGGTGGTGGTGGTGCAGGTGGCCGTGATCTCACCGCCTTTTGTTTGAGTGGAAATCGCCCGGATTAGGTGGGGAGAGAAATCCCAGCAGCGAGAGAGCGAGTGGCCTGGGATTTTTCGATTGCAATGTTCCTTGGCAATACACGAGAGGCGCGTTTCGTATGTTTGTTGTCTTGGGTACCTACTCTGTCGAGTACCTGCCATCGTTCATACAACTCTGGGTCTTGTTGTACGCGTTGGGCGTACGTCGCTTCAAAGACAATGTTTAGCCCCCCCCCCCACCTGTTTAGCCCCCCCCCCCACCTGTTTAGCCCCCCACCACCTGTTTAGCCCCCCACCACCCGTTTAGCCCCCCACCCATTTAGCCCCCCCCCCCCATTTAGCCCCCCCCCCATTTAGCCCCCCCCCCCATTTAGCCCCCCCCCATTTAGCCCCCCCCCCATTTAGCCCCCCCCATTTAGCCCCCCCCCCCATTTAGCCCCCCCACCTGTTTAGCCCCCCCGATTTAGCCCCCTCCACCACCTGTTTTAGCCCCCCTCACCTGTTTAGCCCCCCCTCACCTGTTTAGCCCCCCCCCCATTTAGCCCCCCCCCACCTGTTTAGCCCCCCCCCCCATTTAGCCCCCCCCCCCCATTTAGCCCCCCCCCCACCTGTTTAGCCCCCCCCACCTATTTAGCCCCCACACCTGTTTAGCCCCCCACCACCTGTATAGCCCCCCACACCTGTTTAGCCCCCCACCACCACCTGTTTCATTTGCAGGATGTTCCGTTCCGTCGCGTTACGCGGCGTGGGCTTTAACAATGCGAGGAGCGGTGGCGCTGCGCTTAGCGCGCTGCGCCACCAACCCGGCCCCTACCGAGTTCACTTCCACGACCTCCCTCAGGTCGGCTCGGCCTGAAAACGAGTTACCTGGCCGCGGTGTGCAATATAATGTCGGCACCGGGGGAGGGAAAGGGCGAACGGGCGTGGTGGTGGCTTAATAGGTGCTCGCAAACAGCACTCTTGCCCCACCCCCCCCCAACAGCCTGCCTGCTTTAGAGGCTGACCTGGGAGGCTCTCTTTTTGCCTTGGCATTTCATCGTTATATTATAAATCATCGGCGTGCAAAACCAGTCGTCGCATTTGCAAAGTGTGATTGAGTTGACGAGCGGCGGTGTCCCCCCAGTGGTGACAGCGCCCATCATGCTGCCCCCCCACCCCCGAGTTAGATGCCCTCTGCCTGCCCTCTGCCCCCTACCCTGCCCTGCCTACCATCGATCGCTTCGTTCGGCCTCAAGCGAGCACAGCGCGGCATGCCGGGCGCGGTGTTGGGGACATGGGCGTTCACTGGTGGTCCAGGACACGAAGGAGGGGGGTGGATTGTGTCCTGATGGGGGTTATGTGGCATGAGCATCGCCGGGGGAGACAAAGGCGGCCTGGTGCGGTGTCATCAGCATCACTGGCAAAGAGACAAAGGCGGCCTGGTGCGGTGTTATGAGCATCAATGGCAAAGAGACTGGGGCTGGTGCGTTGTCATTCGGATCAATGGGAAATACAAAGGCGGCCTGGTGCGGTATTACGAGGATCAATGGGAAATACAAAGGCGGCCTGGTGCGGCGTCATCGGCATCACTGGCAAAGAGACAAAGGCGGCCGGGCGTGGCCTGGTGTTTTGGCCTCCACTGCGTGGCGACTGCTGCAGTGGCTTTGGTGGCCATGGCTGACGTGCCTGGGCGCACGGACTGCGCTGCCGTATTCACCGTAAAGGAGACGCCACCTCTAGGGGGCATTGGCGCGTCACAGCACTGCGGCAGATGACTCACTCTCATCCCACTATCACCCCCACACTCAGCCAAAAAGGCCCATTCCAGCCGGTGCATTGTGTGTGTTATTTGTAGCACGTTTGATAAAGGAACACGTTGAGTGTTGCGTACGCGATGAGAGAGATTCAGGATCGAAGCGTGTTCAATTCGATAGAGAAAATGCCTGGTGGATTTTGACCGTGTTGGTCGTTGAGGTCGAGCTTGTAGCTGCGTAGGAATTTTTTTCTCCATGACCTTGGCAGGGTACAGAGAGAGAGAGGGCGTCTTTAGTTGGCTACGATGCCGTTCAATGGAAACGGACGACAAACGCCTTAACCGACGGGTAAATGGACGAATTGTCTCGTAATTTCACCCTTGCGACAACAACAGCAGCAGCAACAAAAACACATTTCACCTGGAATTCCTCACCCATCTCCCTGTGCAGGCTGTGTGGTCCTGGCTCGCTTGTGGTTTCCTCCACCGACGATTCAGCACGGTTGGCTACGTGCAGTGCGAAAGAAGTTCAACATACATACAACACACAGAGGACCATCGTGCATACGCAGGTGTTTTAGGCCTGCTGCTGGGTTGTTGTTGGCAGCAGAGGACAGTGCATCGAAACCCACTGTTATACTGCACTCCTATGGTGAAGTATGGTCAAATATGGTCGAATAACAGCCACGACCTGCACGGTGTGAGAAGGCCTTCGCCCAGCAATGTACTGACAAATTGGCTGTGCGTGTAAAACATGTATCTGTCTAGCTGCTATTGGATGAAGGCTTCCCCATGACACACATCGGTTTGCTGGGATTATTATCCATACTTCACATCGGTCAGTGCGGGTTTGTTGAAGGGGGTTGCTGAATTCCTGGGATATCACTTGCCACTGATGATAGCCGTGACTGGAATTCGAGCTCGGGTTTTTCCAGGTTCCTGTGGCGCAGTGCCCGTTAGCTGCTGCGCCACCACACCTCCCGTACAGATTGCCTCCTCACCATCACCGTATTATATTCTATCCACATCGCCGTTAGCAACTGCCATATACCGTACATGTTTTTTTTATGATCCGTATTTTTCACGATTTATTATTGCTATCGTGCAATTTGTTTATATTACCCTTCACATCCCAATTCTTCATGAAGGAATATAAAGTTTGCATTCCCAACTGATCCTCTGGTTAAGATAACGTTCCTGTCTCTGTAACAATCCCAGCGATGTACATATTCTTTTTTATTGACCTTTCATCTGGTATATTTATAGCCATTCCTCTATCCACTGTTGGTTCAACACTCGCCCTGCCTATCGCCTCCTCCGATAGCTGTGCAATGGCACACGTTCTTGCCTGGAGCGTGACCTAATTCCGTTGCCAGCTTCCACTGCGGGGAAGGCGGAGCTCCGAGACCGTAACGCAATTTGGCTGTGACCCAAACTCTGCACATCGCTGTTGCAAATTAGGCCAAATCGGCTTCGTCGAGTTCTCACCGGGTTCAACAAATCAACGCACTTGGGCTGCACAGTCTATCATGAATGTTGTGTCACTTGCCGTGCTGTGCACGGGCTAGAGAAGAAGTTGACTGATGCGGTACAGACAGAATGTGGAGCTACTGGGCAGTTGGGAGGCTGTCACCCTCCAACAACAACAAATGGAGGGCAGAGGGGTGAAGCTCACAACAACGAGCTTGGAGCACGGGGCAGATAAAACGCAGCCATTTGGCACAGTAGGGAACACAGGTGGTGCATATTGTCAATCATCCCAGTTAATCAACCTATGGCACCTGTGTCTGTCCTGTGACCTGCCAGCGAGCGCTTGACACTTCACGTGGCCTCAAGGTACACACAGCCTGGCACAAGCACCGTGGTGATGTCACCGTCACGTAGTGGCCAATGGTGGTTGTCCTTGTTATGCAATAAATTAAGTCATTTTACCTGCATTTGTTGCATTGCAGTTCCATCTCCAGCTCCTGCCACACCACCTTGGTTATGATCTTTGTGATGACGTTAAACCCCGAATTGTTCTCTGACACAAATGCACTTCCATCTTTGGAGAGTTCCAAATGTGAATGGGATAATCTCATCCCAAAACGAAGTTGATATAGCAACATGGAGATGTGATGTGGACAAAGAAAACACTTTGAACCGAGGGTATATCTAGTGACCAGCAATGGATGATGTGTCAATGCAATATTTCACGTGACCTGAGATCCCCTTGTGTGCAGGAAATCAACCAGTTCCTGTCTTGGCGATGTTATGATTTGTCACAATTCAGAGCTGCGATTTGATTCCAGTCTCCATCGTTTATCGTCCAATTTTTTACATTTACTTCGTTTTGTTTCTCGGTTTATTCCATCTCATTTGGACAGCTTTGGACTCTCCATTAGCTAAAATGTAACGCCATGTATTTTACATACATCATGAAACCACACATGCGCTGTTTTATGCGCGTGTCTTGAGCGCTGAATTTGTGCATCGCAAGGACCCCGAGAGATGGCGACGGCTTGGGGAGGCATTCATCCATGAGTGTGTCAATCGTGGCTTGATGATGACAACGATTATGAGCGTTGAGATTGAACGTTGACTAATCGGTGTGCATCATTACGCGCCGAGTGTTTATCCCGTGTGCGCTACGCGGCTTGCGTGTTGCCCGCAGTCTGCTGCTCAACACTGATGACGGAGAGCTACTGCTGGACTACTCGAAGAACCTCCTCACACCGGAGGTCATGGACCTGCTGCTCGACCTGGTGGGTGCCTCTGGTTGATGCGTTCACTCGTTGCCTTTAGGCGCATTCGCGATGGAAGTTGATAGATCGGGTGGCTGTGCGGTCTTGCAGTGAGCGGACTTGTCACTGTAATTTAATGATGAACAAGTAATTATAATGAATGAGTGAAGCACGGTTAAATAACTCCCACATTCTACACGGTGTGGAGGCACTCATCCAGCAGTGGATGGACAAAAGGGCTGTACATGTACCATAATACTACATGCACAAATAGTACTTCTACCATTTGTACATGTACCATAATCCATCTATTGATAAATGGACCCACTGCCTACGAACCGAGTGAATGATATATGAACTGGTCCAGGGCCCTCCACTTTCACCAACACACAATGTCCACCGTGGTGAAGTATGGTCAAACGACTGCCGTGATTGATAGGGCACAGGGAAAGTCTTCGTAGAGCAGCGAATACATCTCTGTAAATTATTATTACGGCATCTAAGCTGGACCCACAGAGTGGCCAACGTAGAAGGAATAAAAATGTTTCACATAGAAGAAGATCTGATGCAGGTGGTGATGAGAAGGAAACTGGCACTATTTTTGCACAATCTAGATTTGAAGCTTTTGTGACTGCAGGAATCCATACTCTTTGGTTCTTTCGGTAAAGTCACGTAGGTAGAAAATTAATAGATCACGAGGTTTCGATCGCAACACAAGCGACCGTCGTTTGTGTTGCGATCGAAACACACATGTAGGATGGACAGCAGGAGGACAATTAAAAGTGTGTTGTTTGGAAAAATGGAAGGAATCGTAAAGAGAGGAAGACCTATCAGGTAAATGGCTTTACGACGACACAAGGCATTGGTGCAACGAAGATGTGGCACTACTTGAGCACAGTGGCACAAGACGGAGGAAAGTGGAAACAAATGACGAAATGTGCGGTAGACACCGACTGGCTATCTGCCCGTGGATCGCGACGATGATGATGATGATGAAATTATTATTGTTTGATGGCCCAAATCCAGGACTTGGATTAGCGCCCGGTTGGTTGCCTTGCGTATCCAAGGCTAACTCTGGAGCTGTTCAGTGCAAGGGCTGCTTACGTTGAGAAATCGTTGGCTTCGTTTTATTGGGCGGTGACTCGCTCTGACCTCGCCAGTGCCAGGAAGTGACTCGGCAGTAAAGTTTGGGACGCGCGGCGCTCAGCAGTACAGTGCCCCGTGCGTCATTTCATAACCTTCACCGTCCGGAGTTGCTCATTCGCGTGGCGGTGACACGTTGCCATGAATGGCTTTCTGACAGTCTAGCCGCTCGATTGACCCCCGTGACGCGCGAAGCTTTCACTGGCCTGCGAAGGCAACACTTTGCCACTGGCGTGTTGATTAACCCGTAGTCACTTTAAGATGTTTCTTGTTCGTGTTTTTGTTTGTTGCAGTTGCACCCGAGTCAAGAGCCACATCATGGCTCACAGGGTTATACCTAATAAATGAAATGAAACTGAAACCTTGGCAATGTTTCACAGCGCCCACAGATAAAATGTCGTTTTGCGTTCATGTTTTTTTAAATTCACAAATGCTTCAGCAGGTACGAGATTAAGATGAGTGAATATAAAAAGATTCACTGCATTTATCATAAAATATCACCTGAATATAAATATAAATTTACATGCCTCTGTCAGGCTCCTGCTGTATGGAGGCCTTCTCGTGCTGTATCATTCTTTGGGGTTTATTTTACCATACTTCACCACGCTCACCTGGGGATTGGTGAAATGTAGGGGGGCAGGGCAGTGGGGAGGGGGGCGGACGCTCCATTGCTAAATTTTGATTTAAAGCTTTCGTGACTGCAGGGATTCATATTTTCGGTTCTTTCGGTAAAGTTACGTAGAAGGGAAATAATAAAATAATATGAAACAAATAATTAAAATATTATTTATTTTATATTTATATTCTTTTTTTTATTTCCCTTCTACATGACTTTACCGAAAGCTCCATTACTAGTTCAGATATCACCTCTCCTATTAACGGTCGCCAGGAATCTAACTCAGGTAGTCGAGTTAATAACTAGGTGCACAAACCACTGCCCCACTGCTAACCCAACACTGCCTTGTAATTTAACACTGTAGAGCAAGTCACGGGCATTGCTCGCCCTCCACTCCCACCGGCCTTAGATGAGTGACAAGTCACCGTTAGACAGGACACGACACATTCGTCAATAACACTGCCTGAAGTTGCCTATTTTATATTGTTCATATTATAACCGCCTTATTGACGAATGTATTGAGGTTTTTGTAGTTGTTGCTATTTGTGCGCCGTTGCCATCGCGATAGCGTCAACAAACAGTGCTGTTAGTAAGGGTTCGGTTTCGTCAAATCCTGTGGTATCTAGGGCTTGGCTCAAAATGCTTCGAATGTTTTGCCTCCTGTTTTCTTTCAAACCATATATTTAACAAAACTGACCACAATTGTGTTTATCCACACACATTGCATATTTACTCAATACAGGAATAATAGCCCGGCTAATGCCCTCGAAGTGACCTGCGCTGGTTTGATCGGTGCGTCTCAGGTCTCGGCGCCAGTCCTCATGACCCCCCATGTGACCCCCCCTCCTCGGGACCCCCCCCTCGGGACCCCCCCTCATGACCTCCCATGTGACCCCCCCCCTCGGGACCCCCCCTCGGGCCCCCCCCCATTGGGGCCCCCCCTCGGACCCCCCCCCCCCTCATGACCCCCCACATGCAGTGCCGTGGCTTAACTTGGGGGAGAGGTTGCCCTTGAAAAAGGCCTCGCTATCTCAGTGGCCCTTCCCTCCGGGATGCCAAACCAGATGTCACAGTGAGATGAATGATGTCTGGTGGCCTGGTTGATGGCATTCGTGGTGTTGGGGACACTGAATAGATTTTATTGATTTTATTTAAAAAGCGTAATATGTCTTTTTTTGTTTGCAAGAGTGTCCCAAGGTCTTACGAAGGTTGCCATCCTCAGCCCACACCGTTGCCCCCTCGGATCTTTCGACAGTGATTTTAAGTTTAACACGTAGGCATTTGCCACTAATATCATCCATAATACAGGTATTTTTTTGGGTTACATCGCGTAATAATATAAATATATACTTAGGTTAGATCGCGTAATAATACATATATTTAGTTTAGATCACGTAAATATCTACATAAATATATATTCACGCGATCTAACCCAAAAAAAAACTATATTAGAGATGAATATAAAGTTTTCCTGGGTTTCATCTCGTAGCTAAACAACCTTGATTTACATTTGTAATTGTTGCTATTCAAGCACGGCCACACACAATCAGAATAGTTTAATCCCTGACTATCCAGGGCATCACGAAAGGCGTTTAATCTGCCGGGGAAGAAGATCCCGTAACAGTTCTCAGGAGCAGCCCAATGTTGCGCTGATGATCTTGGCCTAAACTCTTAAATCACCGGTGTTTCGTGGTGTTGGAACTGTCCCCCTTACTGGATGTGGTGGAAGCTCGTGGGAGTCGACACTGATCCAGGTTTACACCATTGGAACCTCATTTGCCAGAAGAAAAAAATATGATAATTGTTTTTTTACCCTTTTTTTCTGTGCGCCTTTTGGCGTCATCTGGTCCAACACCATGTGAGACTAGGCTCTAAGGAAAGCTGTCTCAGGTGTGGAACAATCAACCTCAAGGACAGTGCATACATTATCAGAGTTATGTTTTTTGTTTGCATTACGACTGCAGGTATTGTGGTCTATGCAAACATGACTCCTTGTAAAAAAAGGTGTCAGTTTTGTTGCCAGATAAAAGGGTAAAAAAACAATTATCACTGATCCAGGTTGTTTAGGGCCTGCGTGGCTTGCAGCCCACACGCGAATCACGACGATGTTACACACGCCGGCCGATACAATCGCATCCTGAAACTAAGTCGGGTTTTTGCCTGGATGGTGCTTGCATGGGTGTCCGTCACGGGCAATGGGTTGTTGCAGGCTGCGGGGCTACACGGTGGGCAGCAGGGGGCATTGGCAGCAAACTACGCGGTTGTACTGTGCTCATATGCTCCTTGTATAGTGTACTGCACACACTTCCGCTCCTGGGTAGGGGTCAGTATTGCAGTGGTTTGCGTGCTGCAGAGTGAACTTGCCGAGTTTAATTCCCAGTGACGGCTAACATCGGTGATATTTGAGCTGGTTCTGGTGCAAGTCAACCCACACTGACCAGCTTGGTGAAGTATGGTTCAACCAAACCCCCAAGACGGACACGATATCAATGTCATTGCTCGTGTGTGATGCGTGCGCTTGTTTGTGTGCTCTCAAACGCAGTGGAGTGATCCTGGCACTTGGCTGCATTCTTCGCCGATTCGATGAGATTCTCGGCATGGCCCGGTAAACGTGCCAACATTGGGGAACAGTTGGCACCAACATTGCTCCAACGTGTGGCATGTTTTACTGGGGCGCTATCTCGGTCTGTCCTGAGTGTCCCCGAGGTTCACTCGGCTGTAACCGAGCACGTGTTTTGTGGGTCGTGTAATCATTTGCGTGGGGGAGACGGAGGTGGGTGGGCGTGTGATGCTGGCCACACCAGCTCTTCGTGTGTACCATGCTAGCCTTAATCGGTGCTCGCTAACAGCACTTTGCACCAACAGTCTCGAATGCTGCACATCACTGAGGAGCTTTGTCTGTACCTTTGCGATCTTCAGGCACGTTCACGTGGAATTGAAAAGGCCAGGGACCGCATGTTCAGCGGGGAGAAGATTAACTTCACAGAGGTGAGTACCGGGGAGGAGGGGGGGCTGTTGGGGGGGGGACTCATCGTACCGGACAAAACGACCGCCGCCCCGCCCCTCGAACCAAAGCCGGCTCCTACGCAGTCTGCTCATGCGCACGAAGGCTGCCTCTTGTGCAGGGGGTGCTGCAGTGGCAAGATGTTAACTACCTTGCCTGGTATGCAGGAGGTCGTGGGTGCGATCCCGACCCTGACGCCTGCTGTATATTTGGAGTCTGCATGTTCTCCCCGTGGTCGCGTGGATTTCTCCCCGAGTCATCCAGTTTTTACCCCTCCATATTTAGAATCGACAAGCGTTTAGAGTATTTGGCTGCTATAAATTTCCACCTGATAAGCGACTTCATTTGGTTGTTACGTGTGATAGCGAGGTCGCTTCTGACAGAAGAGTTGTATCGCTCGGTGGGCCTTACCCGCTAAAATAAAAAAAATAGTTCAGTTTAGTTTCACGCCGACTGCAAAAACGCAACCGCAGCGTTTGTGCGACGGCTGCCCATTGCCCAATATGTCACCGATTATATTTATCCTCTTTATGGCGATGCTATTGATGCACGTGTTGACTTTTGGCAGAAGACATGCTGCTACAACAGTGGAGAAAAATATTGATCAGTTGAGCACCCAAGTCATATTGGGCATCGTTTTTGGTTATTTGGAGAGCTTGGCGCATGACCAAGAAAATGTGACCGTCAGCTGCTGCAGGCATTGGCACAGCACGGAGGGGGCATGGCTCTGTGGGAGTTCCACGAGATGAATCGCGCGCTTTGTCGTAGCCATAATTCGCCGATGCCGAGTCGACCGCGAGCGGTCTAGCGTTACGCGTGAAGTTAATGAATGACAGCACCACCGTCGAGTTTGATAGATGGCCAATGCCTGCGATTGACGACCGGCTGGCGGTTGGCGCCACTGGTGGCCACCGGCGAAGCCAATCGGTCTACATCACCTGCAACTGATAGTGCTAATGGGTGTGGGGGTGATGGTGTGGGGTGTGGTGCTGTTGAGGAGTGGTTGCGTAGTGGTTGGCCCGCTGTGCTACAATCCCGGCGACCCGACTTCGATTCCCGCTTTGCAATGCCTCGCAATGCCCTGAAATGCCCTGTAATGCCCCGTAATGCCCTGCAAATGCCCTGCAATGTCCCGCAATGCCCCACAGAACCGCGCGGTGCTGCACGTGGCTTTGCGCAACCGCTCCAGCAAGCCGATGGTGGTGGACGGCAAGGACGTGATGCCTGACATCAACGCCGTGCTGGACAAGATGCGCGGCTTCTGCGAGGTACAGGGAGGGGGCGGGGGGGTTGGTGGCGGGGTGGGGAGGAGAGGGAGAATGAGGGGGGTATGGGCGGGGCTGCCCCATGGGACCAATCCGACCCCCACTTCTCCACACACGCACAAACAACAACAACAGCAGTGGCCGACATTCACCAGTAAGTGGCGGTGGCGTCATCGCGACGCTTGTGCCAGGCTAGGGTGCAGTTCATGGCCACGTTGAAGCGACGAAAGGCGCGCTGCTGGCGGGAGGTCACGGGACGGCCCCAGGTGCCACGGGTTGACCGACTGAGAAGACTGGCAAGGCGCGCCACCCCACTGTGCAAATCTGCCGTGTGGGGGTGACGCACGCAGACAAAGACTCAGGATCCCCCCCCCCCACCGCCACCGTATAGCCTACATAGGATGTTGGCGCAAGTGCTGCTATTGGGCACATGCCAAAGATTCACAATCAAGTTAACTCTCGATCATCCAGGGCAGTTGGAGGGTAGCGGTTCGAAGTCCAATTAAAATAGAAACTTGGATAGCAGGAATCCAATGTTTCGAGAGATATATTTAATTATTATTTCCCCACAATCACGGCTAATCTTCGACCCTGATAAATCGGCCCACGGACATTCGAGAGTTATCTGTATGGTACAAACTCCTCTGCAAGTGACTTCGTTTACAATCTTGCAAGCGTGTTGCCCGAACACCACCCCGCCTTATTTTACCGCTGCGGTTTTATCGCCTCAGTTACCACCACTCGGCTTCGCCCGGCATCCACGTTCCCGATCCGTATGACCTAGCGGGTGACGCGCACCGGCCGCAAACATTCCGTGTGGCGATGTGCGTTTCCCTTTTAGCCGCGAACCATGCCGCGGGAATACCGCACCGCTTTACTTTCCGCTTGAACCACGCATCGGGAACGTCCGCGCGCTCGCTCGCTCGCACGCACCCACGTCGCTCAGACCCGCCCGCCGGCCCGCGCGTTTGTCGTGTCTCCCCCGCGCAGAGGGTGCGGAGCGGACAGTGGAAGGGCTACTCTGGCAAGCCAATCGCCGACGTCGTCAACATCGGCATCGGCGGCTCTGACCTGGTAGGTGCGGCCGCCGCTTGTGGCGCGGCTCACCCGGCGACGTTCGTGTGACACCGGCGCTGGTCGTTGCAGGTGGCCCGGGTCGCCCGGCGAGTTTCTTTTTTGTTGTTGTTGCGTGTGTTGTTGTTGTTCCCCACGTTGTCATGGTTATAGCACCCCCCCTCTCCAGTGGCTTTCAACGGTCGCATAAAGCCGTTATGTTTGACGTATACGCAGTCGTTGCACGCAATCGATTTCCGCACTCAGGATTCGACACGCGCCACCGCAAGCTTGAGAATCCATTTTTTTGGTGTTGTTTTTAATCGACTTGATGCCTGTTGCAAGCTTCTTGTGCTCGCACTCTGCTTTGAGATGCCGCGCTATAAATTTCCACACAATAAACCAATTAGTTGAGCTATCATTTGTGGCCAGGTCGCTTCTGAAAAATAGCTCAGTGGTAAAATACAAAATAATTGTTTACTTTAGAGACCCTTCTGCCAGCAGGGGAGTGAGTGAGAAATTGCAGGGCTGCTCCTTTACCTTCACCCGCAGGGCCCCCTGATGGTGACCGAGGCGCTGAAGCCGTACTCGAAGGGCGGCCCCAACTCGTGGTTCGTGTCGAATATCGACGGCACGCACATGGCCAAGACGCTCGCCGTGCTCGACCCCGAGACGACGCTCTTCATCATCGCGTCCAAGGTCCGGGGGCCCCCTTCCCCTTTGACCCCCACGCCGCGTAACGCCAATGGACCAGGTCCTTTTTATACATATGTAGAGGAGTAGTGGGGAACGTGACGTCACGCTCGCCCTGGGAGAGAGTGGGGGGGCAGAACGTGACGTCAGGGGGACTTTGGGGGGACGGTGACGGGATGTCCCCCGGAGGGTATATAGGGGGAGACCCGTGACGTAACGGGGGTCGTCGAGAGAGCCGGGAACAGGAGAGGGTACGAGTTGGGACCCGGGGTAGGTGATCCTCACACGAGGCTAAGGAAGGCTACTCCACCCGACCGGCCGAAGTTGGTTGAGCCCCAGGCCGGTGCAGGGAGGAGAGCCGAGTTAGCCGAGGTTGCAGGATTCCCAGTCCCCTGTCCCCCTGGGGAGTTATAGGCTAGGGGGTTAGGCGTAAGCCTGTAATCCCTGTTAGGTATTAGCCCTTAATAAACTTGGCGTGAGCCCCAACCCAAGACCTGCCTCTGTGTCGTAGTTTGCAACACAACACATATATATATATATATAAAACTACTTTGTTTGGTCTTTATTTTACTGCAATCTATGCCAATTGGTGAGACGAATGCATCGGAAGCAATCCACGTCACTCGCGGACCCAAAGGCGGTGGTGGTGTTGATGATGATGATGATGATGGAGGTGATGATCGCTCGTTTGTGTTTGTGTGCGTGCAGACGTTCACGACTCAAGAGACGATCACCAACGCCGAGTCGGCCAAAGAGTGGCTCCTGAAGAAAGCTGGAGACGTGAGTCGGTTTGCGGAAGCGCTGCAGGTTTAAGACGCTAATTGCTAAGTTGTATTGGCATTCTTGTAAGTCTGAGTAAGCTTCCTTAGCAATGTACCATTAAACATAATATCTGGCTTAATTGTACATGACCACTATAACCTGAATGTGCCTCATATCGTAGAAGATCTCCGAATCTAAGCAGGGTTCGAGCCTGGTTATTGGGTGAATGGGAGGACTGTCTTGATAATGCCAGGTATGGTAGGGGTTGGGCAGAGAGCTTTGAGTCTCATACCTCCTCGTATGCAAAGGGTTTTCTCCAGGTACCCCAGTTTCTTCCCATATCCGAAGCACTCTGTTATAATCATGTTTATTGTCATATAGTGTCATCATTCATGCAAATTGCATCTCGCAATCACCGATGAACCACAGACACTAGGTGGAAGGCAGCCAGGCGGTGAGCTTGCCCTACCAACAATTGCCCATCCTCCGCAGTCGTCTATTAAGATGTTTTCAGCTAATCAATGAGCGTTTATACGCGTTCGAGGAAACCGGAGCACCCGGAGAAACCCACGTAGCGGGAACCGATGCTACGAGTGGACCTCGCTGTACCCTCTTCTCCTGGGAAGGGAGTCTCGCAAACATCGGTGTGTGATCCACCGGCCCTCGCTGCCTCCACAGCGTCACTGGGTTGCAGGCCACGTGCAGCGTAGCCACCACCGCCCGGTAGCGTTTAAACCAAAAGATCGCGAAGCAAAAGACTGACGGGACACGCTTCCTCCGTGATGACCCACCGACTTGACGTTTCGGTTTTGGTTTTGATAATGTGGCGAAATAAATTAAAGAAGGGTTTCCCAAAATGTATTTATTTTTATTTATTTGCACGCCATTATTTTGCAATTCTAAACACATCTACGCAAGCGGTTGCATAGCCGCCGCGCTTTTCTATTTGCACACCGCAAGCGGGCGGGCGGGCAGGCATTCGGTGGTGGACCCTGGACGCCCGCTGGACCGTAGGAACGCGTTGCGCCGTTGCCGCTCACGCGACTTCTTGACAGATGTTTCGTTTCTCTCTTCCCATCAGCCCGCGGCAGTCGCGAAGCACTTCGTGGCGCTCTCCACAAACGGGGTGAGTACCCTGGCGGCAGCGCTGCGCCCTAAGAAGCGGCGTCGCGTTTTCACAGTTTGCGTTTTGATTTGTTTGCCCGGGGGCTTTATCACCCCTTGCACATTTGTACACTAGATTCGGGTCACATGGGTTCCTGCGTCCGTCTGGAATAAACTTAATTCCGATATTTGGAAGCTACTGGAACTTTGCACTTTGAAATATAGATTGAAAACGAATCTCTTTAGAACAGTTTTTTTATTTGAACGGTTGTTTACATACGGTGTGAAAGAAGTTCAACATACATACAGACAGGTGGATTTTGGCGGCACATGCATTTACGAATGTTGTCTTTTGCAGGCAAAAGTGAAGGCTTTCGGCATCGACACAAACAACATGTTCGAGTTCTGGGATGTAAGTATTGCAGGAAGAACATTTGTATGTGATAATAGTAATAATGATCACGTTTGGTATTTAAGCCATTCTTGTAGCACAAGGTTGTCCCGAAGGACAGTCATCCACGAGTGGATGTTTACATACAAATGAAAATGGCAGTTTTAGCTTATTTTTTTGCCGTTATTTTAGAACACAGTTCTTTGGGTTAGATCGCTTGTATATAAATGTGCCGTAAACCCAACTCCACCCGACACAACCAACTCTTGCTTACCACAAAATCAACTCTTGACGCACGATAAATATTACATTTCTGAAGCTAAGCAGTGTTTGAGCCTGTGAAGTACTTCCATTGGAACGCCAGGTGTTGTAGGCCAAGGCTGTAGGCAGCAGGAGGGGTATGATGGGGTGCAATGGATTATTGAATCTACGCTGAGCTTTGAACGGCAATCCTTGTTGTGTGGGTTTTTTCCGGCTTCTCTCGAGAACTGGCCAAACACCCCCCCCCCACCCCCAACCTACAGGACTAACAAAAATGTTCTTGAGACTCTGTGTGGCTTTCCTGGGTTAAATATCGGACTCGAGGCCTGGTGCCCACAGGGTGAGGGAAGGGCGATTGGGCTCTCACTGCCTTACGTAGACGTGTTATCATGATAATCTTCATGGTCCGTCATGAAGTTTGCTGGCGTGCCCTTAGCAATGCACCACCACTCACGAAGTTGAATTATTATTTCCCCCCCCCCCCTCCCTATTGGTTGTGCTGCGCAGTGGGTGGGAGGTCGTTATTCACTCTGGTCGGCGATCGGCCTCTCCATCGCCCTGCACATCGGTGAGTCTGTCTGTGTGTGTGTGTACGTAGTATGTATGTTGAACTTCTTTCGCATCGTATGTAGGCAGCCGTGCAAGTCGGAGGTGCTGCTAATCGGAGGTGTGCGTTCTTGGTGTTGGAAAGGGCGTGGGAAAGCAAACCACGGGAGGTTGAGGGCAGTCAGCGTTTTGTGACGACCGCGGTTTTAGCACTCGCGGCTTTTGCAGTCGGTCAACAATTACCCTCATCTAACAGAAATCACTATTCATGTTATTTGTACCGATTTGGATTATGACCAAATTACTTTGTGGTCATCGTCGTAAAGTATCGACCTTCATTACATGTGACATTAATTGATGCTGCGTTGGCAGCGGTGCATGAGCACACATTACAATTACTCAACACGCGCGTCAATGACACTGTGGCATTAAAATGAACGCACATATAATTTGGTGACATTTCTAGCAATGGCCCTTCATGTACGTGATATCAAAGGTCCATTATCTAAAATGTTGGCTACTATGTTATTGACGAATGTGTTAAAATGTTTATTTTTTATTTTTGTAGTTTGTGTGTGTGTGTACATGTGTAACCATGTATGTAGCTTACTTTATTTAATCCAATAATCGTTGGCAAAACAAAAGTCACAATTCTGGGTATTACATTTTTTGTTAGCAATGAATCTTTACCGGCGGTCACGTTGCGTCGCACGTTCATTAAAATCGGATCACTTTGGGATTCCCGTTTAATTCGTTTATGAATGCTCTGTGTGGCATTTTGGGGGGAGCAGTGGTGCAGTGGTTACCACACTCTACCGTACCGCACTCCGCAACCGGCAAACCTCAGTTCGAGTCCCGCCCACAACAAAAATCAGTGGCGCATGACTCCCGAACCAGTCGCGGGCACCCTCAAATTCACCAACCAGTGTGGCGAAGTATGGTCAAACAACCCCCATGACTGACATGGCATGGGGACGCCTTCATCCAGCGGTGGATTGGGAAAAATAAAGTACTAAAAGTCATCTTTGCTGCTGTGTTTTGTTTCGTAGCATTACCGTAACCCAGCCGCTTGTCCCGTTGTGTTTGTTCACTTTCAGGCTTTGAAAACTTTGAGCAGCTGCTCAGTGGAGCTCACTGGATGGTAGGGAACCCGCTCAAGCCCCCCCCCCCCCCCCCCACCTCGCTTTTACCATGCACCCCCATTAATCGCTTGAATCCAAATAGAGCACATGCCTCATTGGTTGCATTGTCAGTGGCTGCGTATGCCACATGCTGATTGTGGCACGAGTAATCCCAGTGGACATAGCTGCGAGTGGTCCGATGACTACATCGTCAGGATTGGACTCGACTCCTTCCGCAGGGTTGAGTCTGGGATAGAGTGCTTGAATGGGTGACCAGGATAAAGCGTAACAATTATATATATACATGGATCTTAAAGTGTAGACGATTGGAGAACTCGGGCAGTTGTTGGTCGCGGCTCACTGACCGGCTCCCTGACAACTTGCCCGTGGTTCATCTGCGGCTGCCAGATGCAATTTGCATGTTCGACGACGCCGCCGCCATATGTGAATACGTAGAGACAACGGTGCAAACAACTAAGCACCTCCGATGAGCACGGTTGGCTACGTACGTTGCCAAAGGAGTTCAGCACACATACAATGCTTCAAGTCACTCGTGCTAGGCATTTCTATCAACCGTTGTATTTTTTTTTATATATATTGTGCAAATGAAGGCAACCGGCTTCCAGAGTGAATACTTATCCATAATAAAGGTTTTATGGGTTAGATCGTGTAAATGGAAAATGTATCGGTAAACCCGCCACCACCCGACACATCCAGTCAGTAAGGTTTGTCACGTAAACAGAACGTGGAAATGAGTTACTCGTTGGGCACACCGGCGGCGTGTGTTGGAGGGTGTAAACCCGCTGCGACGTTTACAATCGAATGTTTAGCGGCGACGAGCGCCGCGTGCCCAGTGGTGACGGGCGGCCCCTCGTGTGCCGGCGAGCAGGACAACCACTTCTGCAGCGCGCCCCTCGCGAAGAACGCGCCGGTGATCCTGGCGCTGCTGGGCGTGTGGTACGGCAACTTCTACAGCGCCGAGACGCACGCGCTGCTGCCCTACGACCAGTACATGCACCGCTTCGCTGCCTACTTCCAGCAGGTGCCCCCCCCCCACCCCCCCCCCCCCGCACTCCCCCCCCACACCTCTCTATCCAACCACTCGATAAGAACAACCGGCGCTCGCTTGAACGAGGAGAACGTACAACCGGCGAACGATTCACTCGCAGGGAAATGCCGACCACATCGGTGGGCACGTGACGGCGCAGAGATTAGGATTGGAGTTTAAGCTCCAGACAGGTGCATCGCGACTTGCGCGTGAGATTCGCATTTTTTTTTAATTGGTGGTTGTCGTTGGCCATGACCTATCCACTGCTGCTGTGTGAAGGACTCTGCCACGTTGTCGAGGCCTCTCGTAGTTACCGGCTCTCGCACCGCAGGTTTATACAAATTATATGCTAATGATACAATTCTAGATTTGATTCTAGATTTGCTAATGCTAATGATACATTTTGGCTAATGGAGCGAGCGAAGATGTACGGGACAGATGCGAATGAGATGAGAAAAAAAAACGAAGGAAAATAATCCGCTCCGGAATCGAATTGCCACCTCCAAAACTTGACAGTTCTCGTTGGATCGCGAAAAAAAAGGCCTGAAAACACGAGAATAAATAATCACATTCTCAAGGCCGTTAATGTCTTTTGTCGATGTAAAAATCTCGCATCTCGATACCTCGAGTGTCAATGGCGCCTCTGGTGGTGGCCAAGTATGTGTCTTGCAAGGCTCCTTGTACGAGTCTCTCTCTCGCTTACAAGCAAGCTGTGTTGTCGCCCGCCGCGACTGGCCTACACGACCCACCCTTGGCAAAATACAAACACCAACACGCATTCCTCATGTTCCTGTTTGCCATTCACGTGAAGCTTGCTCCATCTAGCGGTCAACGTTTTGTCGATTTTTTAAAATTCTCTTTCAGCCAGATATATTCGTTCCGCAGCTGTGTTAAGGTTCACCAGACTTGTCAGTCAGTTCCGCTGATCACCTTTAAGACTAAACGTAGTCAAGAAAACATAACTGTCAATCCATACGTATGGCGTACAGCCATTTTATTACGGGTAAAAAAATATGTTGCCTATTTATTTGTGTTTCTCCCTTGTGATGGGACTTTGTAGAATGATAGGTAAATAGACCAATAGGGTCTGAATAAGGAGTTGACTGGTATGTGAAGAGCTCATACCATTTGAGTCAGACACGTGTGGGTAAGAAGCACGGACATTGACACGGACGTTTGAAAAAAGCTGAAAAGTGTGCAGAGAAGCGTGGACAAATGTGATTTCACAAATGTGTTTTTTTTATGTATATCTAAAGTAACGCCTCCGCTGTACAGACTAATAGTGGGGAGCATTGGCGTCGCTGCTGGAAAGTCTGCCTTGTGGCTAAGCTCATGAAAACTTAAGTAACACAAGCCCCGTGTGTGTAGGAGTTAAATGTATCTGCGCGAGTGCATTTTACTCTGTAAACCAAAAACTACTCGCTGCAGGTACTGCATTGCGTGTCGTGGACTGTATTACACGATTGTTTGTCGGTTCTGGACATGGACAGCCCTCACCACAAATCAACATATGAATTGCATTGTACACACACACAGAGTGCAGTTCTGTACAAGTTGCCCTTCATTGTTCCATACGTTGGTCACACATTTACCCACAAGCCCTAGTCGGCATCCCCCATTCCCCCCCTACATCCCCCATTGCCCCCCCTCCATCCCCCTAGCCCTCCCTCCATACCCCATTGCCCCCCCCTCCATCCCCCATAGGCCCCCTCTTCCATCCCCCATTGCCCCCCCTCCATCTCCTATTGCCCTCCCCTTCACCCCCCATCAGTAGTGCGAGTCCTCTATGTGCACTAGAGGGCGGCTGAGACTTTCCTTGGCAGCTACGCAAATAATGTTGTTATTTAGCCAACCTCGTGGGCTAAAATCCAGCTAGCCTGGGGCTCCAGCTCAACAGGGTCTCACTGTATACTACATATATTATTTTCCTATATCACTAAAATAATAAATAAAACAGCGTTTACCAAAAGAAAACGCACACTGACGCCTACCTGAATGCAGAGTCACACCATTGCCCCGCACAAAAGTCCTCTCTCATCAAGACGCTCGTACATCGGGCTAAGAAAGTGTCAGATGGTGACAGTCTGAGAAGTGAATTTAAATATGTTAAAGAAGCGCTGCAATTGAACGGTTATAATGATGCACAAATCAACAGGGCACTGAATGCCAAAACCAAATCAAATAACACAAGGGTGGAATCTGACCGAGTAATTAAAACTATTAAAATACCGTACATTGCGGGAGTAACTGATAAACTAGCCAGATGTTTGGAAAAACAAAACATCCGAGTCAGATTTGGCATGGTACATAAAAAGCTGAATTTAATATCTGGTACTAAAGATGTATTACCGAAGCTATCAACATGAGGTGTGTACAGGATTAATTGCTCGTGTGGCAAATGCTATTTTGGTCAGGACGAATGAACAGCACGAGACTAAAACAACATACTCTTTGGTTCTTTCGGTAAAGTCATGTAGGGAGGGAAAAAGTAGTATTTATCTTTTTATTTTTCTACCTACGTGACTTTACCGAAAGAACCAAAGAGTATGGATTCCTGCAGTCAAAGTTTCAAATCAAGACTAAAAGAACACCAAAGGAACATGAAATACTCCCAAATACAACTGTCGGTAGTGGCAGAACACGCGTACCAACAAGGACACTCCATTGATTTTGATAACGTTGAAGTTCTGTGCAAAACTAGTTACTACTGGCCAAGACTAATTAGAGAAATAAAAATAATTTTAACCGTTCGGATAGCTACAGACTTAGTGCTGCTTGAAAGCAAATCATCAATAATACATTGTTTAAATGCATGCCTATACAGGTCAGCATACTTCAATGGGGATTACCTGTGAACAGACAATAACGGGTACTGCTATTTTAGTGCTCACAAACGAGGAGGTACAATAACAATGGGCTTGCATAATGGGAATGCATAATGTACGTTGATTACCATATAAATAACCCAACTGGTAATAGATACCTATTGTAATGCATATGCATTCATTAATCCCCCCCCCACTTCACACTAGAAGGGCTCACAAGTGACATCATCACATCTATCCCTGGAAGGAACGAAGCAGGAGGGGGATTTCTCCACAAATCTGGCTGCCGCCTGATGATGCCGGTTGTAATCACTGGCGAAACAACCACCATGACCCCTTCGCAGCCGGTGTGGGGATGCCCTCATCCAGCAGTGGATTAAACAAAAGAGCCGCGCGTGTTCGTGTGTATAGACAGTAAACGCGCCTCTCTGCGCGTGTGCCAGGGTGACATGGAGTCCAACGGGAAGTACATCACAAGCTCGGGCCGTCGCGTAGACTACAGCACGGGCCCTATCGTGTGGGGCGAGCCGGGCACCAACGGGCAACACGCCTTCTACCAGCTCATCCACCAAGGTGCACTGTGGGCCAAGGGGTGGGCGGCACTGGCGCCGTTAAGTCCACATGTTTTGACGGTGTTCTTGGTTCTTTCGGTAAAGTCACGTAGAAGGGAAATAATAAAATAATAATAAAACATAATAAAATAATTCTCACGGCGTTTCGGCTACAACGCAAGCAACCGTCACCTGAGGACGGCTGCTTGCGTTATTTTATTATTTCCCTTCTACGTGACTTTACCGAAAGAACCAAGAATATGAATCCCTGCAGTGACGAAAGCTTTAAATCGAAAAATGTCTGACGGTGGTTGGGGGATCACACCTGATCACGGTTTCGCGTTGTGTGAATGTGCTTGCGAGCGTAGCCCACTCGCATGAGCTCGTCCCAACATTTCTTTAGAAACTGCTTTTTGTGTTTAGTTTGTTGTCCTTCGCCCCCGCACCTCCGGTTAGCACGGTTGGCTACGTACGGTGCGAAAGACGTTCCAAAATACGTACATACAGCATTGGTGGACGTACAGGCTTGACTCAAGTTCCATGGTGCAAACCCACAGTGGAGATTTGTCCCAAAGCCTCTGGTCTCTTCACCTGTACATTTTTGCTGAGTGGGGAGTGCCCGGCATGTGGGACGCTGCCAGTAAAGGTGCACCTTCTACTAGCTCAGTGGTCGGCAACCAAAATAACAAAAAAGAGACTCAATACAATGTGAATACGAGACGGTGGGTTCCTTAATAAATAACAACGCCACGAAGCGGTCCTCAAAGAGCCGCGTTCGGCTCCGGAGCTGCAGGTTGCCGCGACCCCTGCACTAGCTTATCCACCAAGGTGCATCATGGGACATAGGGCGGTACCGGCACCATTGCGTTTGTCGGTAATGGCCCAGAGCGAGCGCACTATGTGTGGGGAATGACCGTGAATCGACAACAGAGCAACAACAGTTTGTTTGAGTTCCGTGCGAAAGCCGAGCGACATGCCGAGGTGGCGAAGCGAGGTTCCCGCTAACCGCGGTGGTTGTTCTCACGCAGGAACCCGCATGATCCCGGCGGACTTTCTCATCCCCGCTCAAACGCAGCACCCCATCCGAGACAGCCTGCACCACACGGTAACGGGGGAACGCGGCAAGAGATTGGACGAATTGCGCGCAGACCGCTCGCCCCCCGTCCGCACGACGACCGCCGCCCGTGCCTCCGCTGGGTCGTGCAAAAGCAAGCCCTTGTGTGGCACCATTTAAAAAATAAATGTGCACGAAACCCATCGCGTGCGTTTCATGTACGGCCGCCGGCACAGGGCAGGGGCTGTTTTGCCGGCCACAAAACAGCGGGGCGAGTCCTTCGTGTAATTGGTCCGGCGTGTTCCGCGGGGGCGAAACGTCTGGCCCCTCGGTTGAGTGCGAGTGAAAAGAGCACTCTGCCAAGCCCTCGCCGACTGTGGCTTCATTCATCGCGGGATACTCAATCTGCGCGCTCGGGCATAAGACACGGGCGTCGAACATGGAAAAACAACTTGGCATCGCGCGCAGCTGTGTGGCTACGGGAAATGAATTAAAATTAGTTTGGTAAACAAGCTTCCCAAGTGCTCTCTTTCCAATTAAATTCTGGCGACATTTGCCAGAAATGAGTTTGTATAGGATTTTTTTTTCTCTCTCTCTCTCTTACCGGGACATTAACCCCCGGATTCTGGAGGCCAAGCCGAATTAAATTTCAGCCGAATGCCATGCCAGTGATCGTGAATCGCATCGCTCAGTTCATTTTCATTTGATTTGAATGATGTGTTTCATGTTACCCAATATGCTGTTTCTGTTAACAATGCTGCGTGTAATTTACACGTATCGTTTAACTTTGCCCGTCTATGTAAATTTTTGTATGTTGCCAATGGTGCATTGGTGCACTGTTTTTTTTCTTCTTCATATATTTAGTTCAGGCAATGATAATATTGCAGTGGCGAGATGTTAACTACCTCACTTGGTATGCAGGAGGTCGTGGGTTCCATCCTGACCCTGACGACTGTATATTTGGAGTTTGCATGTTCTTCCCGTGGTCGTGTTGATATTTCTCCGGGACCTCCGGTTTTCCCCTCCACATTTAGAAACAACATGCATTTAAAGTATTTCGCGGCTATACATTTTCACGTGACAAGCCACTTCGTTGAGCTATCATCTGTGGCCAGGTCGCTTCTGAAAACGAATTAAATAGCTCAATGGCCCTTACCTGGTAAAATAAAAAATAGTTTTAAATAGTTTAGTATATTACATTTGTGCCATTAGCCTCTTACCATGGGACCCAAATATTTCCTTGCGAAACTATTAAAGCTATTAAAGTCTGCAGTGCCCCACCCTGTCACAGAGAACTGTGACACGCAAAGGTCGTGTCACAAATAAACTCCCGAATTTCCTTACAGTTGCCGCCTGCTTACTCTCACCGTAGACACACCGTGTACATGCCCTGCTGCACAGGGGATTCGCCGCATGGCAAGCAATGCAACTTAGTTTTTTTTTACCGACCAACAAGAGTTGGGAAAAACTTACTGAAAATCCAAACTCACTGTTGTGATTTTTGCGTGTGATATTCCTACCCTCTCCCCCACCTCACCGAGGGATTAGACAAATTGCCACAATTTGAGTTTGCGAATAGATTTAATAATACAAAAATTTCTCCGGACGTTTAGGCCAGCAGCGGATTGACAGAAAAGGTTTCGTCGATGCAACATTTTTTTTTTCTTCCTCCCCCACCGTTTCAGATCTTGCTGGCGAACTTCCTGGCGCAGACGGAGGCGCTGATGAAGGGGAAGACGGAGCAGGAGGCTCGCGCTGAGCTGCAGGGGGCCGGGCTCGCAGGCCCCGCCCTCGACAAGCTCCTCCCCCACAAGGTCACGCACTCACGGGCGCAAAAAAGGTCAACAGGTCGAGGTTTCTAAATGCCTTGCGATCGAAGTGTGTGTGTGTGTATATATAGTTGGGAGTGGTAGCGCGGTGGTTAGCACGCCGCGCTACGAACCCGGCGAACGGGTTCGATTCCCGCTCGTGGTTAACACCAGTGACGATTATCTCAACCGGTCCTGGGCCTCTCCTAGGTTGACTAAACCTCAAATAACAAAGGCATACGGGCGTGGTGCTGGCCACCAACACCCTCGTGTGCCTTCACATGCGCTCGCTAACAGCACTTGCCTCAAAAGGCTGTGAAGGCTATGCGGGAGTGTCTTTGTTATTTACATTCATACAAAAAATTGCCACGTGTGATGGCAAGAAGAAGATACTGCAATCCAGGAAGACAGCACTTCGTATAAATGCATCGTCCTTCATTCTTACCCCTTACTCTCGTCATTACCAGCACGAGTAAACCGTCGAGTGGAGCTGATGGTGGTGCACGCCTGCCAATTCGTTACTTTGGGGGCGAGGGTTGATCGATCGCGCATTTGTGAAACTTCCAAATCCACTGGGGCCGCGAGGCGATAAAGACGTGGCCGGACATCAAATTGATTCTTTGATCCTTCTCTTGCTCGTTGTTCTCTTGTGTGCTTAGGGGGGGTTTAATCCGGGTGCTTTGCTTTCCACCCGCAAGCCAAATGCTCATTCATGGAATTCGGAAAACATGTGCATGCAGAACCTTGTGGGCCCAGATGTCACGCTGCCGACCTGTTGGTCAGATGCCGCTCTGTGCTGGTGTGCCGCAGTGGGTCGGGGGTGCAGTTGAGGACACGGCTGCCGTCCCAGAGTTGTGCGCTGGTGGTGTTGACGCTGACGCCGCTGTCGTTGCAGGTGTTTGAGGGGAACCGCCCGACCAATTCGATTGTCTTCAACAAGCTCACGCCCTTCATGCTGGGGGCTCTCATCGGTAGGCTGCGTGTGACACCTGGGCTACGGAAGAACCAAATGCCCGACGTTCATCGCTAACCACGTATCGCTAGCGTGTTGCGGTTGGCATCGAGGCAAACGCAAGGCGAAGACTTTTTTTTTTCTCCAAGCTCGGAATGTAGTCCATGAGCCCAGACGAGATATTTGACTTGGAGTTACCACCTGAAACACCGTAACTACTTCAGTGGTTCCAATACCTCTGTGGTCACGAACAGTGAATTGCATGATAAACATTTAAAATTAGTGGGGTTATCAAGTGATTCACGCAAATTAGCCGTATAAATAAATCGGTACGACTTTAAAGTTAGGCCACCCCACCTGGTACCAATTTTTGCTCTGTCTCATGGAGTAAGCAGTCACTGTGAAATTTGAGATATTCCCTTGATGTCCTTTATTTAAAAGGACCTGTATTGCCACAAGCCCCGGACCGTGCTCCGAGTCCATGCAAGCTGCTCGAAAGCTTTGTGCTCTGCTCATCTGCCGATGGGTCGGGCTGAACCGAAGTCAATCACGTCCGCGACTTTTCTTTTTGTGTGCGTTTGTTGGTGACAATGGAGCGATGGAACGATCGCCTGAAGAAATGCGAGAGGCGCTTGCTTTGCCATTTTGTTATTTTCCGGTCACTAGTTTAGCGACAGGTGTGTCGGTTACAAACTGACGATTTATTCCGGTAGCAGGACGCAACGCTGCTACCCTTAACGGAGCGGGCGTTTAATCAAGAGTGGATTCCTCGATTTGAAATGGGCTCTATTTTTTTTTACGCTCGCGGATACGCTCGTCGCAGCTGACGTGTGAGAATTGATTGTTTACGCGAATCAATGTTTCGCGTGACCCCTGCAGCCACTAGAGGCTCCGCCCACCCACAATGTAAAATTAGGTTTTTTTCTTCATCTTGATTCGTGAATTGCAGAGGGAGGGGAGGGTCAAATTGTTAATTGCACTTAACGTCAGTGATGCATCTGGTTGTAATCGTCTGTGAATGTAGATTACACTGGAGCTATGAACTTGTAAATCTAGATTGAAAACTAATTTCTTTAGAACTTGCTTTTTGTGTTTAGTCTGTTCTTCCCCCGCACCTTCGATGAGCACGGTTGGCTACATACGGAACAAAAAGAAATTCAACATACATACACGAGTGTCTATTTAATTGAGAAGAGATATTCAATTAGGCCGAGGCGGTTACTTGCGGTTTGCGTCTGACTCCGATGCCATGTGTTGCAGGCTAACCAGGCTGTGTGTCTTCGTGTCTTGACAGCCATGTACGAGCACAAGATCTTCATCCAGGGCGTCATCTGGGACGTGAACAGCTACGATCAGTGGGGGTGAGTACCTTGCCACGTGTTTCAAGTTTCACCTAAGAGGGGAGAGGTGTGCTGGGTGGCTCAGAGGTCGGAGTGCTGAGCTGAGAATCCGGGGTTGTATGTATGCTGAACTTCTTTCGCACCGTACGTAGCCAACCGTGCTAATCGGAGGTGCGGGGGAAGGACAACAAACTAAGTTTGTTGAGTCCAGGCAGCTGCTAAAATTGGGTCCTCTCGTGTCGTGCGTTCATGGTCTCAGCCTGGTCACCAATGACTGCAGTAGAACAATCGCACGCGATTTGGTTCTGCACTTAATTTTGCTCAATTCCCGCTTTGAGAATTGTAAAATATTGGGTTTGACTGTCATGTCACTCGAATTGCTCTCTCTGTAGCAGGGCGCATGGGAAACTTCTGTTCCCAACTTGTGCGGCCTCTCGCTGGCGCCTGCAACTCACCCTCCCCCCCCCCACTGTCTCCCACCTCCGTCTGCCTCGCCGCTGCAGTGTGGAGTTGGGCAAGCAGCTGGCCAAGGCCATCGAGCCGGAGCTGACCTCGCCGGGAGAGGTCACCTCCCACGACTCCTCCACCAACGGCCTCATCGGCTTCATCAAGCAGCACCGGCAGTGACTAGGCGCGTGCGAGCCAGCACCGCTGCCCCCACCCCCCTCCAGCGTCTCCGCCAAGCTCTGACACGCCGTTCTTCGTGCTCGCACCACGGGGTTGGGGGTGTTGTGTTCCACCGGACGTGTCGGCCTCTTCCGCTCGGGTGTGAGCTGTGGGGTGCTGGGGGAGGCGCGGCGTAATGTGATGCGGGCTGACCAGGGTGTCCCCTCTCCCCTCCAATCTTCTGTAATACCCCGGCGAGGTTAGCTCGGCTTGTGATCGATCGTTTTGCTTGCGAGACGTTTGTCACAGGCAACCGCGGTGGCAAGCATGTGACGTGTGCGTTGCCTGTTTGTCTATCCGCTGCTGGAGGAGGGCCTTACCACCCATGCCGTTCGGGCTCATGGGGGAGGCCTTCAAACCTCACCGTTGTTGTTAGACCGATAAACATTTGACATGCAAGGACAATCGTTGTCACTCGTCCATCTACACTCGATTGGGTGGGGGGGGGGGGGGTAACGTGATGAAACGCACAGTGTGCGACACCCCTGCAAGTGTAGGCTCGTGTGAACGTCAAGCTTGAGGAAGAGTCTCCTCGCAAGACGGGCCACCGTCATCTCGTTATGCCAGGGGTGGGGAACCTTTTTTCTGCCAAGGGCCATTTGGATATGTATAACATCATTCGCGGGCCATACCAAATTATCAACTTAAAAATTAGCTTGTTATATTTGGTCAAACATTTCATTAACTCACCTCTAATGCGATGGCTGGAACTGCTTCTCTTTGGTGAGGCGTGTGATGTTAGCTGATATTGATGATGTTGCTACTCGCAACTGCTTTTCCAGATTTGCTCCTAGATTTATTGAATTTCGAGTGCCGCCTGCAGTTGCCTTGGCAGGGCCACACCAAATGATACCGCGGGCCTTGTACGGCCCGCGGGCCGGACGTTCCCCAGCCCTGCGTTACATCGTGCGTGGACTGCCTCCACCGACCCTCGTTATGAAGCGCCGATCCGTCTCGTTGGCTCGCTCGCCCCACCAGCGCTCACCCCACCAGCGCTCACCCCACCAGCCCTCACCCCACCAGCCCTCACCCCACCAGCCCTCACCCCACCAGCCCTCACCCCACCAGCCCTCACCCCACCAGCCCTCACCCCACCAGCCCTCACCCCACCAGCCCTCACCCCACCAGCGCTCACCCTACCCGCTGCCTGTTAGAGAACGCGCGGAGCACGTGCACACACCCTGTGGTCCGGTTGAACATTTCCACCGTGGCGAGCGGTCACCCCTCCATTGGTCCGCGTGCGCGCACGCGGAGAGGTTGCACGTGGCCACTTTTTGAACAAGCTTGAATCTCCGTGTGGTTTGTAAGCTCTGCGCACAGCGCCACTGGCGCGTAGAAACATTTCCACCCTTTAGAAGGAAGCTCATGTCCATCGCTGTGTGTGTGGTGTTTGTTGTTTTTGAGCATGAATTCTCACATGTTATTGGAACTCATTTAAGGCTTGGCATTTTGGGATACGAGTAAGGACTCGTAGACTGTGGTCAAGTTTTTGGGAAATTGCTGGTTAAAGTTGAATGACTTGATTTCCCCAAGGGGGCTTTTGGAGACCAATCTAATGTCACCTTGAGTTTGTTTATCACCAATATCTCACGAGCTATTCGCATGTTCTTCTTGCCGGCCTCTGCAAACCTCAAGAGTGACAGTGATAGTTGTGATGATGACGATGGTGGATATGGTGGTGGTGATGGTTGTCTGATTGTGATGACGTTCCAAGTGTTTCATGTTCCCTACTACCCCTTCATGTTTGTGGTGACGTACTGCAGTGAGACTCCGATAAACCCAGAATTTCCCATCCATTCCTTTGTTGCAACCAACCACGGTACTTCACGAGTTTTCCCAATGTAACCTTTCAAACGCGAGTCGTGACACGCCGCACGCACCTGATGTTTGGTGAACAAGTCCCGCTGGACGCGGCGCCGATTGAAATTGTCGCTGTTGTGCGAGAAGCACACGTACACCTATGCACACGTACACCTATACACACGCACACCTATGCACACGTACACCTATGCACACGTACACCTATACACACGTACACCTATGCACACGTACACCTATACACACGCACACCTATGCACACGTACACCTATACACACGTACACCTATGCACACGTACACCTATGCACACGTACACCTATGCACACGTACACCTATGCACACGTACACCTATACACATTCATCGTAGGCCCCATCTACGCATGGGACGCAAGATCGCATTGAATTCCAGTCAACACTTGGGTCAAGTCAGGACCACACGTGGTACAGTTTTACACACAAGGTCGCCAAAGTCTCCCAAGTTTGAATCGGCACTTGGGTCACGCGGGAACGCGCGTTGCGGACGGCATTCTACCGCACTCACGTCGTGTTCACCAATCGTCGGGTGCCTGCAGTTTGCAACAACGCAAATTTGTGTTTCAGAAGGGACATTGGTAAATGCAAAAACACGTGCGGTGGTCGAAATGCAGTGAATGGGGAGGAGGTCGTGAAGCCCTGGCAGCGTGTCGCCTCTGTCTCGCGCTGGACCGCATGTGAGATGTGACGTGTCCGTGTCGTCTCCGTTACAAACCGCGCCCCGCTGCTGGCTTGGTTTCCCCTGTCGGTGATCCTCGTGATGTCGTTGAGACGCTATGTGTGCCCGCGCACCGTGATCGCAAATAAAGTTCCGATCCTGCAACCAGCGGAAATGGGTCCCTCGCGTTTCATCGCCAGCTGATGGCCCATTGTGTTTGAGGAGAGGGAGGAGATGGAGAGTGCTTGCCAATAACGCCTAACTTCACATCTAGATCCAATAACGCCTGTTAAACCAACAGGCTGTGATGAAACCCCAAAAAGTCAAAACTGCTGTAGAGTTGGCATAAATCTTGAGTTAAAGCTTTCGTGACTGCAGGAATTAATATTCGTGGGTCTTTCGGTAAGTCGCGTAGATAGGTTCAAAGAAAATAACAAAAAGAACATACTTTAAACCAATGCTGCTTTTAGTATGTATGGTGAACTTCTTTTGCACCTTACGTAACCATCCGCGCTCATCGGGAGGTGTGGGAGAATGACAACAAACTAAACACAAGCAACAGTTCTTAAAGAAATGAGTTTTCAATCTAAATTTAAAAGTGCATAGCTCCAGTGGCTTCATAATATCTGAAGGAAGAGCGGTCCAGACGGCCGCAGAAGCGCATCTGAAAGCGCGCGATGCATGGAAGTCTATTTTAGTTTCACATTTTTACCCAGAATATCTCCACAATGGCCGATAATGTTCATACTGGTGTAGCGGACATTGTCCGCACCAACACGTGCTAAAACAGGTTAGGCTATCGGTCCGTTTATTCCAACTCTGTCACGCACGCAGCTCCCTCCTTCATACGCCGCTCTCTCCTCCCGTCACTCCGACGTGCTCTCTGAACCCCACGCTCCCCTCTGCCGTTCCCTGAGCCTCATCCCCCCGTCACCTAATTCCCAGCCACCAGTCGCATATCGTCGCATTTCGGACCACGTCTCCTCATCTCCAGCCCCCAATCTCCGATCTCCACCCCGCACGGTTACTCCCGGTCAAGTCGGTGAAGGGGATTCACGTCGGCATGTAGCACGAGGTGGGGGGTGCTGATGTGGGCACCGTTATGGAGGACTTACACAGGCAGCCACGATCTTTCCACTGCTGGATAAAGTTCTCCCAATTTCGCTGCCGTCCCCGCGATGCACGCTCCGTCTCCGCTGTGGATGTAACCCTTCCATAAGACGAGCTTTCAACACCACAGTAAGTCGTGATTTGTGTGCTGAGTATGCTGGAGTTACTTAACTCCTCCACTGTACGAGTTCATATTAAATGTCTTTAAGGATAAAGGTGCTCTGTTCAAAACCCACAGGAGCCAGTTCAGGAAATGCAATGCCTTTTAATTAAAAAAAAACGTGTTTATCAAAAGCGCGCTTTGGAGTTTCGGGCGTCGGGCCGTTTACTCGGTGCTGCGCACGTGTATACATAATTCGAAAAGAAAACAAATTAACCTAAATTGGCTGTCCAGTTAATGCCGTGAAGGTTTAACCGATGTCTCACTCCGCCGACGGCAGAGGCTGGCGAAGAAGGGGTGCTGTGCGCGACATCGGTAGCCGGGACAGCTCTGTTGCTGTTTCTCGCTTGGACAGCGCCAATGCGTCCACACAACATTTCATGTACAGGGCCCTCTGTCAATCCACTGCTGGATGAGTGCCTACCCCAAACCCGCGCTGGTTGTGAGCGTTGTTTTAAGCCGGCACCCCGGTTAATGTGGGTTTGTGACAGTGGTGGGGGTGGGACAGATACGTGGGACCACATAAGTACTGTATAACGATGGATTTGGCAATACATTATTGCAATCCTGACCCTTATGCTCATACAGGTGGTGGCGAGATGTTAACTCCCTCGCCTGGTATGCAGGAGGTCGTGGGCTCGATCCCGACCCTTGACGCCTGTTGTATATTTGGAGCCTGCGTGTTTCTCTCCCCGTGGTCGCGTGGATTTTCCTCCGGGCTCTCCAACGTTTCCCTCCACATTTAGAATCAACATGCAGTTCATAGAATATTTCGCTGCTATACATTTCCACACGATAATCCACCTCGTTGAGCTTTCATTTGTGGCCAGGTCGCTTCTGAAAAAAAATAGCTCGTTCAGTAGACCTTATCCGGTAAAATTAAAAATAATTCGAAGTTGAAAAGTGTCTAGTTTCAAGTCCAAACACGAGCTTCACAAGACGCCTGCTTCGGCTTGGGAGATTTGACGACATTCGGGCATCAGATCTGCGTTGCTAAGCCGGGCCATCCTCCAGGACACGTTCGCTCGCTCCCCTTGGGACGGAGATCGAGAAGGCGAAGGCGACGCGGAGGGCAGGCAAAGAGGCCCTCCAAGAAGCGGCCCCACATTGTTTGGCCGCGTGGCGGTGCAGCGTTGCCCGCTGGTTTCGCTGTCAAATCACAAAAAGAACGATCCTATAACAGACTACTGTTAATCCAATAAAAATCCGATGTAACGATAACGCTATAACGGCAAAAAAACCCAAAGCATCTTAGCCACACCATTACTACTGGAGTATGTATGGAAGGCAAACGAAATATTAAACGTCCGGCCCAACTTCCCCCTCGGTCAAATGAGGGCGAATGCACACAACCATCGACCACAACGGAAACGAGGGGAAGCAGGTGGGGGGCGGAGGAGGAGCCCCCCCCCCCCCCCCACTAATGCGAGTCGGCTCCAGTATCAGTGGAGCCACGAGCATCACAAGCATCACACGCGCGCACGCCCAACAACGGGATGCAACAATGCCCGTTGTTTAACAGATCTCCCGAAGAGCGAAACAGAATCAGAATATTCATACTGGAGGAATCCCATGAGCTATCGAGCTCTTTGTTCACAGATGTCCCGGAGACATTGTGTCAGCTAGAGCCAGTGGGTACCCGTTTGCGACCCTGGTGCGGCCGGGAACGGGTACGGGTAGACCGTGAGTCACTGGTGAGTAACTGTTTGTCACTCATTTCCCAACGTCTTGTCTCTTCTCACAATTCAAGTTCCTAGAATCAACCCACCCGCGCCTGCAACATGGCTTCATCCCAGAGGTCGCAATCAGGTACCCGATACCCGTACCCTACCCGTTTGCGACCCTGGTGCGGCCGGGTACGGGTAAGGAATCAAAACCAGTTTGCGACCTCTGCATCCCAGCACAGGCAAACTCGCGGTCTACAGCGCCACCCGGTGGTTTAACACCCACCGTGTAAGTCACGCACGTTCCGATACGCGAACACGACCACTTTGACACTGCTCTGTCTTGGGGTTGATCGCCTGGCTAAGGGTGATTGTTGGTACAACACATTGTCCTGCGGAGGGAGCTGGTAGGAACGTTGGGTTGCTCGGTCAATGGCCAGGGTCAACGACGGCGTGGTGTATTCCGCAGATATGCCCGACTGTGAGGGCGGGCACAAGCCGGCGTGAGTAGGTTAAACGTTGAGTTTTATAAGGGCACCACGGGGTGACCAGAGCCCTCCTCACCCAGCCCCACCCAGCCCCTCCCCACCCAGTCCCCTCCCACCCCCCTCCCTGCACGACGGACACAATAATCCTCTGTGGGCTGGCGTAACCAGGAGGTTCCTACCAGTATAAATTGTGGGTCTTGAGTTGAGACTATATTGAGCAGAGAAGTAACGACAGCAGGTTTACAACTTCCACGGGGGAAAAAATAGTGGTGTGCTTGGATACGTCCAAACATTGTAATGCCCTCTACCCATATGGCGAAGTCGCAGGACTTTTAATTTCACGGTGGTCCTGGGAAATAATAAAATAATAATACATATTATTTTATTAGAAAATAATAATACATATTATTTTATTATTTCCCTTCTACGTGACTTTACCGAAAGAACCAAGAATATAATGCTTAATCCTTTTGCTCTACTGCCATCATTTGGATACCTTCGATGTCAGGGCACTTTTAGAGTTTTCTTTATAAAAAGCGGCCATCCACCAAATGTTTCTCCCCGACAAAGCACTGGATTAAAGGCGTGTGACATGACACAATGCCTAATATTTTAATTACATTATACCTCGTGTGATCTGCATATCTGGGTATTGCACAACATGACACCAGCATTGCTTTGAGGAATGCATGGCAAAAAAGATGACATTACATATTAAAAACAACTTAAATGTATTTTTGCAGTATTATACGAAAATGGAAAATTCCCAAAACTCCACATTGCCAGAGCCGAGTATGTTGGGAAAAAGGGCAAGAAAATAGAAAAATTGAATTGAGGCATTGATTTTTAAGCTGGTGACGTGCACAAAATGTATACATGTGAGCATGTACATATAAACATGCTGTGTAAGATATACCATATATAAATACGCCACTAATATTCTGGAGCTAATTTCGCATATCTCTTTTCCAATTACATTCGTCCTTACAACACCGCCAATTCACTTCATTAACGGAGACAAAATGCACACCTGTTCCAATGAATAGACTTTATTTTGTTCAAAAAAAGCAACTTCGTGTACACAAAATCCACGTTAAACCCCATAAATAAATGCCTAGAACAGTGTCAACAACGCTCGTGTATTAAAAGTTTATGTGCTCTATTTTGTATAATTTTTCAGTCACACTTCAATAAAAAAACATTCATCGCTGCCAACACGCCCTGCGGATCGTGTCAAAAGTGCTGCTGCTGCCACAAACAGTGCCAATCAAAGCAATAAAATCATAGCAGCTCAACTATAACCACTGTCAACATTACAGTTTCAAATGGCAAAGTTAACAACCTCTGTAAAAACAATTATAAACGGTGTCCCGGATGAACGGCGAATGAGATGTTTCATCGTACATTGGCCAAACAAACAAATGAAATCGGTAAGCTAACCGATCACACCCATTCCAATACGTATGACGACGCATCCATCATTCATTGGTTAAGATCGATCTTTACACTCGCATCACATGCATGTTTCTCAAAAGTTATCATTGATGCGCAATGCAAACTGTATGGAGATTAAATGCCATTACTTTGAGGCGAATGAAAATAAAACCGCACGAACGAGACGGTAAACAGAAGACAAAATTGTGGCCACGAATTGCGGCCATTTTTTAAATCACTGTGGGGGGGGGGGGGGGGTTGCATGCCCTAATGATAATCTTCCTGGATCCATTAAACCAACCACGTGGTTCCACACTGCTCTCAGGAAACCTCTCTTGAGTGTGTTCTGGCTCATTTTCTTAACGCCTATTGCATACGATATTGAGGTTGTCAATCTTGATATCCACTTAAGCCACTGCTTGAGGACATTGTGGCTGTATCTAAATCCATGCCCTCTTTTCTACACGACTAGGCAATCATTTACCAGCAGGGGAATCGCAAGGCATAAGTGCAACCATGTGACCTTGTGAGTGCCTGGATCCAAGGAGTCTGAAAATTGTGGAACTTGACCCAGGCAAGGGACGTAAAGTTGCTTCACATTTGTGAAAGAGAACAACTTGTAATACACTTATTTTTTTATGCAATTTATTTTACCAAGGTAAGGCCCACTGAGCTGATTAGCTCTTTTTCAGAAGCGACTTGGCCACGAAAAAAAACTCAACAAAGTGGCTTATCATGTGGAATTGTATATAGGCGTCAGGGTTGGGATCGAACCCACTCACGTATACCAGGCAAGGTAGTTAACATCTCGCCACCGTGGCATCCCATGCCCTGTATGCTGTTGTTCAATTACCCAGCATCATGCTCTATACCATTAAGTCTAACAGTTATCCCATCAATATACCCCATTTCCTTGTTAAATAAAAGAGAAAAAATCAATAAAACCACCAATAACCACATTAATTAAAAATACAAGGTAAAAAACCCCGACTGGATGCAGTCAAATTAAACGTCATTATTACCAAAAGTAGGGAAAGCTGTGAATACAGATGCTGAAAAATGTTAACACTTGAAAATGGACACTTTGGCAACGTTTTTTGCTTTAGCAATATACAAATGTAGCCCTCTTTTTCTTATACCAGTATTGCTCGTTTCACAGTGACACAAATCGTCGCACACACCGCGGTCCACTCACTCTCGTTAATGAAGCGCTCCCCTACTTGCTTTCATTAAAACGTAACACACGCGAAAACTAAAAGCCTTAGGCCTGCTTCGCAAGTACCATTCTATTGCAAGGTTCTCGCATACTGCGACCACCCTAACTCTTAAAGAAAACCTCGATGAAGATTAAAAGGTTACTTCATGTCGTGCGACTGTCCTACATGCTACCTTAACACCATGTGTTCTATGGCCATTGCACAGAATAGGGTTGCAGTCAGGGCCTGCATTTCAAGGCCCGAGGAGGGGACGGTTTATTGTCTTAATCTTAGTTTATATTTATAGAGCGCCTTAGCTCAAGGCGCTTAACGCAATTTAAAACGAAGTCAGAAAATAGAGTGATTTAGGTGGCGGGGGGGGGGGGGGGCGAGAACGAGTGACCACGATAGAGGGTACTGAGGGATCACGAAAGGGCCGGGGAGGGACGTGAATGAGTGGAGGGGAGAGGGGAGGGAAGAGGGAAATGGGCAATGGAGAAGAAGTGGAGCTTTGAGGAGGAAATGAAAGGAGGTTAAGGAGGGGGACTGCTTCATGTACAGGGGACGTTTTCTTCAGTGGAGGGGATATGGAGGAAGAGAAATTGAAAATGAGATTTGGTACAGTGAGGAGAGACAGAGAGAAGATTGGGAACGAAGAGGAGCGGGGGCATCATGGACAGAGATGAGAGAGGCAAGATGAGGTGGGGCAAGGCCATGCAGAGATTTCAAGACGAGTGCGAGGTATTTGAAAAGGCAGTGGTGTAAACGGGAAGCCAGTGGAGTCGAGGGAGAAGCCAAGTGTGACAATTAAATGGGAGATTATAACCCGCACGGAAGCATTTTTGAGTTTGTTAGAGGGAAGTGAGAGCATAGGTAGGGACAGCAAGAAGATGAGAATTGTAGTAGTCCAGACGGGTAAAGATCAGAGCATGAACCTGGAGTTTGAGGGCAGAAAGTGAAAGGAGAGGGCGGAGATTTTCCTAACGATGAGTGCAACCGAGCCAGATGCTAGGAATTAACAATAAACATCATGACCAGGCACTTTCCATAGGGCCACCTCTCATTACAAACATTACCATTGCACATAAAACTAAAACAATAACGCCTTTTTTTTAGAAGAGACTTAAAACAATCCCCTCGGCCTTTCCAGCAGCTACGTCAAAATACCTTCACGCATAAAGTGCGTTTGGACCCATTCTTAATAAGAGACACGACGGAGATGATTTAAAGGAAACGAGACGAGCCAGTGAGTGTGTGCTTGTGAGCGTGTGTGTGTGTGTGTGGCTATACAGGGGATCTTTGTCTTTGTGTGTATGGGAAGGGCGACCGTAGCGGTCAGCACGCTGCGCTAGAAACCTGGGAACCGCAATTCAATTCCCGCTCAGGGCCAACACAGTTACGATGATCTCAACCGGTCCTGGGCCTCCCCTATGTTGACTCGGCCTCAAATCAGTACCTAGTGCGGTGTGTAAAAACATTGCCACTGGGGAGACAAAGGTGGTCGGGCATCGTGTTTGCCACACCCCCTCGTGTGCCGTTCCAGCCATCATAGATGCTAACAGCACTTGCCCCAAAAATCTGTTAAGGCTATATGGGGGATCTTTGTCTTTGAGCGCGTGCGAGTGCGAGTGCGTGTGAGTGTGTGCGAGTGCGTGCGAGTGCGTGTGAGTGCGTGCGAGTGTGTGCGAGTGTGTGCGAGTGCGCGCTAACATGTCCGCGGCGCCGTCACAAAAGCTCGTGCTCCTCATCCTCCGATCCCGACGGTCCTTGCCGCACCTCGGCGTACCACTTGTTGGTGAGCGAGCGCATTTGTATCCTGCCGTTGCGTAAGTCCTGTTGAAAAGACACAAAGATCACCCGCATGGGCTTTCACAGACTGTTGGGGCAAGTGCTGTTATTAGCGAGTAGTGCCTATGAAGGCTGGCACGGCACACGCCTTTGTCTGCCGAGTGGCGATGTTTACACACTACACCGAGTACTTATTTGAGGCTGAGTGGACCTAGGGGAGGACTAGAACCGGTTCAGATAATCGTCATTGGTGTCGGCCGTGGGGAGGAATCGAACTCAGGTCGCTGGGTTTGTAGCGCAGCATGCTAACCACTGCGCTACCGCTCCCCTACGCTTCACACGTGTGCAACAAACACACTGCTCCGCTAAGACAAAGCCACCATCAAGCCACAGTGTATACACCGATGTCCCTAACGTGTCTTAAGACTTTGAACGTTTGTGTCAAGGCCAAAAGACACGTTGAACTTGCTGATCTCAAGGAGCATAAACCATCACACAAACTCCGGTCAGCTTTCAGATGCGATTGCTTAATATCTAGATTTCTTTAGAACTGCTTATAGTGTTCAGTGTGTTGTCCTTCCCCCGTGCCTCCGATTAGCACAGTTGGCTAAGTACGAAAGAAGTCCAAAATACATACAATACATACATACATATGACTCATCCCATCCATTCCTGACTCCAGCAAATGCCAAGTTAGGCTTATATTGAAGCCCGAGCCCTGCACAATCCCTCTGCCCAGAAGCAGGCTTAAGATTAATATAAAATGTTAAATAATTAACTCGCAGCAGTACAACAGTTGTCATTGTGTACATTTCCCATTACCATTTGTTTTAAATTATTTTGAACAAGTAACTATAGGATGGTTCTGCTATCATTAGGGAAGATGTCTTTATAGGTTCACTCCTTGGTATAAAAAAATAGAAAAATTATTATTGCTGTAGCTAAGTATTACAAACTGTATTTCTTTTAAAATATGAAAGTAAAATGTTTGATCAACAATTAGTCGTATTCATACGTTCATGAATGTTCCTTGAGATTTTTGGCGATAACATGCCCAGATTTCTATCACTAGCATTGCCGAAAATTGCAGCGGCAATGTTTTTTGTCAGTAATCAAATAGAGACATCAATCCGGCCAGATGTCACGAGTGGGGACACTTTAATTCAATGTTGGCTTATTTGTCTCTTTACCCAGTTTTACTGTTTGTGTGAACGGCATCGAGTTGTGTGGGATGAAGAAATTTCCACCTGAAACTCTTAAAAAGTGATCAGTGCATCACTCTATTTTTGAAAATGGCCTGCAGAAGGTAATCTTATTTTATCCAGATTTATATAGCGCCTTATTCCAAGGCGCTTTACAACAATTACATCATTGTAAATAAGATTATAGTGGTTGAGATCAAGAGTGGAGTTCTTCACAGAAATATTAATGAGAACTAGATTTGAAGTTTTCGTGACTGCAGGGATCCATACTCTTTGGTTCTTTCGGTAAAGTCACGTAGGTATAAAATAAAATAAATTAAATCACGACGTTTCGATTGCAACACCAGCAATCATCATCATGTGAGAAATCCACAAAATTTTCTTGCTGTGGTTTTCCCACCTGATCATGATTGCTTGTTGCAATCGAAACGTCGTGATTTAATTTATTTTATTTTATATCTCCGTGACTTTACCGAAAGAACCAAAGAGTACTTCTGAGAACCTTTCAAGTGTCCTCGTTTATCCATAAACTAAGGGACGCTATTCCCCGTATGCATTGCTAACGAGACATTTTATTCAAACGGCAATCAAACCACATTTTTTAACTAAATTACATTGTTTGTTAATATTTTTTCGCGTGTGCAGTCAATGGTGACCAGAATGGGACCATCAACTTTCTATGCTTTAAGACCTGTTTCATCACTGGTAACTGAAACACCGATTTAAGCCCAAAATCTCAATGATGCCAGATCAGTTTTCTGACCTATGACCCACCTGGCCACCTCCAGATTATGTAATCTAAGAGCTCTGCATGTGTGTGTATGTGTGTTTGTGTGTGTGTGCGTGTTTATCTATGTCTGAGCGGAGTGGTCAGTCCATTGCGCTATGAACTCAGCGTCCAGAGTTCAATTCCTGGTAAGGGCTAAGATCATTGGTGAAGATCTTAACTGGCCCTGGGCCTCCCCTATGACTTCAGCCTTATATGAGCGCCTAGTGCAGCGTGCAAGCATCAACACCCTAAAAACAAAAGCAGCTGGTTGCGATGTCGGTAACATCCCCTTTAATGCACCATGTTGGCCTTCAGAAGTGCACGGTAACAGCACTTTCCCCAACAGTCCATAAAGAGGCTAAGGGGGGGGTTCATTGTCTTTTTTGCGTGCGTGTGTCCGTGGATTGGATGGAAGGCCGAGTGGCGCACCTCTTTCGTGATGCGCCGCGTGAAGAAGGGGATGAGGTATTTGGCGTCCAGCCACAGGAAGCCCTTGAGGTTGGGCTTCACGTACGTGGCCTCGTATTCCTCCTCCGTCAGCTCCGACAGGTGCTCCGTCTCCACTGTGTTGCCCTGTCCAGGGAACACGGCGGCACGTGTGAACGGCCGTCAGGGTCCTCTCGCGCGCACATGACAATACAACAAAATTTGGCACACCTCTGAATTGCAGGGTGTGCAAAATCCGGGCTTATATCCGATGTCTGTGCATTAAGCTATGCCAGAACCGTGTCCACATTGACCATACATGTCCACAATCATTGTTGTACTTTTTTCTTATGTTTTGCTTTGCCATTTTGACGACTCGGGTCACTTGCCGCTTGGTGCGGAGGTTCATGGTTCGATTCCGTCAGCCGCCCTCATTAATACTGCTGGTGTAATACACTCATTAATTGGCTGATAACACCTCTATGTATAGAGGACCACGAAGCTTAAAGGGGAATTTGGCAAATTAGGCATCAGAATTTGCTTGTCTGTGGTTCCTCTTGCATCTGAGTGAAATCTGTAAGAAGCATTACAAGTTGACATGAATCATTATTATCACGTGTGTTTTTGAGGCACTCTGGTTAACTCCCACAGAAAACAACTATTTATAAGCCCAGAAATATGAATCTCCAACATTCAATTGTTACGAACTAAACATCTGATTTGATGTTTTAATGAATTAAATTTGTTTATCTATTAGTTTAGTTTATATTTGTTAGTGTGCATGACATCTGTGAATTTATTATACAACCCCCCATTAACTCAGAACATGACAGCCAACTAGCGAAGCGGACCTGGCAACTTCTCCTATTCAAATCCTATATAAAAAACAATTGTTACGCAGACGCACATCAGTCTTATTATCACCAGGCATTTATGTACGTAATTATCTAGTGCCCTGGCCACAAAAGGGTGATGAGATGATTGGCAAGAGCAACTCATCGCATGTCCACGTTTGCCACATTTGAAAACGATGTGAATGTAATGGGAGTGCTTAATAATGGCTAATGTAATTGGCCAGGGTTAAAAATGTCCCCATGTCCATTTGGCATGCGAGGCAAAATGAGATGGAAATTATCATCATTAGAGCTTCAAGTAATAGACTAATTGTGCAATAACTTAAAGCTCGGTTCTACATTAAAGTGAACCGGCCAATAACAATGGTATGCTTTGCACTTATTAAATGCTCATTATCAACTGTTATTTCCGTATGATTTGTGGATTAACAATTCAGCATAATTTGCCAGCAATAAGGGCCAAACTAAGATCCCTAATAGGCAATGGTCCTTTATCAGATGAGTTACTGCTATTATGTAAAGCAGGGGTCCCCAACCCCTTTTAGGAACGGGGCCGCACAGCAGGAGGTGAGCGGTGAGTCCGCATGTGGCCTGCCCCAATTATTTTATTGACCACTTCCGTACGTGCTTCTTTCCCGCACTGCGCACTTGTCTCAGTCACAGTTTTGGTGAGCCCACAAGCTGCTAACCCCTAGGCAAAATGAGTAAAAAAAACAAACGTCGCTGGAGAGCTTCTTTGAAAAGGGGAAAGACCCAATGATGAACCCCCTCCCCCCGCCCACAGTCCGTGAAAAAATTGTCTTCCACGAAACCGGTACCTGGTGCCAAAAAGGTTTGGGACCGACTGTAAAGCACAGACGGCAATGCAGGCTTCGCTTTCTCAATCTCCACTGAGGAGAGAATGAAGTAGACATTATATTTCATCCTTTCATCAACCTCATCTCCAAACGTCATCATTGTCATTACGTTCATTATGGCCAAGGCTGTGACAAAAGTGGAAGAACCACACGTGTGTGTGTCTGTGTGTACAATGGATCGACATTATTGACTGATAACATTATTTTTATACTCACGATACGTGTGAAATTGTGTGTAAGCAATTATTAAAGTACGGAAAGTAATTACAATTAATAATTTATGCAAAAGTATATCAATTATGTATGGTTGATATACATTCGATTTTGGGCCACTGCTAACATCAATAATTATATTATTGCTGGTTTTTCACCCACCATCATCTTTCCACTGACCAGCGTGGTAAGGTATGACCAATCACCATGACTGTTATAATGTGAGCGAAGACTTTATCCAGAAAAACAAAGGGCAGGCTATTATTGTCGTCTTGCACATGCCAATGAGTCACATTTTGCCTACAAAACTGCACAAAAGAGACGGAACAAATAAGAAACAACGCAAACAAACGAGACGCTTGAAACGAGACCAAAATGCAACCAAGTCTCAACTCGCGTCGTGACCGCGAATCAAGACGATCATTCGACTCGCCGGGTGGGCAGGGGGGGCGAATCGTCACGTTGCCCACACGCGTGCCACCGCCACCACCTCCCCTCCTTTGTACGCACCATCTTCTCAGTCTTGCTGAGGCTGATGTCCTTGCGCGGGCGCTTGGTACGGGCGCTGGCCTCGTCGATGTCCATGTATTTGACGAGTGGCATGGTGGCGCCGCCCAGCAGCAGGATGGTGAAGAGCACGATAACGATGGTGGTGGTGCCGATGAGCTGTCGCTTCTCTAGCGGCTCCAGCTGTAAATGCAGGCTCAGCGCGTACGGGATCGCTCCGCGCAGGCCTGCGGCCACCCCGGCAAGAACAGCAATGGTGACAGGACAGCAGTGACGACAGCAATGATGGCAGTAGCAGCAGCAGGAGTGTCAATGAGTAAAAACGTTGGTGATGTTTTTTCAGTTTTATCAAGTTAATTGCTTAATTGGGGTTATACATATAAATCACTGCCCCCTACTGGTAGACTAATGCACGATTGCAGGTCAGGTGCTGAGTCACCTTGTGCCCACAGGGGGTGTTTTTTCAAATGTTTGCGATGAGATGTGATATAAAGCACTCCGAGACGAGCCAGCGTATTGGCTGCTATGTCAAAAATAAATCATTGTCATCATGATAACTATGGATGTTACAATGCATCACCACCACCCCCTGGCTCAATCCATTAACGACACTTTAGAATCTAGTTTAATTACAGGATCTCGGCTGTGCCAGCTCAAAGCTCTGACGTCTGAGCCACCTGGCCACCTCAAGAATCATTGTCTATTTTAAACATTGCTGTGAATGATAGGGTCTCGAGCGGCTGCCATTGGTGATGTACTGCGAGTTACGTAGATACGAACAAAAAAACATTGATTCTTACGCAGGAAATATGATGCATGAATCATGAACGTAAGTGTCTACATGAAATTGATAAATCAATGCGTTGTTACACCCCGAGGTGATACCAAAAAGAAGTAGTTCTAAAGGGAATGCAGTTAATGTCAGGTTATCCACTTCATTCAACAGCACATGCACCAAAGTGCACAATGAAACTCATTATTTCTAGCTGTGGGGTTTGGGGGAATCATTTGGAAATCCTCCCTTGTAACTCTCCTTACTCCCCAAACAATTACCTTCGAATCCATGACCAATCAGATTTTATATTCCATTAGAGCGTTCACAATTAGCCACGCAATTTTTTATTCTGCACTTAGTTAATTGAGAGGGGCTCTCCCCTGTTAGTGCCGTTAAATTTAAATCCACGACGCTGCCAAGTCAGCAAAGATAACATTAAGAGCAGAAGTAATTGGATTAGTAATAGCAGCATTACCTTAACAATAACATGAACATTAGATCCACCAATGCCAATTGCTAAATGAGCAAAAAAGAACATTCAACAACAGCAGGAGCACGAACGTGCAAACGACAAAACACCTGATACTTGGCAGCAGTAAAAGCAAAAATAACAAAAAAACTCAACACATCTGTCAATAACAGTGCCTTGAAAGGAAAAATAAACACCAAAACCTTGCTCATCGAGGGTTTTCCCATTGCGAAATTGACCATTCCATACCAAACTTATTGGAGGTATAGTTCACCGATTGCACCACTGTGGCTCGATCATTCACGGATGACAGTGAGATTCCTTTACGCACCATAGAGTAATGTAGCCTAACTGCACGGCACGCGATGATGTTGCCGCCGCGGGAAAAGTACACACGCCATCATCATCATTCATCGTTCATGATGATGAACTGTGAACCAAAACCTAGTTTTCCCATATGCCTTTGAGTTTATGGATCACGGATTTGACGACTGTGCTATTTGAAAGAACGTAACCTCAGCCGCGATGGGCCAGATTTTGGCGTTATAATAGTTGTGACCTTTTGGGCAATGACTCTTCTTCACAGCACATGATGAAGAGAGGCCAGAGAATTGGAGTGGAAAAGAGTTGGAGACTGCGCTTTGCAGGTGAATGCGTCCGTATTTGGCCAGGACAGGATTGGCCGCCTCACCGCTGAACCACATGATGAACTGCATCTTGGGAGTAATTTTGTGGTCCCTGAAGAAGTTGAGCAGGAAGGACAGTGGGTAAATGTTGATGGCACGACCAACAAGGATCAACACCTACAAAACGAGACAAGTGGTAACGGTAATATCCTCGTGAACTTAAAACACTGCATCGATAAAACTAGCAATCAGAATTGCGAAGAGGAAACTAACCTACAGCATTCTTACCACTTTGCCCTCTCTCGCCTTCACCAATACAAACTGACCAGTATGGTGAAGTATGGTCAAAAATCCAAATGACCAACAAGGCTTTGGAGAATCTTATGTCCATTGGTGGATTGATATTGGGTGGATATTGTTAATTTGTGCATAACTGTGCAACTGCTACGATGAATTATCACACATCACTTAAGTGCCATACATTAGCTTGAAGTTAGTGCAGGTATCCAAAACGGTTGTGTCCTTATTTGTACAAGATTTGAGGAGGTGTTATATATAAATGTAGATTATTTTTGTACCATGGGAAAACCGTGTTTGATGCATTTGATGTAACAGAGAACTTACGATGCACCAGATGACAAAGGAGATTTCAAATTTGTGCGGGAAGCTGAAGATCGCCAGCCCCAGGTAGGCAAACATGCACGTCTCTGCAAAGCAAAGCGGACACTAAACACAATGCATGACGTAGTTTACAGCACAACTTCCCCTGCAGGGCGAGTGACAAGTCCCCATGCCCCTTTACTACCGCGTGTAATAACAATCCTTTAAGACGGCGGTGTGCATGGACTTCCCGTCCACTCGATGCATCAAAGCACCATAACGAACACACCCCCAGCATATTGCAGACGCGTTCAGCAAGTAGCAGGAATGCACCAACGCGTACATCAATGAAATAAATTAAATTATTATGTTCATGCTGCATGGACTGAACCATGTACGGGACCCTTGATAATTTTCGAATTATTATAATGATGATGTTATTGTGGTTACATGTACATATTTAGGCTAAAGAGACTGAAAAAATGACACTATTCACAAGTGAAAAAAGTATTAATTATTGAATCAACAGCAACTGTGAACTATACGAATTCATCAAAATGCTGGTTGGGATTGGAGGGGAGTGATCATCAAATACCTAGTATGTAGCTCTCAATAAGAGACCTGTGCATTAAATTCCCTAATCCAGACGAACATGTCTGATATTGATCAATGAATGTGGCCAGTACAGTATTGACTTTCACATTCTCATATATACCCGACCACACAAGCAGGCCATTATAAATCATATTAATAATACAACCGCCAGAAGGCTTTTACCCTCATGTGGATCAGCTGCGCACTTGAGAACATGTTAACCTTTCCCGCAATAAAGCACCACCTCTGCTCATCCTCCCATCCAATCTGTTTGCCCGCTAAATTCACGCTCTGCTGCCGGGTTTCCCTGCCCCCGGGGTGCCACGTCTGCCTGTGTGCTTGCGTACCGCAGAGGAAGGCAACTGTGCGGAGGGTTTGCTGCATGTTGATCTGCGTGATGGGCGAGAGGTTGTGATGCGTGTAGTGGGACATCACGATGCCCGTGAACAGGATTGCCATGATCCCTGAAAAATAAAGGTGCCCGTGCATACCGGTCACACAGCCATCACAGTATAACGTAGGTCGCCGACACACAATAAGAGCTTCAGCCTGACCATTAAAATCAACGTCAATTAACAAGTAGATCATTATTTGCTTCTAAAAGCCCAAACTCATCTGAACATCATTATCAGTGAAGGACATGCTAGCCTTTGAATCATTGATAAAAATCGTAGCAGCGTACATTTTGTGTTTTCAATTTGCATGTTAATATGGAGGGACGACAACATAACGCAATCACGTTTGCAACATTATGAAATAAAATAATGAAAAAAAACCACGTGCATAATAGCATGAAATGCGAATGCACATTGCGTGGAAGGCACAAATTAGAATGCATCTGTGCAATATGTGCACAATGTGTGATCACACGTACCTGACAGCTTTAGGCCCTCGCAGAGGCCATATGGCAGATATGCAAATATTATCATCATCCCAAACTCCAGTGAAGGGGTCATCCTCAGGTCAATGTGCTTCAAAAGGTGAACAACTTACTAAGGCAAATGCGACATTTGAAATAACCAATTGAAATGCACATGACATGCAAATGCGTCTGGATAAATGGTTCGCCGTGGCAATTGTTTGGCATTGTTTATTGAACGGCAGTTAATGCTGCCTGCTAATCGAATATGTATCAGAGCATTTGAACATTCATCTTCTTGGTTCTTTCGGTAAAGTCACGTAGAAGGGAAGTAATAAAATAATAAAAATAAAACATAATAAACAATTCTCACGACGTTTCGGCCACAACGCAAGCAGCCGTCCTCATGTGAAAACCAGGTCTGTCGAGGCGACAGCTTTTTTTCATTTAGACGCTGTCGCCTCGACAGACCTGGTTTTCACCTGAGGACGGCTGCTTGCGTTGTGGCCGAAACGTCGTGGCCGAAACGTCGTGAGAATTGTTTTATTATGTTTTATTTTTATTATTTTATTACTTCCCTTCTACGTGACTTTACCAAAAGAACCAAGAAGATGAATCCCTGCAGTCACGAAAGCTTTAAATCGACATTTAAACACTGTTGGATAATTATTGCAATCATCAAAATACTGTATTCAATTACTGGATGGGCAAAACACATTCATTAACTAAATATTCCAGTGTAATTTGCACGTGAAAAATCTTTTGAAATGGAAAAGCAATTAAAATTACTTTGGAAATATGAAGATATTAAATATGTTGTGACAAAATGTTGATTTTTGGTTGACGAGAGCGCACCAATAACTTACACTGCTAATTTTTAATTACTTACACTGCTAATTTTTCATTACTTACACTGCAATACATGAGATTCTGTAATTTTTGTATCTTTGAAAGACTGGTTTAAGTGCAGAATTGACGACTTCATGAACAAAATGAAGGCCACTCCGGGCCTCTCTCAAGGTCAACATGTTCGCTGCGCTGAATGCGTTTTGCCTCGAAAACATTTCCCGTGCAGTGAATGGGATTTCATTCCTCACGTCAGCTGCTCTAGGTGTCAAACTTGCGAATAATTTCTGCTGACAACAAACACTCCCGCAATCACATATCCCCAAAGTCTCTCCTGCTCGCAGGCATTGGCCGTCGGTGCCCGGGTACCACCGTCCGCCCGCACGCGTTCGCTGTTGCCAATAAAAGGATATGAGAGCGGAGATGAGCGCCAAGAGTATTCCCAGCGCTGCTGAACCAAAGAACATTTGCAGGAAGTTTGTGAACGCCTGCAGGAATGCATGGGAGCCACTCACATCCGACTTATCAGGGCTCGTCAGCCCTTCGGCCGTGCTGCAAAGCAAACAAAAAACATTAACTGCAGCGATGCAAACACAGCACAACAACAAAGGGGCGGATGCATATCTTGCAAAGACTCATGACAAGACATCTGGCGCCATAGAAACACATGTTAAGTATATATAAGTAGAACTCTGTTGTTTGTTTCTGCATACTAATATTCTATAGTCCCTTGGCTATTGGCTTTCCAGACAAATATTACCCAGCAGTATTTGTTTAAGCAAACAAATTCTGCAACGGTTTTGACGTTCTGGGATTGGCAAGTGCATTCCATCTCCATTATGGGGGTCTGTTCAATACAAATAGAATACATATGATGACAGAGTGGTGCAGTAGTAGCACATGTGGTTCACAGCACGAAGGGCCTGAGTTTTATTCCCGATTTGTGTGCTTTTCTGTGTGGAGTATGAATGTTGTTCCCCTGTTCTGTATGGGTTTTCTCCAGATTCTCCAGTTTGATCCCATAGCTAAAAACATAATGTAATTGGCATTGCAAGTTACTCAATTGGGATTGCACATTTGCAACATTGCCTCTTTAGTGCAAACACTTGGTAGGGCCTTTCTGAAAAAAAGAGTCTTGAGAATCGGTGTAGCTTTCCTGGGTCAGCAAGTATAATACAAATACAAACACGTTGTTGTGGAGCATTATGGGGAAATATATCTGCTGAACTCCACCTTGTCTCCACAAAATCATAAACTAAACTAAACTATAAAACTACTTTTATTGTACTGGGTAAGGCCCACTGAGCTATATAGCTCTTTTTCAGAAGCGACTTGGCTACAAATGATAACTCAACGAAGTGGCTTATCATGCGGAAATTTATAACTGCCAAATACTCGAAACGCATGCTTCTAAAGGTGGAGGGAAAAACCGGAGGACCCGGAGGAAAATCCACGCGATCACGGCGAGATCATGCAAACTCCAAATATACAACAGGCATCAGGGTCAGGATCGAGCCCACGACCTGTATACCAGGAAAGGGAGTTAACATCTCGTAAGACCAATTTAATGTGGCGTGTGTGCGAGCGGAGCTGATGTGTGCGAAGCGGTGGGGCGAAGGCTCACTTGGTCAACACGATTGCGACGGCATCGTTGAGAATGCTTTCGCCAAACACCAACATGTTGAGCACGGGGTCAATGCTGAGCGCGTTGAATATAGCGATCGTGGCCACGGGATCCACGGCAGAAATCATTGAGCCGAAGGCAAAGCTGCACAATTCCCAAGGTCACATTTGCAAAGACAGTGGACGAGCGGTGGGTGAGTGATTTATAAAAGGGGCAAGGAAAATCAATGTGAGAGTATGGATGCATTTACTCGCACTTACCTGTCCATCATGGTCAACTTGTAAATTACATCTGCCTAAAAAAACAGAAGGAGGAAGCATTTAAACCATGAAAATTGCATTTTAATCACCAATTAGCTCGTTTTAACATCACGCTTTTTTATTGCCAGCCTTGTAATAGTTTTTATTATAAAACACACCTGTCCCAGAATGTATATTCCTCCTCCGACTGCTGCAGCCGATAAGGCAGTTCCAAATACAGCAAACACAGCGATGGAGCCGATGTTCTGAAAGAAGTTTCCCTGCAGGATATTGTAAAGACAGTTCAGTCACATGCGGTAAATCTAAATATGTAACAAACATTGATGTATGTATGAGAGCATTAATACATGAAAATCAACTAAGCCCTGTAATTTTTGTAATTTTTAAGAATACATTTTCTAAGTGGTGAAATCAATTAATCGACCACTGGCATATTAGCAGTGATGCAATGTACTCTATGCTTTTACTTTAAGCCATTGACACCTCTGCTGAGGCTGACAGATTTAAACACGGATATTGGATTTTATGTGTAAAGCTTGACCTTCAAATGAACACGAACCTTGTGTAAGGAGTATCCAGACTCAAATATGATGGGTGGTAGGAGGATAAGGAAAAACATGTTTGGCCGAAACATTTCCTCTTCCTAGATTTGAGGGGGGGAGGGGGGGAAACCCACATTTATTACACACGACATGGGTATGATAAGTTGGAGAACAGATCTTGCAATTTTAAAACCATGAATGAACAAAAATACACAAACACCCACCTTCCAGTTGGCCAGTTTGTATTTTTCCACAATTCTAATGAAGGCTCCAACAACAATACCTGAAACACACAGAACCCACAAAAATGGCAGCATATGTTTTGATATTTTTTGTAATCTGTATTTTATTTCCAAACTATATCTTAAATGTTGTAGTCACTGTCAAGTCATGAAAGGAAGGATTAATTTGTTTTATGTTCGTCAAAGGCGAGCAGATGTCTAGATCTCAGAGCTCCCTCTGAAATCCCTTCAAGCAACCTCTGGTCCACAAAATAGGGGGCAGCACTTTCCCACTCATCCTCTCACATTACGGTAATGTTTTTTGAATTAAACTCAAGCCAATATTCTGAAATTCTCAGAGCTGGACTTTGTCCAAATGAAGTTGCAAAATTAAATAGGATGTTATTTTTGGCATGTCAGTGGGAACCGGGCTGAGAAACCTCGTTTATTTTCAATTTCATAATTTCTCCAATCATAAAAAAAGTCCATCAGCGAAATTATTACTCAGAAACATCCTTTAAGAGACAAGGCCACGTGCGCATTAAATGCAGCGTTCACCAACGTCTGTGCACTTACCCAGAAAGACCACAGCCACGCTCTCAGGCAGGAAGTGCAGCTTGAATTTAATGAGCAGACGCACCAGGACGATGCAAAGAGCTGGAAAAAAACAACCGGTGGTTTTCACACATACATCCACAGCTCTTCTGTCAATCTGCTGCTGAAAGAGGGCCCTACCCATGCCGTGCTGGTTGAGGCGGTTATTTTACCTTCTGTTATGATGCTGGTGAGTGCGGGTTAAAGGCAGGGAGCATATAAGTTGGTGTGCAGTAGAGTACAACAACGGATTTTGCTGCACTGCTCTCTGCTGACAACTTAACTGCTGCAGCCATGACACCTGCTTCATGCATGATGATCACCCTATCCAGGCCCAGCCCTGTTGAGCTTCTCCTATCTAATGAGGTCAGGCACATTAGGTGCTTTCATCAGGCAGTGGTTTCTGACATGCTCTATTCTTCTCTAATTTCACACCTTTACCATTTGCAGTTTAATTTTCGATTTAAAGCTTTCGTGACTGCAGGGATTCATCTTCTTGGTTCTTTCGGTAAAGTCACGTAGAAGGGAAGTATTATTTTATTACTTCCCTTCTACGTGACTTTACCGAAAGAACCAAGAAGACATTTGCAGTTTGATCACAATTGTGCGCGTTACCAATTAGCATTATAATCTCAGAACAGTGGTGAAAAAGTTGTTACCATAGTAACATTATAAAATCATATTTCGATGAATGGTAACTAAGGAGGGTTTCATGACTCTGGATTAAAGAACCCAGACCTTATTGCGTGACATTTTTTATTTATAAAAAATACCAATAAGGTCAACAAGTATGGCTTAGCTGTAGTGCATTCAAGGGATTAAGTGGCCTCACCCAGTGATTGGCAAGGGGGTTCATTAAGTTCTACTGTGTCAGCGAGCACAGTGAATAAGGCAGGTTGGCACACTGCATTGAACTCTCCCTAGGGAAAATATCCAATTACCCTGCAGTCAGCATAGTCGTATTTCAATTGGGGTCCATAGGTCACCCTGCGACCTGCCCAAGGCGTGCACCAGGTACTCCCAGAGCAAGGGCTTACATTTTACAAATAAATACACTGCCATGAGTGCCTATATGTACATGACAACTCCTAATATCTGCGGTGATATGGGTGACCAATATCATGGATACGATATTCTGCGGGGTTATCAGCGATTTCACTCTTATCAACAGGGGAAAGATTTGTGGATAACCCATGGTTAATAGGATTAATTTGCCAAGCGACTCCTTTTATTCATTAAAAATCATGGGTAATAGAAGTCCTTTAAGTGCAGCAGGGATCTTTGCAGCACCATTTATTTGCATCCAAATGCAAATAGGTGGTGCTTCAAAGACATGTGTCCATCTTCATATCCCCTTGTGAGCAACAAAGACATGCACACAGACACATGTGTCTTAGCGTTTGTGTGTCTCTCTGTCTTGTTGTATCGGTGTGTGTGTCTCCGTGTCTCTGCAATTGTGGGGAGCGGTGGTGTAGCAGGTTAGCGCGCCGCACTAAGAACCCGGCGACCTGACTTCGCCACTGGGCAGACAAATGCGGCTGGGCACGGTGTTAGCCACCCACCCCTTTGTGTCCCATGCCAGCTTTCATAGGTGCTTTCCGACAGCACTTACTCCTCTTCTTCATTCGTGTGGATTAATAGCGGCAGATTAAAGTTGTAATTTTACATTTGTTATCCACTCAATTGTCTGTTCAGAAGCAGAGTGGATCACGTCCCTTCCTCCTTTACAGGAGTGAAAATAGCAGGTAGCACTTGCCCTAGCAGTCTGTTAAAGGCTATATGGGAATCTTTGTCTTTGTTTTGTCTGCAAGTGTATTAGTGTCTATGTGTCCCTGTTGTCTCGTGATCAAATAAAATGCTAAACATGCATTTGCTTTGATGATGGCGATTTGAGATCTCATTCACCACAAATGTTAGCTGTTGACAGGTATAAAAAATGTGGTCACTGGTTATATAGCACAGTGCTGTACCAACTGCACAACCGTTCACAACCACACCCCCACCCCCCACAAAGTGATAAAATAAGTATAACCCGTAAAAACTAAGTTTTTCACTATAAATCCTTTATATCCGTGGCGGCTAGAGTCCTTTCGTCCTCTGGCTTGAGATGGCTGCCACCTATGGGTCAGATGATTGTCTGCCAGTATTAAGCAATTGGTAATTAAATATTTAATTTGTTTTCCCTAAACAGTGTAAAATTTTGGAAAAAACATTTTCACGAACATTAATTGTCTCGCACAACGAGTCTGCGTGCAAAATGTCAGCTCGATTGGATCACGGGAAGTGGGTTAAAAAACCGACCGAAAGATTTGCACGGTCGTAAGCAAGCAAAGCAAACAAGCACGCAAGCACGCAAGCAAGCAAGCAAGCGAACTTAATATAAGGGATTTAAAAAAACAACCATTCCTTTCCATTTCCTCCACTTAAAACTCATAAGCTGCTTTCTGCATGATCCCACGTGGCAGAGGTGAACCCACCGAGTACGAGCAATATGAAGAAGATGGTCATCCCGCTGGACTGCTCCTCCCGCTGCGCCTGCTCCCCCGTCTGCACCGGCAGGATGGGCTTGGGTGGGGTTGGAGCTGGAGGTGGCTGAGGAGTGGTGGTGCTCGGTGGCTCCACGGTCCTGTTTCTGTTTGCCTCGGTCTCATTGTCAAACCTCGTAAAATGTAAAACGACACATTGTTATTGTTCATAAGTTTTCCTTTTTAATCCTAAACTAAACAATTTTTTTTACTTTACCAGGAAAGGTCCACTGAGCTACATAGCTCTTTTTCAGAAGCGACCTGGCCACAAGTGATAGCCCAATGAAGTGGCTTATTTAATGGAAATTTATAGCAGTCAAATACTCTAAATGCATGTTTCTAAATGTGGAGGGAAAAACCGAAGGACCCGGAGAGAAAAAAAAAGGCGACCACGCGGACAATATGCAAACTACAAATATATAGGCGTCAGAGGCGCGATTGAATCCATGACCTGTATAACCAGGAGAGGTAGGTAACATCTCGTAACCACGATGCAATCGAATTGTGATGTCATTACGGTAAGGCCTCGTTTAATGCGTGTTCACACAACGCGTATATAATGCAGTTATTTCATTCGGGAACGCCTTTTGCACAACTCGCCCATTATAACATGGTTTCTGAGTGATCAACAATCGAATATTTTTCTTGAGCTGCGCGGCTGAGCTAATTCCCATAATGAATATACAGTAATTCCTCGCACAATGCGTTGTCGCTTATCAGGAACGCATCTACCGTGTTACGTGACGGAGTATATTGGTTCGAACTCTTACTGAGCAGTACACATTGTGTTGGAAAACGGCCTGTGGAAGCAAAATTTTAATAACTTATTTTAAGATCACAGCAAGTCACTTATTTATTCGCACACTAGGTGGGTACAATTTCCCACATGCCAGGCTAAAGAGAGAGACAGATGATTGTTGCATGGAAAACATATTTTTAATTGTGAGGGTTATAATTTAGTTAAATTAAGTAAAAATCGATTTCATGTCTTGGAGATGTTCTGTAGCTATGTTTGTGGTTGGACTAAAACTATGAACTCATTACATCTGAGACCCGGTTTAACCATGGGAGGTTGCCTAAATTCAAACAGGATATCAGTGGTGCTGGATGATTGTAAAGATTCCACAACCACAAAGAAGGCTCCCATTGTCAAAACGTTATACTGCTGTTGAAGCTACTGAATGCCAGGAAGTGAATGTTTAAGACTACATAAACAAGATTTTGCCTGTTAAAAGAGACCCTGTGGCTTTGGGGAAGTGTGCCCTCCTGCCGATGCAGAATGTGAACTATGAATGATCAATAACTACCACTGACTGTTTCTGGCAATGCTTCCTTTCCCCGTGAAATTCTTTGCTTCGCTGTGCTGTGGAGTGAGCCGCTGTTGTACTTTATGGAAACTTGCTGCAATTGTTTTATGATGTACAATCATCTTTGATTTGAACATTTATTTAAATCATTGCAATTGTACACATTTAAACTGAACCAAATTTTGCAATGCCATCTTCCATCTTCACCGGGTTAGTCCATTAAATGCAAGCAGCTAGTTAGGGAATACACATAAAAGAAGGGATGGAGAAATCAAGGGGAGGGGAGTGGGGAAGTCCTGAAGTTTATTTTATTTAACTACGCGACAACTTGATGAGTCCATGATAGTCTCTTTTGCAAGCGTGGCCGAGGATATGAGTCTGTCAGTATCGGGTGACGATTGCTATGCATCCATTCGTAATTTGTGAGTCATTTTCGCCCTTGCCAAAGTTAAAGCTTGAAGTACAGTGGCCAATGCTTTATGAATTACGTCACGGGATGTTTACCATCCACTGCGAAGCAGACGGCGCGCAGTAGTATTCTCGTTATTATTATGGCGAGGGAGTTAACATCTTGTCACCATGGGGCGCCGCGGTAGTGAGCTGTTTGTAAAATTAAAATGTGTCAAATTACTTTTAATACAATTGAGTGCGGTATTCACTCAGTTCATGAAGTTGTACTTTCTAGTGATCATTTATAATGACAATCATTTCAATTCACTGCTCGATAAAGACCTCCCCACGACGTGTTGATCATTGGCGTCGTTTGACTACTTCACCACGTTGGTTTGTGTGGGTTGAAGAAGGTGGGGGGGGGGAATAGGGGCCTAGGACCGGATCAGACATCACTCCCTAATGGTGATGGTCATGGCGAATCATGGAATGGAGGTCGCGCAATGCACCACTGCTACCCCGCCACTCCCAGTTATGTTATACGGTAATTTTGAATTATCATGATAAACTTTACATTGAGGCTAAAGTACATTTGTTTTGTCAGCAGCTGCCGACTGATGCAACTTCAGTTACTACACGAGGGTAAAACATAGGGGCTATTGACTGTTGGAATACGGCACTGGTGTAGAAGCAGATAAGAGATGACGTAACATTTATCATATGATCGGTGACTGTACTTTTCAATAAATCGTCTCAAGTGGAAGCATAAGAAAGGGAGCTGGCATTGTAGATGCATAATTATATATTATTACACGGACTTCAGCAACAAATGTAGACTCTCACGCAGGGTCTAAAAAAATGTCAACGTGGCAATCACCATGTTTTTGTAGCTATGTGTTATTTCCTGAGCAAAGAAATTATGTATCTTCATTCGCACTGTGTTGTGGCTTTTTCCCTGGTTCTCCAGTTTCCTGCCACACATTAATGGAATTGACCAACCATTTAAATTTCGCAGGAACCTCGTGATAAAAGGATGTCGAGACTCGGAGAGGCTTTCGTGGCCAAATTCCGTATTCCCCGGATTATAAGATGCACGTCACGCAAACGTCATGGTGCGTCTTATCATTCGATGTTTGCCACACATCTCCAATTAGCACGGTTGGCTAAGTACGGTGGGAAAGAAGTGCAACATACACCATACCTGTAAACCCATACAGCTTACCCGTATTCTTGTACTGTCAAATTTAGTTTTCAGGTCCATACGGCACACAGCCGTTTCAATACGGGCAACATTTTTTGTCAATTTCTTTGTTTCTCACTTGTGATGGGACTTTGTAGGATGAACGTTGCGATTTATAAAGGCACAGGGTGACCAATAAGGTCCGAACTCGTCTGTATTAAGGTAGGCGCCGATAAGCGGTTGACAGGTATGATACACAGACATCACTCACACAGCCACTCACTCACACAGTCACTCACTCACTCACACAGCCACTCACTCACTCACACAGCCACTCACTCACTCACACAGCCACTCACTCACACAGCCACTCACTCACTCACACAGCCACTCACTCACTCACACAGCCACTCACTCACACAACCACTCACTCACACAACCACTCACTCACGCAGCCACTCACTCACACAGCCACTCACTCACACAGTAAATCATCGTACGAGTGCAGTGCTACTATTGCCGTACTGCGTGGTTATTACCGTTCTTTCTGGAGCTCAATCTCCTCCTTGTCGATCCCGTCCTCTCCCTCCTCGCTGCCTCTGGCACCGCCGGGCACCTGCCGGTCATCCCCATGCTCCACATCCGTCAGTGGCGGCGGCTGCGGCGGCGGCGGCTTGAACTCATCTCCCGGAATCCAGTTCCACCGCGCCGAGGTCAGTCCTGACGAGGTGACCCTGCGCCCCACTGACCTTACCACCCTTGACCTCGGCTGACCCCGCCGGTGCCACGTCCTCCTCTTTCCCCACCTCCACTCTGCGCAGGTCCGACCTGCTCAGCTGCTGCTGCTGCTGCTGCTGCTGCTTCTGCTGTTGATCGACACCGTCGCCGCCGACGCCGCCGTTCTCGTCGGCCGCCACTGAGCCGGCGTGAGCTGTGGCCTGCACCTCATCGCCGGCCCCGACGTCCGCGTCGCGGCCTGCCGGACCCTGCGAGGCGCCCAGCGCGAGTGCGACGAGGGCGGCCACCGCGACCCAGCGCGTGCTGCGGGCGACGCGAGGCATTGGGTGTGACTGTCTCGTGACGGCGGAGACGTTGTTGTTGTTGGGTTTTGTTGTTGTTGTTGTTGAATTCGTTGTTTGTGTTTAATTCGTTCCACGCTGGGAGTTGTCGATGTTTACGGAACTCGACTTCCCAGGCGGGCTGTGCGCCGCGCACTGCACGACGGGAGATGGAGGATCAGCCCCGCCCCCCAGCCCCGCCCCCCAGCCCCGCCCCCCAGTCCCCACACATTCGCCCACTCCCCTACCCCACTCTCTCGTCCCAGCACTGCATTGAATTAATGCGTTTGGTGGGAAAGGTGTGGCATTGTTCAGGGGTTCATAATGGCCATGTCAGGTTGGCAATGGCCATGTTGGGGTACTGTACTGAGCCCCCCACTGTTAAGAGCCTGAGATTGAGACATCAGTAGCATTGTAACACGGGCCCCTTATCAGTGTTCAGGTTATCACAGACCAATTCAGACCTTATTGGTCACCCCGTGCCCTTATACATATCTACGTTCATCCTGCAAAGTCCCATCACAAGGGAGAAACACAAATATATGTTTTGCCCGTATTGAATCGGCTGTACTCTGTAGAGCAAGGCCGTAGCCAACATCAAGAGTGGGAGGCATTAGGGGGGGGGGGGGCAAATCTTCCAGGGGGTCTGGGGGTCCCCCCCAGAAAAAAAAATTTAAATTTGAAAACTAATTTCCTGCCATTTTCTGCCTAGAATATTAAAAAAATTAACTAACAAATGGGATGGACTTTTAAATTATTTTTTACAATAATATCTAATAGTATATTGTATTACATTGCTCTGTTTTTTTTCTTTTTTACCTTGTTTCATTGTATGTAATGGCAGAGATTAGGGATTAATCAAGTACAACCATAACCACAATCATATGAACAGAAATCTATGCATTGTTATATGAAGACAAGTCCAGATATTGTGGCCAAGGTTTAGCAAATTGTTGTTTTTATTTACAAAGCATCGCAAATTTATTTTTCTAATTTTATAGCAATATATTGGGGGGGGCCCTACTCAGTCTGGATATTTCACTGTTTTGCGGGGATCATAATGCCCATGTCAGGTTCATAATGGTTGTGTTAAGAGCAATGAGTCGGCATTGCTGAGATCTTGAGTTGCAGTCTTAACTCTGGATTTCTCGCTGTATCACGTGGATTATAATGGACATATTCTTTGGGTCTTTCGGTAAAGTCACGTAGATAGGTTCAAAGAAAATAACAAACAAAAAACTGAGACGTTTCGATCGCAACACAAGCAGTCGTCTTCAGGAATATGTGCTCAGCTTATCACAGACCGCTTGTGTTGCGATCAAAACGTCGTTGTTTTTTGTTATTTTAGTGACTTTACCGAAAGACCCAAAGAATATGAATTCCTGCAGTCACGAAAGCTTTCAGTCAAGATATAATGGACATGTAATTTTATAGTGGCCGTTTCAGAGCAGTGAGCCAGAACTGCCTAGAATCTGGTTTTAAATCCTAGTATTAGGTGTATCTCTGTCACGTGGCTTATAAGGGCTTCGCCAACTTCATAATTGCAATGTTTGGAAAATAATGACTATCCCCTGGGCTAGCACGGGCTGTGGGCCAGGGTCCCTCTGATTTTAGTGTCTTCATAATGGATAAGTTTCTTAATGACCACGTCAGGGCACTGAGCCAGTATCACAGATCTTGGGTTCAAGCCTTGTGTCAGGGCTTCTACCAGGGAGACCAATGACTTTAAAAATAATAATAATTGCGAAGTCAAGTTACACTGGGATGGCACTGCTGAGATCTTGGGTTTGAATTGGGTTTTAGTCATCGGTTATTAAGCCGGCTTCTCTAGTATATGCAGTTGATGAGGTCAGCTTAGTTATACATGATTGTTAAATCAGTTTTACTTAATTTACCTATATCCAGATATAAACATGCAGTGATTTGACATGCACTGTAATAGTGCAGGGTATGTTAACTGTAGGGATTATATGATGACCAGGTGTAGAGCCATCAGGAGAGAAGATTGCTGTACGTGGATGAATAATTATATTATAAGTGGTGGGGAGTACCAAAAACAAAAAAGCATTGTGCCTTATATTGATCGCTTTGATCTCAAGGCCACAGGGAGGTGTTGGGCAAGTGCTTTGTCCTAGGTCTTAGATCAGAGGGGCCTCAGAAAGGGCATTTTGCCCTGGGCCTCTAAACGCCTTTTTGCTACCCTGCTTGACCAGTAATGGAATCCCACATTCCTATGGCCAGGATTAGTATATTTTACCAAAAAACCACTATTGACTTCCCTGCACTAAGGAATGTTATTTTTTATTTTATTGACTCTTGTCCTGAGAGATTTAGATGGGTTGGGTTGAGCCTGATACGATTAACGTTAAGACGACTGTGATCTAGTTCAGCTGTTAAGACATTATGCCTCCCACTCTTGATGTTGTAATTGAAAATGCCTCCTAGACCCATCACCCCTCCAGAGTCAGCAAAATAATTATCGGTGTATCTCGATGATCAGCCCACTGTTGGATGAAGGGTTTCCCAAGCCTTTGCAGATGCAGTTAGCTGTAAGTCAGCTGGAGTAATTTATAATAATGAGGAATGGGATATTGAGTGCCATCATATTCAGGATTTATAATAATAGAAATGATGGATTAAATATGATCGCAAAGCTGAAAGGGGTTGACAATGCTGTCAATACACATAATTGCTTCAGCAGAGCCTTGGCGTGCTGTTGAAACGCCATTGGTGCGACTATGTACAGGAAATCGACTGAACAATGAAGTGTTGATTTAAAACCAAATAATGGTTAAAAATTTAAAAATTGTGATTTCCCCCCCAAAAGTTTTAATGTCAAACGGTTGTAATAAACCGTTTATTATTTTCCCAAAAATCATAAATCAGTCGTGCTTTCATGAAAACTGTTGCACTAAGCTGGTCAATCTCATGTCAAATGTAATATAAAACAATGCAGTGATGTTACAGTAGTACAATCTTCTGCGGTGACATGGCTTAGAGGTTGTTGCAGGGGGGCGGGTGGGGGCGCGGTTCGAATCCAGCGGCCGACCCGGTCATTAGTGCGGCCGCATCAACCACAAAACACTACACGCCGCCTGCTTCACATCGGATGTTAAATGTCCCCTTGACGTCATGCACAAGAGCGGGCTCAATGTGCGTCGTTGCCACATTTGTAAAGTCCCCGCTGGCAAGCGAATGGTCCATGTCACTTTTGCATGAGACAAATCCTAGTTTTCATGTAGCTAAGCAGAGCCGTCCCGACGGTACGGCGAATCGGGGCGACCGCCCCGGACCCCGCGCTTTGGGGGGGGGGGGTGGCGCTTCACTTTAGTTTGAAGGCGTCGAGGGGGGCCCAATGAGGTGGGATTTGTCCCGTGCCCCCCACTATGGACGGCCCCGATTTTCAGTTACCCATTTTTATTGTGATTCTGCATTGTCAGTGGCGCACAAATAATACAACTCAAACACATTCGTCAATAACACTGCCCTAAACGAAAGGGCCATTGCCCGAAACGTCGCATTATAATATCCCTTTGAGGAGTATGGGTGTTATTATTGCTCATCAGCCAATCGGGCTGCGTATACTTATCCGCGCTACGAAATACACCAACGCGTGCAATCGCATTTCATAACACGCACGCGCATAGGGCGCTCCGATTTGGTAGTGCGCGTAAGCGGTGGCGCCGGTCTGTGATTGGCTCACGCGGGCCGTGGTGCCGCCTATGCGCGCGATGAAATGTAGTCGTTCTGGGCGACTTCCCCCTTCATGGCAACGGCGGGAAGGCGGCGGCGGTGGCGGCGGACGAGCTATCGTCGCTTGCGCTGAAGAGAAATACATTTGTACTAAAAGCATTAAATTAAAAAAAATTACAAACAGTGGCGAACGTTCAAAAATATATACGCAAGATCAAATTGCAACTAAGATGAAGAAATCGTCCCGCCGTTTGTTGGCGTTGCTTTTCCTCTTCAGTTTTTCATCGTCTTTTATGTACTTCATTTACGTCGCACCGGGCATAGGTGAGACGAAGGGGGATGGGGGGGCCCGGCCCGCATCACGGCTCACATTTAAATATAAATTAGCACGAAATTATTATTTGCAAAAAAAAATACGTGCGTGTTGAAAGCTTTGCGAGGTTGTTTTTATATTTTTTGTACGTTAACGCGTCGTCAATAACGGTCGTGGTTTTTTTTTTTACATATGAATGCATTATATTTTTTTTGCGGAGAAATATTCCAAAGATTGTATTAACAAAAATGTGTTTGGTCCTCGTCCGCATGTGTGTGGGTGCGTGATGGGGGTGGAGAATTGCAGCCACCCTCGTTTGCCAATGAATGGGGAGGGGATTCTTTAGGGTTTTTGTGGAGAAGGGGGCACGTTTGTCAATTAATGAGGGGGGCTCTGGTTTATTTTAGAGGGGTCGTTAAATTGACGAGGTTGTATTTCGTTGCTTGTGAATTCTGTTAAATTTTCTCGTTTTGTGCGATTTTTAACGTTTTGCAGATTGTCTTGCCAGCAGCAACCTTTTAACGTTTTTCCACAGGTTTTTTTAATTGTAATTTAGCAAGCATGTTTTTGTTTATGTATGAATGCTGATGGTTGATCGTTTTTGGCTTATTCCATAAATACATTATCGAGATATAAAAAAAAGATTTAAAAAATGATTTCATGAAATCGAAATGTGCACCAATGCTCTCCTGTGCAAATGTTGATCTGTTTTGCACCATCAATATTATCACCCCAGGGCAGAGATAAGGTTTATTGAAGACAGGTCCACCCAATATGCTCATAAGAATATATATGAAAAAATCTATTTTAAAGCAGACGTAATACAGGTACAATGGAAATAGGCCTCAAAACCAATTACATCTCGGCTAATTATATATATCTGATTTGTTATTTACCAGCGTTTGATATATTTCCAACTTGGTTTTACCCCCCTTCCATGCTAACACCAATAACTGTCAGAGCTGCTTTCTAAGCGCCTACCAGATTCTATTCCCCAATGTCTCGTATTGGCTGACAGCGACCGAGCTGTGCACACACTGATAACAAAATGCTTGTCTGCTTTGTGGGTGGTAGGCAACCTTTCTATGTGGTGGGCCACGTGCTTTAAATAGGTTTGATTTCCGGCAGCACCCAGCACCCATCCATTGATTCCTGCTGGGGGAGTATGATTGAATGACACAATTCATAGTGTTAAAAAATGGTCTTCACCTGCTAATCTTTCATTGGAAGTTGCATCTGCACAAGTCAGTCGTGTACAAGGTCAGAATTATGAAATGGCATATTGTTAAGATATTTATTGCTTGGGGCTTTGGGTACGATCTTTGTGTTTGGAAAGCCATGCCAAAGCACCAAAGGAGATGCGGATAACATTTTTTTATACCAATGAACATGGCACACAGCGAATAGAGAAGGTGATTGACTGATGGTGAACTGTCTATATACAGAAGGTGATGGACTGACGGCAAACCGTAAAATTGCATAGTGGGCATATAAAAAAGGCAGAGGAAGGAATGGAGAGAGATGAGAGGTGGGATACAAGGGAGTGGTTTGAAAAAGAAGCCAACAACAACCACTTTGAAATACGAGATGCTCATGGGTGGAAATATGGTATATGGTGTACATTGCGAGCTTGCTTGTATTGACATTTGCCGTCCCAAATTGCTGAATTGACCGTCAGCGAAATGGTAATAATGCAATATACAGTATTACGGTACAGAATAAAACCACACGGGCCTCCTTGTAAATGAACAGTTAAACAAGTTATTGTATCTAGCCGCTGCACATGGACATTTAAATATAATAAATAAATAAACATCAGCAGTACTGTACAGGACATAGGCTATTTATCTTATTTGATGGTTCTTATTTTTCTGTTCTGTGACACTGAGCCTTATGTTTGCCTTTTGGCACTGCCTGGTGGCTGTACTCTAATAGGCTTTGTAGTTGCCACCTTTCTCTAGGACTCTCAGCTGGGAACATTCGCTACCCTCATGTTGGCTGTGTTTACAACAAAGTGGCGTTTGCCTGGAGTGCATACGTTCCTCTTCCCATCAGTAACTACAGCTGGTTACACGAGTGCTTACAAACAGCATACCGACCACATTGTTTGCCTTAAATCACACATTTATTTCAAAGTTCATTCTGAGGGTTGTGGTAAATGCTCATAATTGAAATGAATTATTGATGCTAATGGGTTTTTTTGCCAAACCATTACGTTTAAAGTAAACATCTGCCACTTCATGCATATATCAGTTTTTGACAAGAGCCAATTGTATTAATGGATAGTAGTATAAAACCTCAAAACATTGTAAACATACCTTCCTGGCCTGGAGATATGCATAGGGCAGCATGGGCGGAAGTTAGCAGAGTAAAATACAAAATTACGGAATGTTTTGGCTTGAAGTGGAGCTATTGGCTGTGTTTTTGCATGTCACCATTAAATGAAACTGAAATATGTAAATAAAACAGCTGATGTGCATTGCGGGCAGACAGGTTTTTCAGGATGAATTCAATGTTCACATTCAACATCGGAGGTATTGCCAGAGAAGAAGACATCTTTTTGTGCACATTGGTATACTGTGCACAAAAAAAAACATTTATTAGCACATACAATTTGTGCGTAGCATATCGATTTTGCGTTTCTGAGCGCTCAGTTTAGAATTACTGTAATGTGAATACGAGAAAATTGAGGCCTGGAATTTCCATAGTTGCAAAGTCAGGTGTGTTAAATTGCAATAGATGCTCCTGAACCGGATTCTGGATAGATCTGTCAGCTCATAAATTTTCCACTGTAATTTTAGTTCACTATTTGTATTAATATGATTATTTTATGCCACACTTTAAGTTTACAGTGTGCTTGTTCTAATCTGTGCTTTTGGTGGAATTTTAAGAGCTACATGCACATATATTGGCATGATTATGGTAAGTCATGGCTTTGTGACTGCGGAAGCTTAGTATTGTGGAAAAAAATATTTTTTTTAATCTTGTGGCAGCTTGCCTGATCGCTATAATGTCATAAAATGTGTGGCATAATTTTAAATTGGAGCATGCAAATGTGGCCAGCATGCCGATGTATTCCAGACTGCGGCTTGCTATGAATAGTTTGTGAAACAGTAAGGAGTTGTTAGACGAAATTTATTTCAAGGAGACCAAATCCATTGCTCAGCTGCCATCTGACAGTTTTATAATAATGTGCTGAAGTGGGTAGTATCCTTGGCCCCATGTACAATAACATACAATGAATGTTCGCAGACATTTTTTTACAACAATACAGTGGGATTTCACGATTTAGATATATACAATACATAGCACCAAGCATTGTTTTTTTTCATGCCCCCAGTTTCCATTAGCATAATTCTGATGCCATTGGCTTGCATTTTATAAGTGGCACTTGATGAAAGATTTATGCCTTTCCAAACCTTATTATATTTTTGCAGTCCTTGCACAAAGCAGCCTTATACGGTGTATTTGTTGAAGTGACATATCTCAGTGTATTTAAAAAAGTACCTACAATAGTCTAACAGACTGTACCGTTTGACGTTGGTTTCTCAGTGTTATTCATTACAGAACTTGTGTAGAAAGTAGTCATCACTTGTCATTGTTCTTCGTTTAAACATTGAACTGCATGAGGGATACAGTAAAGGATATGTTTTCTGGTGTAGTGTATCTCTGACGCAGAGTTGAAATTATGTCACAATAATGATTTGTAATTTTAGAAATGCACCGCATATCTGGTTTCAACTGCCATTTAAGATAATGAGTAGACATGTGGTAGGGTTTCAACCATTTGAAGAAGGTTCATAGTTTTTGGTTTAGAGACTTTTTAAAATTTAAAATACTGTGGTAATTTTCATATTTAATATATGTAAAATTAGCTCAGTTGGGCCATCCCATTGGGAAGGATTACTTGCAGAAATGTTTTTTTTACAAAATGGCAAGACACTAGAAACAATATATCATAAATATATTTGCAAAATCCTGTATACCATTGTGGTCATGTACCACTTTTATGGTTCGTTTAGTCTGCATGTAACCGTACCTTTGCTGTTTAATGTGAAGAGCCATTTGTTGTTATAAGAATACAGTTGGTTGACTTCGGTGCTCATAAGCAACAGGAGTATGGGACCATGTTGTGGCTTTAACTTTAATTCAGGAGGCCATGTTTGAGACCACTTAGACTTATTTTAGAAGTCAGAAAATTGGCCATTTTATATTTTATTATTCCCTTGGCAGGGAATCGCCAATTGCCCGATGCAATTACCAGCGAAACGTCGTACTCAAAAATGGTAAATGTTCTGGTTTCACTCTTCAACACACCGGTGGGCTAAAGTAGTGAACTATTTGTCTTTTGTCAACGTGACACTTTGTTGCTGATTGGCCGTGTCGGGTGGTGGAGGGTTATGACACATTTATAAATAACGCGATCTAACCCAAAAACGTTTATTATGAAGCCTATTTTTGCTACATGAAAGTTTCCTTGCTCCTGAAATGGACTTTTAAAGCCATTGAACCCTGAAAAAAATTAACCCGTAAAAACAAAGTTTTTCACTATAAATCCTTTATATGCGTGGCGGCTAGAGTCCTCTCGTCCTCTGGCTTGAGATGGCTGCCACCTATGGGTCAGATGATTGCCTGCCACCATTAAGCAATTGGTAATTAAATATAATTTATTTTTTCCTAAAAAGTGTAAATTTTTGGGAAAAAAATTTCACGAAAATAAATTGTCACGCACAACGAGTCTGTGTGCAAAATGTCAGCGCGATTGGATCACGGGAAGTGGGTTAAAAAACGACCGAAAGAATTGCACGGTCGTAAGCATGCAAGCAAGCAAGTGAACTTAATATAAAGGATTTAAAAATGGCCTCTTTCCCCATGCAGGTGTAAATGATGTCACTTCTCCAGTATCACATTTATACATTGCCACTGGCATCATAATAATTGGGAAAATCAGGTCATCAGTAATGCATAGATGTTTGGTCAGAGAAATGTTCACTCCCGTGCACTCGGGTAGCATCTGACGCTGCAAAATTTTCTCTAAGGGAACAGCAGCCACATGCTGCTACAGAGCTTAGCAAATGCCCTGGCAACCATGTGCAGGCCAAGTGGCTCAGTGTTCTTTTTCACCTTTAATTTGGTATTCAGAGGCAGATGTTATTCCTGCTAGTAGCTAATACACTAACATGTAGCCAAGTTCATGAAATCTGTTTTTGGAAAGTACATCTCAGTTTAGTACAGAAAACGATGTTGACAATTTCACACTGGGAACAGCAACATAGCCCGTGTTAAAGAAAGACAATATGTAAAAAAAGATATCCTCTAGCATTACACAAAAGCAAACATATCTTTAAACTCCTTATTTGTTTGCATGTTTTATACAGACACCATTATTTTTTTAATTTGCTTCTAGTTTAGAGATGCAAAGAATTAGAAAGTCTCTTTTAAACACCTCTCCTCAACTTAAAAAAAAATGTGAGATAAAAAATACGGCTAAATATATGTCTTCCCAGAGAAGAAGTAAAGCATGTTTCAGGTATCTTGGTTTATTTTTTTGTCTGTACGCTCTTTTATTGGCTCAGTGTTGCCAATCAGCGATAATGAACTAAAATTGTTCAGGGTTGATGAGAATAATTTGAGAGAGAGAGCTAGAGTATTGTGGTCTGAAAGAACATTTGATTGCCGTGTGAAATCAATGGAAAATCTTCTCTGGACCACCCATTTCATTCTTCAACTCATCTTTGCACATCCCTGTTGTCTGCTTGTGTAATTATGTCCTTGCTGCATTGGCCTTCATTATGTTGCTCACTTGCCATAGGATGTCTCATTTTGAGTCTGTGAGGCACTCTTACCACAGGAGCTGCAAAATGGTCACTTGACAATTATTCTGTGCAAAAGTGAAAAAGTTAGAACAAAAAATTAAAACCACTTTCAGTACTCTCTATGAAAGTGTTGGGCAGATTTGTTATATCTTAACATATTATGGTTAGCACACTTACTGCCAAAATTATAACTTCTGCTTTCTCATTGTTTAGTGTCACACTTAAAAACAAACAACAGCTACGTTTTGTGATTGTGACATATGGTGATATTTTAGGAAGCATGCTCAGAATAAGAGCAGATGTCTTGAAATTAAGAGAAAAATCTGCAATGTCCATTCCTGCTACGTCTTTTTCAAGTTGATGATCCTTTTTCTATATTGAGGATGTGCTGGTCATATATTTTCCAAATGGCCAGAAGAACATTAATGGCATATGAATGACAATGGTATAATATTTATGCTGTTATGCAATTGTTCTATTGCTGATGCGATTATTACCTTGCATATGTGCAAAACCACATGCACTACTCCGGGGGGTATCTCCAGCTCGCCACTTGATTTAAGCTGTTAAATGCGCCATCTCGAAAAAATAATGAGCAGCATAATTGCCTGGAGCTGAGCTATCCAAACTCGAGTTTTCTTGCCATATTCATTTGAAATAGTTGGATAATGCAATTATAGCACGAATTTTTTGCCTTTTTTAAAACATTTCTTGAATCCTTTGAATCAGAAAACGTGGCCAAACTCTTACATTCAGCATATTTAAACATGCACACTTCATACCATATTGTGCAAAAACTAATTTAGAAGATTGTGAAACTGTTTTTGTAAAAAAAATGCTTAGGTTTGTGTAAACATGTGAACATAACCACACCCACCCTTTTAGCATGCTCACATATTTAACAATTTCACATCTGGTGTATTTAAACAGTCTCATGTGAATTCATATGCATTGTTCAAGTCATAACATTGAAACAGAGCTTGGTGTGTATGGAAACATCATATGGCTGTAAAATTATGTTGATAGAAATTAAACATTGGCCAACATATTAGCCGTTATGTATATTGTCATCTTGAATTATTATTGTAAACACGTCTCGGCCAAAGCAATACCTGTTGTAATTGCGTTTTTTCTTCTCATTTTAAGACTTATCCCATGTTTTATTCAAGGTTGATTGGATATCCAAACTATAAATTTCATACTAAGCTACATAATTGTTCCAACAAGACCTGCCATTTTATTTTATTTTTTATAAAGTAAAAAAACATGTCTGCCAAGAATGAAACCCTCAGCTGCCACTAAAAAGCAGTGTTGTGCAGTTTCCCATTTTCTCACAGTTCTGCAAAAATGTTTGCCGCAAATTGCTTTCTTTAATACGTAAAAGAAGCAGTCGCCTCACATAGTCAGTTTTAGCCATCGTCGCTCGGCATGGCGACCGGTCGCAGTGCGGGGATGGGTTTGTTGCCATGGTGAATCTGCTGCGCTGCACAAATTCAGAGGCAACGGAGCTAAAAATGAGCCTCGTGAGGTTCTGAGCCAGCTGACGTGTATGACAACCAACCATTTTTTTTATTATTCCACCGTGTATACATTATTTTAGTGACTCATTTGACGAGAGTGCATCCAGTGCTACTTGCGCTGATGGCCAAATTGATCCCATGGGTGCCGTATGCACATATAGCTCACATGAATTGAGTGAAAGTTGTATAGAAACAAGCACGTATAAAACATTTTCCATTGATTTTTTTAAGTTTCATTACATATGTCAATTGTGATGCTTCGTGTAATTTTAATTGTGACTGCCCCCATATGCCGAACACTCTAATAGATTAATACCACGTGTAAATAAAAAGTCTCAGAACTAAATCTGGCCATCAATAAATATAATCAGTAAACTTGATGAACAACCTGAATTAATAGAAACATTGCTTACAAATCCTGGAAGTAATGCTAGCTTACTGCAGCTGATAGTTACTTACTTTTCACATGCCTATAAGGTAACGCTACAATTTGCGACATTTTAAAAAATCGTAAAAATACTGAAAAAGATCATGGGTACTTCAAATTATGTCTTGCATAACATGGATTATAGGTAGGAAAATTGTAAGCATGTTTTCTCAATCCCAAAATAACACGCAGCCCAGTTTATAGCAAAGAAAATGTGTTTAAGACATCATTGGTTGCGTGCTATCTATTGGGACTGGGGTACAAATTGCCACTTGCAGGCCCTCAGGCAATTGTGCTTACTCCACATTCTGGTACCTATTTTCCCTGGATTCCTTATGAAATATCTTCCTTTGTACGGCGTGCTTTTTTACATCAAGGCCATTGGTGCACAAGGTCAGTTTGAAATAAAAAAATTAGATTAAGGATGGTCTGTTCTTGTCCCAGTAATTGGTTTGCTTTAGTTATCAATTGGGATAGACATCACATCGTTGATGAATAATTGTAAGCATTCATGAAGTAGTGATGATGTTAATTAATATTTAAGAATAATGATGATAATAATGATGAGAGCATTATGAATGAATAATGATGCGGATGACAATGCATATGCTTAGTGAAGCATATTTGGAAATTAATCGAGAAATGACAATGTTCACGGACAGACATTGTAAGGTCTGATTAAAATCTTCACGAATGTTCGTTTCCTTTTCATTTTAAATAGTCTTAACACTAACACTTTTGAAATGTTTTACAAGGGTACAGGATTACATAATCCAAGGCAGTTTACATGCTTGTGCAGTGTGTGTTTAATAATTAAACATGCATATACAGGTGTTTATTTGACATGGTACACAATGATTCATAGAGAGCACCTTTACTCTTGTCCTGTCTTGCAGCAAACACGTACCTGTTTGTGATCCAAGCACGCACCAGTGAGGTGCATCGAAGCCTGGGGAATTTCTACGCACAGGTGATCCGGGTTGGCATGAGGGCGCCAAACTCGTCCCTAAACGATACTGGTGAGAGGTCAACTGGTCTTTCTGTCTATCGTTTGCCTTCACTGGGCAGGAATTGTGTGGGGTAGAAAAATGTTTCAGTTACCACGAAGTACGAGTACCAGAGGTCGCAAACGGGTTTTGATTCCTTACCCGTACCCGGCCACACCAGGGTCGCAAACGGGTACCCGTACCCGTACCCTACCCGTACCCGGCCGGGTACGGGTAGGGTACGGGTATCGGGTACCTGATTGCGACCTCTGGGATGAAGCCATGTTGCAGGCGCGGGTGGGTTGATTATAGGAACTTGAATTGTGAGAAGAGACAAGACGTTGGGAAATGAGTGACAAACGGTGACTCACCAGTGACTCACGGCCTACCCGTACCCGTACCCGGCCGCACCAGGGTCGCAAACGGCTACCCGTACCCGGCCGGGTACGGGTAGCCGGGTTTCGGGTAGGGTACGGGTATCGGGTACCCGGTTGCGACCTCTGACGAGTACCTTTGAGACTGCTCTCACATAAGTAGAGTGACATCGTCATTACCAAGTATTGCTGTTAACATTTACAGGTTTCCCTCTCTTTATGCGGTTTCAGTTTGTGCGATTTCGCATGTATGCGGCTAACCCATTTCTACCCAAAATAAAAAAATATGCGGTTTGAATTCACTCATGCGGCTACGAGGTCTGCTGTGGGACAACATTGTGTGTACTTTTGAGCTACTCGGTAGGCAGCTGTCTCGTGCGACTTTGCTTTGTGTGCTTGGTTGGAATGCGTCGACCGCATTAAGCAAGGGAAACCTGTACATCGTTATCATCATTGTTTAATCATTATTAACACACAACTTTCTCATAACCTGTCTTAATTCACCATCAATGGTTCACCATCCATAGTGAATTAATACATCCTTTGGGAAAAAAATATATAACAAGCAAATACACAGTGAATCACGTGGTATTTTACGTAGCCAAATATGTTCTTTACTGCCGGTTGGTTGGCATTTGACGTGTTGTGTATGGACAGAAGGTGGCTTGTTTTCAGTGTTGGTGTAATCTAGCAGCAATTTAGATTACTTGGTGACTGAGTTTTAAGACTGCTGCATTAATGCCCCGCAGTGCAACTTCATTACTGCTGGTGCAGGAAACCCAGTAAATGGACTCCATTTAATTGCGGTAGACTTATTTATGAAGTGAAAAATATATTTTCCCCAAATTTCTTACAGTTGTCACGAGACAAAAATACATTCGGAGATCTTGCAGAGCAGTGGGGCCCACGTCAAAGAATGCCCCATGAAACATATTTTTCACAGTACTGATAAATACTTTGGTTGACCTTTTTATCCTTTACGCAGTCGGGGGGAGCATTTTTCCATAAGCTCTACTTGAAATTATTAGTTACATGACAGCCATACCGATATATATTTCTCATGTTGACATTTTGCCAAATGAAGTGTTAATCCATATTTATATGATTCAATGGTAACGGGCTGCGACAATCAACTCACTCTACTTGAGAACCTGCTTTTAATCATTGGCAGCTGTTTGGGTTCTAATCTCGGCTCAGCCGTGCCAGCTCAATGCTCTGATCTATATCCCACTTATAACCGCCTTCTATTCACATTAAATAAAACATATCTCACATGTTTAGTTTATATCATATAGGCACTGCAGTGCTTTGCAAGTTGTATTTGTAACACTTTCAATTAGGGTATTTTTTCGATTTAAAATCCCCACAACATTTCGAACTGGGGAATAGGGTAGGGTGGTCGTGGGAAGAGACCAAAACACTCAACACATTTGTCTGTATTATTGGATCAATGATTTTGTAACAAATTGACCCGTGTGTGTGATGCATACTTTAGTAGGTGGCAGTTTTTATCCTTTTTGAGAGAATTTGTGCTATAAGTTGGAAATGTTTAAATAGAGATGTTACTGGTTGTATAACACGACTACAGTGTGCATATTTAAAGAATGGAAAACAACTCTCCAAACATGCTGCTAATATTAGCAGTAATCAAATCATGAATACATTTTGAAGGTTAAATTAGAAAATACAGTCAGGGTCTTGGCCCTATTAGGGACTGTAGTAGTGTGTAAGAGCACAAAACAATAATTGTATTCAAAATTTTCATACGCTAATTTGCATATTGTATTACCTTAAAATGTTTCCATTACAGAATCGACAGCGTACCGGATAAACTCGAGTGATTATCAGATGGAGATGACCACTTACCTGCCAGCAGGATTTACTTATCGGCCAGACCACATTTGTCCAGAGCGACTGCCATCCATGAGTAAGAATTCATGCATATCACTTCAGCTATTTTCACCCAATGGCCCAATGGCATGGCTGAATGCCCACTACAGTTGAAAGCATAATCCATTCTGGCTAAATATTCCCAACCTAGTCAACCACCAAAAGAAATTCCAGAAATGATTTTATTCATATTTTATTTGTCAAGAGTCGGTGACCATGTAGGTATAGATATTACTGACAGGTAACAGCTTCCCTACGGCAATTGCCACTGCAGAGCGGGAACATGAAAACTCGGGCAGTCTTCTAGTAGTAGAGGGGCCTTGGTTCCTGACCACCGTCCTTTTTTTTGCATATATTTTTTATGCTTTTGGGTTTTTAAAGCAAGTGGTCACATTTATGTTTGCCATATTGCCTACCATCATCCTTGTAAAGCAAAGTGAGGGAAAAAGGGCTTGTGCAGCTCAACTCAGCTATTGTGAGCCAAGGATATGTTTTCGAAAAGCCAAATTTCTATAATTTAAATGTGGTCACCCGTTATAATTTTTGGTATTGCATCAATTTTTGGTCTGAAATGCATTCGACCTTCAGAAACCACAACCATTATTTACACCTTGATAATACTTGGCTACATACATAGTAAACATACATATGAATGATTAAAACGTAGATAACACATACATGTTCAAAAAAAAATCTTCATTTAAATTTTACCTATTTTACCCTTAAATTCTGTAATTTTAGATGTTCTTTTTTATTAACAGTTGAGTTAACTTGTTTTTAAATGTATTTATGAAATATCTCATTTCATTTTGCTGAAAGAAATTTGCATTAGCTTTTTTATTATGCATTTGTTCATTTTCATTCTCATTTTGTTGGTTAAACCGTACGTTTAATGCATACAAACACGTTTGCATGTTGGTTACAGTGAATAATTTGTGACTAAAAATGCACTCTAAGATGCCACATCAACGTTTCATGAAGGCTAATTGCATCCGCTCACAATCAGCTCAAATAGCTCCCACAGGCAGCATCCCACTTTTGCTTTGTAAGCACTAAAGACTTAATCGCTCAACATTTGTAAATGGGAAAAACTGCATGCGTACAAGATCCCTATTTAGTTGAACATGTTTTAACTTGCAACGGAAGTCGGGCATAATAAGCACAGGTGATACTGTTCTAGTCGGTGGCACTCGACCTTCAGCGCAAGCATTCGGTCGTGTGTGTGTGTGTGTGTGCACGTGTGCCACAGAGGGTGAGATGGAGGTGAATATGAGCGAGGTGAGCATGGGGGAGGTGTCTCGCCAGCTGGCGCGCGACATGCATATCGAGCCTGGTGGATTCTGGAGACCCTCGGATTGCCAGCCTCGCTGGAAGGTACCATGTAGGGTGTGGCCGTTTTCTTTTGCTCGCAGAGGCTCAAGCATAACGCAATGGTTGGAGAGCCCCACGCAGTTGTTGCAAGAGCCGGTGGTGCCTTTCTTTCACTAAAATAATATTGAGCCATTACAAAAACGCTCATGAAAAACCGTGAACTCTTTCACTTGTGCTGCTTTGTGTGTGCATGCTTGTGTGCGTGTTTGTCCCTGTTGTTTGTATTTGTATGTGTTATATTTGCTAAGCTTGTCACGGAACATGCAAACTGGAACATTTTCATTTTTAGTATTTTTGTTGCTGTTTCAGAATAATACATTTTCATGGACACTCTACATGGATACACACTCGTCGATAAACTTGAGAATTTGTATTGTCACTCTGAGGTAGAAATAAGGGAAGATATATGGTTTATATAGAACAGATGGTTCCTCTATACATGGTTTGTGCATCATTGAGTCAGTGATCCATACCCAAAAGGCTAAATGCATGAAGGCAAGATATATTGTGCTCGCAAAATTAATGCTCACAAAATCAGTGCTCATTAGAAATAAACAGGCACGGAACAACGGTGGATTTTTTTCGGACAGTGTCCACTTTGTGAATCTGTAAAACAAGATGGAAGTCCCTTTTGTTGTGACCAATAATGGTTGTGAACAATTGGCTTGTAGTAAGATAGTACAAAAAAGACCATTGACAGCTACAACTGCACATCCTGCCATGTAGCATGGCATTGTGAAATCTTGCCCGACTACCACAGGCATTCATTTTACTTGCAGTTAAAAAGCCTTGTCCTGTGGTATTCAATGTGATAAATGGGCGAAGTGGCAAAATTTGACTGACCATTATTTTTTATTCATTGGAAGAATGCTTCAGTGCTAATTATTTAATTCATAAAGCCATTTTTAATGTTGTTTTCAATATAAACCAACAATCGGTTTCACAATTAAACCATTGTTATCTTCTTAAATTGTTCATCGTGGTGTATGTGCTCAGACTCGTGCATGCGTTCGTTAAATTTGCTTTTATAGAAAGAAAAACACAGTTCATCTGCAAAGCGTTGGCTGCAAACAGTAATTGGAATTGTAGATAATATTGCAATTTAGATTGCAGTTTAGTTTTATCTTTCTTTAAAATATGACGTTTTAAACAGAATATTTAGAATAATTATTTCGCGTTGTTTCTTTTGTTGCATTTCTGTTAAGCCAGAATGGGCATTTTAATTAGTCAGTGAATGTGCATGGGAAAGTAAAGGATTATAGTATTGGTAATGAAGATGGATTGAGTTAATTCTGTTACATGTACAATTTATTAAAATTCAGGTGGCCTAGTAATGTGCACTATGCTTCTGGATTTAGAATTACCACCCTGTCATATGTCCACCATCTGATAATGCTAATTTATATATGAAATATCTGCTGCCTTTGTTTGCATAGACGGACTTTTTATGGCAAACTGTACAGTGTTACTTTCAGTTATAAATTTAAAAAAATTCTCACTATCTGAATATTTTACGGCACCTGACAGCCCAATACTAAGCTCTGTGGGTTCCTCCTCGACTTGATTTACGGTATTCAGAATCACCACTCGTCAGGCTAAGCCTTGCCCTACCGTCTTGATTCCAAAAATGCAATCGCAGTCCCTGACTAGGAATTACGAGAATCACACAGCTCTACTCTAAATATATAATGTTTTTTGTTCATGATGATGACACTTGGAATAGAATACATGCATATTTCATTAATTCAATGTTGACAGTATTTTGTATTACTTTGTTACAAAGCATTTTTGAATTGTGGCATATATCTTACGATAATAATTCGAGCAGACGTGTAGCATGTTAAGTTAAATCAGTGGATGCCTTGTTCAATGTCCAAATATTCTAGCTCAGGAGTTCCAACGAAGTGTTCGTGGCTTGGCTGTGCTGCCCTGGGTGACCCTGAATTATAAAGGAGGTTGCTGCTGGCATTGGCGTGTGGCTTAAACAAATAATTTTATGGGGAGCCAGAAAGTGTTTGCACGACAGCCTTATGACCTGTTAATGTTTTTTTGGTAACATTTTTTGTTGGCCACGCAAAAAACAGATCTCACAATGAATCAGCGTGTACTCTGAGATTTAAAGTGTAAGAGAATGAGCACTTTGTGTTTCGAAGCACGTGTGTTGCTTGTTAATAGCCTGTAAAGTAGATAATGGCTCAGCTTTGTGAATAGAGTACTCTGTGTTATGTCCGGCCTATGCAGGATATTTTAACAGTTGAATGGATGAGGGTTGCTCACTGCAGTAATATACAAAAATTGTGGCAATCTATCAATAAAGTGTGCACCATGCGTACTCTTTGCGTCTCAATCCTCGCCTTGGTTCGTATCACCAAAAAATCTTTATTCAATTACAGCTGCTTCCACGGTGACAGCTTGTGTTAATGGCTGTTACTGTTTAAGCTGTCATAGTTATCCAGATAATGTCAGCGTGTTACATTTTGTATGCTACTGTATTCTGCACAAGATGTGAGCGTGTTCTTTGTTAGTGGATTTTTTTTTACATTGTCGACTCATCTCTCAATGTAATTTCAAGAGAATGACTTGTTATTTCTAGTTTCATCTCCCTCCCAGTTAGTGTAATCCTTTGTCAATTCTATTGTGGTTAGTGACAATATATACAGGCATAGGAACACATTGGATATGAAAAGAGGAAACTTTCACTTCTGCCTTACAGGCCTCTATGTGATACTTTTTAACAGTTAACTCAGTGACTTTCAACACTGATTGCCCAATAGTAAACTTATGAATGCTTAACAATGTTTGACCACATGTACTGCTGTCTGGAAAATGGCACCAATAGCAGAAGTTGATACAAGTTAGAGGTTGCTTCTGATAGTGTTGTTTATAAAGGGAAATGTATTTATCTTTATTTAAGTATGATGAAAAAGCTATTCATTGTTTTGTATATCTATAGTTGACCTGTATGTCTAGTCTTTAAACACAATAGAGTTCCTTCAAAAATCTCAAAAGAAAGGTTTTCATGGTGGTTATGTTTAGCTGTATCCTAAATTACTTTACCATTATATGTTTAACCATGATACAGATTGCATTCTAATGAAAACGCTTAACGTTTGCAATGTTCGCACAATTATAGTACAATTAAAATTGCTACTCGTGGCTTTGAAAACAATGCATTTGCTTACGTGGCGCTGTATTAGCTTAGTGAGCAGAAATGAAATTAAGCTTGTTGAGTTGTGTGTTCATTCACATGTGTGATTTATGTGCTTTGTATTGACCAAGCATTGCTATTGTTTTGTATCACAGTTCTTACTATCACCATTGAATACAGTTGTGCACTTTTTAAGCCAGTGGTCTTGTACAACACACTTTTACACTGCTATCATGTTTTTGTATTGTTGTAACGTTCGGACCTGCCCCGACTGGACATCTCTGAAAAAGAGCTGTGTAGCTCATCGGATTCCTCCAGTAGAAATTAATATACTGATTCTGATTAACTTTTACCACTGGTTTACCAATAAGTGAAACACTTCAGCATTTTCTGAAAACCATAATCACTGCTTTAAGACATCAGTCTTGAACTATTTGAATCTCAGAGGGAAGGTAGCCACCTTGTTAGCACTGTTGTCTCGATCATTTGTGCTTGTTAGTTCATAGTAACCATGAAACACATTTTTTTCATGCGCCTGATTGTCTGAAATTGTGCCTGCGTTGCAGTTTGATCTCACGCGCACAGGATTACCTGCTCAATCACCCACCTTGCACACCTCCTGTCCTTGGTTCCAATTATGAGCCTTTGCGCTAATTTTTATTTCTGCAAACTCACAGGTGGCAATCCTGATCCCCTTCCGCAACCGGCATGAGCATCTGCCCATCCTACTCCGGCACCTGCTGCCGATTCTGCACCGCCAGCGGCTGGAGTTTGGCATATTTGTTGTGGAGCAGGCGGGTAGCCGACTCTTCAACCGTGCAATGCTCTTCAATGCGGGCTTCATGGCTGCACTGCGCTCATACTCCTGGGACTGCTTCGTGTTTCACGATGTGGACCATGTGCCTGAGAATGACCGTAACTACTACGGGTGCAGCGAGATGCCTCGCCACTTTGCTGTCAAGCTGGACAAGTATGCCTACAAGTGAGTGAGGGATGTGGCCGTTTGTGGAGCACTGCGTATGTGTATTCTTGGCCTGTACTGTTGTATCATCATCATCACTACCACTGTCAACCACGAACAATCCACTGCTGGATGAAGGCTTCCCCAAGCCATTGCCATCTCTAATGGTCCGTTGATACAACAGTCAACGATATATTGCTTCATCAATTAAAACATTGATGCTAACACATATGCTCTTTGCATTAAATAATGCGGGAGCGAATTGTTTATGAATTCTCTAAATTATATGCAAGTTATCTTATGTTACATTTAGGCAAATTAAGAGAAAACAGCTATAGAAATTCGATAAAAAAAACACGAGGTAAAACATTGTCACAAGGACTCTTGGAATACAATATGACCCCGAATCTGGATGATTAATCAAATCACTGGTATAGTTACATGCCCTTCTGTCTTCAATAACTAAAACTGAATTATCATACTTTTAGAGTGGTGATTGGAAGTTGATGGTTACATTGTTTATACAATGTACGGCTTTGATATCCATTAGGCTGATTTGTTTGAAACACTTGTCATGCTGAAATGTTGACTACCCTCTAACAATCACATCAATAACAAATGGTGCAACCCATTTATATACATATACCACGTGTGTTTTTGATATGTACCAAACTTTGTTTGAGTTGTTATATCATATGAACATTGCTATGGCTTTGAGAAGCCTACACACAACTTCATCGTACATATACCATACTAGCTTTACTACCCAGCTTCGCCCGAGACTTGGATTCTTGTCTTGGATTAATACACGGCCTACGAGGATGGTGGGGGAGGATGCGTGCCGTCAGCAGGCACACTGCGTAACGCTGCTACACGCGGGTGACATCACAGATGTGATGTCACCGATGTGACGTCACCGCTCACTTGCCACGGAAAATATATCCATTATTGCGCCCCCCCCCCCAAATACAAAAATAAATTTTTATACTTTTTGCATTGGGTAGTCTGGAAGCTACCCACATGCCAAGTTTCAAGTTTGTTGCATGTTGGGAAGTATGCTAAACATTTTGAACAGACACATTCACAAATTTCCCTTTTATATATATAGATAAAAGCAATTTTTTTGAGTTTCATCTTTAAAAAATGTTGTGGAAATCTATTATTATCAGTTTTTTTTATTCAATTATTTTACAAATGGGTAAACGGCATTACAGCGGATAGCACGCTGTTATATTTGAACTGGTCCTGGACCACCCACTTCACCAACGAGCACTTCCAAATGTGGTGAAGTATGGGCAAAAAGATCCTTATGACTATATAGCAGTGAACTGACAAAGGGCTGTAATTTCTTATGATCCAATTTTTCTATCCCTGTCATTCCAGTAAATGAGGAAATTTCCATTTGATGCAATAACCTATCACCAGTTGTTTAGAGAATGGTTCTAGCAAATAATATGGAACTACTTCTGAAGTCAGTTCAATATTTATCTCTTTATGCTAAGAGAACATTTCGGTATTTTTTGTCATCAATATGGTGACCCTGGTCACTCTTGCAAGTGAGAATATCTTTGTCTCTTGAGTTCTCATCTGTTTAAGATATAAATGTGACTTTACTTTTTCATACACTGCAAATACTGTTCATCTCATGTCATTCAAACTCAATAATCTTTTTTTAAATCCTATTTCTAAAAGAGTTTTACAAATATTTTTAAATTGTATATTCGACAGAAATGTGTTTCTTTCCTTTATTGTTTCATTTAGGTTGCCGTACACTGAATTTTTTGGCGGCGTGTCGGGCCTTACTACAGAACAGTTCAAGACTATCAATGGATTTCCCAATGCCTTTTGGGGCTGGGGTGGAGAGGATGATGATCTCTGGAACAGGTGAAAGTGGCTGTCTGAGCAGAACATTATTTGGTGTCACATTAGTTAATGCATCAGTGGCAGTTATTACTTAGGGTATCTTTCACCTTGATTAATTTAATATTGAACCAGCATATTTTTTTTACCATTAGCAAAGTGATATCACGTTATTTTCTATCAACAAACACAATGTTTTCAACAATTCTAAGTGCTAAGAAATAGATTATCGTTGCTTGTTACTGTCGGGAGATGAGAAATAAGATCGTTAAGTTTATAATGCCACCTGGTGTCGCATTTCTGTGGAATAAAAAATATATATTCAACTACGTGTACTGTAGATACTCATGTAGATATGCAGTTGAGCCAGTCTGTGGTATTTCTCACCTGGATGTTTGAGAAATTGAACAGCGGTGCCAGCACTGTGCCTTAGGTAGTGAGGGAGTGGGATGTGCCTGTCGCATGAATACTTTGGTGCATATGTCTTCCGTGCAGGGTCACGTTTGCCGGCTACAATGTGAGCCGGCCAGAGGGAGAGATCGGGAGGTACACATCCATCCCCCATCATCACCGTGGCGAAGTTCAGTTTCTGGGACGGTCAGTTGTTCGTGTTTTTTTTAAACACGCTGCCACACCAGCCAAGCTGCTTTGCTTTGACTCCAGCTCTCCTTCAAGTAGTGGAAAATTGCAAAAAATTGGCCATTTAATATATTAAATGTATATCCATGCTTTTTGTGATTTTTACTTTCTACCTAAGTTTTGTACGAGTGTAATAATACCTCTTGAAAGGAGTTGCATAACATTATAATAATGAATGACATGTATCCATAAAAGCATCGCCAAGTCTCTATAATGTTTAGTAGAAGGATCCTGAATGCAGGGTTTGACCAGTTCAACATTTTAAGGAGTGTTTTGCATTTGAGAGGAAACCGCATTATCTCGAGAAAACTCTTACATTACAAAGTCTTAAAAATGTGTGTTTCACCATTACACCAAGATTGTGCTATGTTACAAGTATATGCCAACAAACGCAACTATAAACTTTACTTTGTTTGGTAGATGTGTACTCATCTCCGAAGTCTACACTGGTCGTATTGAACATGCCAACAAATAAGTTGCCTAGAAACACTTTGCTGCTAGGTGTCTTTAAAGCCACACATTCATTCAGAAATGCTTTATATTTTTTTCGACAATGCCCAGACTGCTTGTTTTCAGTGAATACTACACCTGTAAAGTTTATATTTATACTTCCGCTTTTCATTATTGAAGCATACACAAATTCGTTATGCTTTGTTTTGGAGAATGTTTGGGTAAATACCATCTGGTAATGCAGAATTGTTTGTTTAACAAAGCCCAACTGCTGATATGACCTATAATGTCAAAACCAGTGCAGAGTTTTGTTGCTTAAACAAAGCTGCTGAATAATATTTGTTTGGAAAACCAATATGTACATATAATGCAACATATTTTATTCACGTGGAGACACAGAATGGGTTTCTTCCCATATATGCTTTTACCCATAACGCTCCACAAATATGCATTGTGAGTTTGTATACAATAGTATTGTTGAGATGAGGTGCTGTTGCCAATAACAACTGGTAACACGGCAGCATTTGTTTAAAAAGCCTGACTTGTTCAGAGTTTGTTTTCGTAAACAAATACTGCTGGACGGTCTGCAAAGCCGAGGGGCCGATTAAGACGAATTTTTTTTCCATAGAGGGAGATGGAATAGAGAAAAATATTTTTTCAAGAAGACTCCTAGACTGCTCCACCAATTTCAATGAATGACGTGTCATTTGAAAGCTGATGTGAACAAGGTCAAGACTATGAACAATGCGACCGTGTACATGATAGCTTGGTTTGTCTGCTGGGTGCTGTTCCTCACAATAACCCGGCTTGTAACATGAACCTCATTTTAAAATAATACAACGGATAAGTGCCATTGAGGACCTGTGTGTGTTGGGATAGGTGGAGCTTGCTGAGGTTGGCGGGGGCCAGAGTGACGAGTTACCTGGGAGCCGTCGAATAATGACAGTAGTTGATTACCATTGAATCTCAATTGGTTTGCCGCTGGTTTATAATCATTCGGGAGACACGTTTTTAAGGTTCAGTCAAAACAGGACCCGCCAGACAAACCATAGATTTTGCACACAAAAAACACACGAACAACCTCATTGTAAGGTGACAGTGTTATGTTGCAAATTTATTACAAGGCAGCTAGGAATAAGCACATTTGTGTCCCATTCAAGCCAAGCTCCTTTCGCAGTACATGTTGGTTATGTTGTCAGTTGTTTAGCTCCTTTCCTTCAAGTTGTTTGTTTTGGTCGCCCACACAGGTACTCTCTGCTGAGACGTTCGAGGGAGAGAAGCCAGCTTGACGGCCTCATCAACCTGCGCTTCGAGCCCACAGTCAGTGTGGAGCAGCTGTACACCAACATTTCCATTCATCTGACACCTGACCTCGCGCCTGTGTCGGATTACTAAGACGCATGCGCACGTTCGGAATATCACTTATTAAAACGCGTCTCTTTACACGTCACCTCTAAGCAGAAGCAAGCGTCTAGTTTTCGTGGCAGCTCTATTTACACGTCAATATTTGATGAGTTGTACTGCACAGTGCTAAAGTCCCAAGCTGGGCCAACACACTTCTGCAGAACCGCTGGCTTCCTTAGCTCTTTATTTTCAAGTGATGTGGAGGGTATTGTTGAACAAAAACAAAATTAGCTCGTCATCGCTGATAATGCTGTAGATTATAGTGGTCTAGCTCAAGATCTATCGTTTTATTTTACTTCAAGCTATTCAAGTCATCTAGCTCAAGTGCATCTAAAACAAGTGTTTCCCCATACCTTAAAAAATTTGGAGGTCAATATTATAATTGTAAAATGTTGTGTGTTGGCATCTCAGTGCAATTGCATATGTATATATTTCTTGATGTCTTAATTTAAATACAATGGAGATAGTGGCTGGCAAATTGGTGTAGTTAATATAACTACCTTTACATTTATGGTAATTGACTTGACTATTGCACTATGCTTTATAATGTCTGATTCATATGTTGTTGTGATCTGGCTATGGTTTGTGTAGCTTTGGTATCTTGAATTCACTGGTGTTTGTGAACTTGGGGTGAAATTTGTATTTAAAAGTAGTTGCTTTCTAAATTAGTTGAATCGGCACAATTTTTTTATATTAGCAGCTGTTCATATCTCTATTCAGAATTCATGGTTTTGCCTTGTTTATTGACATTGACTTGCCCATTGTGAATAATGTTGTGAGGCCATTACCAATGGTGTCCAAATTTCTTACAAAGAGTGATCTGTCATCTGACCTACTAAGAGGCACCGAGTTAAAATCAAAACTAAATACATCAAAACTATATTTAGTAATAAAATAAGACGAAAGTTTGATAAAGGAAGTTGGTGTGTTAGCAGATTTATGCTGAGCCCCATCACCGGTTTTTAATTGTTTGATTCAGATTTTCCCGACTGGCTTGGATATGGTGCATGTAATTAAAGTGCAAACAGAAAAGATACACAGAATGCAATTAAGTACTTTGTTATCAAACAATTAAAGTAGCATGCCGCTAAATGGTTTGCAAGTACAAAACCTGGGCAATATTTCACGATGCAGTACAAACAAGGTACATTGTGCACAATGTGCATTTCAGTCCATTCATTTCTGGCCACTGATTGAATGCGGCAACGTATCCAGATGCGCGCTCGGAAAGTGCAGAGCCCCACTGCTGCCACATTTGTGTTTTGTATGATTTGTTGTTGTTGCTGTGGGGCAGTGTCGCATCGTCACATCGACAAGCGCGCACAGAGCAGCAGTGTGAGAGACTGGTGTGCGTGCCCGTGCGACTGGTTCACACCTCCCACGGTTGGTTGACAATGTCGAGGGTGAAAAAGCTTGTGTTGGGGGCTCAAAAGGGCAGCTCGGAAATTGTGGGTGCGTCGTTTAAAATTGAACGACAAGTCCTCGTGTTGTTTTACTGGAAGCCCCACTCGACAAAAACGGCTGCAGTGATTACGCACAGATACTGCGTCTGTCACTGGCAAGTGCGCCTGCCCTGCAGCACCCTGGCGTGTTGTCAGACATGCTTTGTTGATGTGTTGTAACGTGACAATAGCCAGAGGTTTTCTTGAGGGACAAAAATATTTTAAGCTTTCACCTTTAATGTATGGCAGCAATATCTAACATTTCATTTTCTGTATAGCTTGACACATTTCTGCTGCATATTAGGAGTTTACTAGTACACCGATTCTTACCATATCACAAAAATAGAATGTTTTGTCATGTTCTTGTTAGCGAGTAATTTATTAATTTATCATTCTTATTCAATTTGCTACTGTTATTTAATATTGTTTGGCAGTTTTTTTATGACACTGATTTTTTTTTAATATTCATGTTTTTGCCTTTTTACATTTGAAATAAACAGTTTATTTTGTTAGTTGTGGATTTATATTTTTTGAGCTTTATTTATTAACGACATAAGACTAGCTGACATTGATGTTAATTGCTGCATGATGCTGGTCATTGTGCGCCATTCTTGAGCTTTAAATTTTTAGCTTTGTTTAAATTTTCGTTTCAGTAAAATTTTATTTTGTCGGGACATAGCGTAACGTACTACTTACAAGGCTACACAGGAATTTTTAGCCTTAAAAATGTATTCTGTCACTTGCTATGAGCTGAATTATATAAGATATGCACATTACAATTTTGTTATGCTGTATGATTGTTTAAACAACCTGTCCATATGAAAATGTGAATCATACAAATGCAATAAAGCAGTGATGAATTAAACCATTCACATTCTTTTGACTCGATGGGAAATTTGCATTTGTCTTCCCATCTCATAACACTCGTCTAGCAAGTAATTTCAGGAGAAAACTGAAGGTAAATTTGCTTGGATGTTGTCAATGAAAAGTTCAGTTGTTGAAGTTATTCCCATTGGCACTTCAAGGCATTCATTTATTCCCTTTTGTGTGACGTCATGCAGGAATACCCAGATGTGCATTAAGTATAATTTGTGTCTTTACATGAAAAGGGATTTGATTGTAGAGGCACTTGCAAGTTTGGTCATAATTCCTTAAAACGACTGCTGGGAATCTTGAAGATTTTGCATAATTTCCATCCACGCGTTTTAGTTTCAATAACCTTGTTGGATTGGAGGTTCTATCAAGACAGTTTTGGAAATATTGTACATGGATGTTTTTTGTTACAAGCTTTAGAAGCGCTGGGAGACCTTTAACATGTGTGAGCATATGTGATGGCGAGCTCGGTGTCATATACCGAGGAGGGCGCGCGGGGTGTTTAACATGGGGGGAGCTCGCGCTGAATTTAGAGCCGAGCACTCTGTCTGCACCTGCTTGCGGGCATCTCTTCCCCATCCTTTGCAACGTAGAGATTCAGGTAGAGCCAGTTCACATTTATTTAATTCAAAACACCTCACATTAAAATATACATGTTGCAGCTTATTTATCTTGCACATGGAATCCACTGGGGTTTTGTATAATTCCAAATTGAAGATGTTCCCCACGCCTAATTAAATGGATTGATAAATCGTTAACAAAGGGGCGTGAATTATAAACCGTATCTCGGTTTACTAATTTGTTATGCCTCTTGCATTAATAGGTAATGATTATTTGGAGTACCTGCCTTCTTGTAAACCATCTTGAAAATATTCCTTTGAAATGCTATACACCAGGGGTCGGGAACCTTTTTGACTGGGAGAGCCATAAAAGCCAAATATTTCTAAATATATTTCATTGAGAGCCATTAGTATTTTTAACGTATAATAAATTAAATGTCTTACTTTTAATGCGACTTCTGGTCACGGGACCCGTGACCCGAGAAATTTTATCTTCAAAACTAATTTCTGTTTACTTTAAAATGACACAGTATTATTAAGCAATATCACAAGTATTTTAAAATCAGTTCCAAACTGATTTTATTTTATTATTTTTTTCAACTCAAATTTGTCTGGGAGCCATATGCCGTCACCAGAAGAGCCATATATGGCTCGCGAGCCATAGGTTCCCGACCGCTGCTATACACACTAAAATTGTACCAGATATTGCACAAGTCCTCGTAATGGGCGACACAAAGGTACACTTCCAATTTAAAGACTGGAAGTTTAAATCCAAGCTGGATATCGACCTGTCAACATTAAAATCTAATCCCATATTGTGGGGAAGGCAAGAGTGGTCGACTTCAACGTCCACCACTGGCTCAAGGCTGTAAAGAAGGGGAGTCCAGTAATACCCCGATTTACATCTACCCCTTTTACATCATTTCTCAAATACGTCGTTACTATTAATACTGCTACCTGATTTGCATCGCGTAAACCCACATGTCGCCGACAGCATTGTCCGTCCTTTCTCGTATCCGTCGCCTCTCAGCCTTCGACTCCACCTACCCTGTGAATTACTTTGACGTAGTTTGGATAATCATCGTCGCACCTTTCAGGAACGCATCCCCGACAAAAACCGCGATATTACTGGACCACCTATTCTCAATTGAGTGGGGAATCAATCGGACTTTTAAACTTCACTAAGATGTTTTACCAAGCGTGCTTCCCATAAAAAACATTCAATTATGCAACCGTACACCAATTTAAGTTAAACAAATACCACTCAAAACACTTTACTGCAAGATTGTATGTTAGCAGCATGTCTGAAACAAGCAGCTTTCCAGATATTTGTTGCATCAGCATTCCGTTCACATGGTTAGCTTTTATTAATAAGTTGTCATGCAAGTACATGTGTCCATTCGCACTTGGTTCATGCGATTACGTTTGTACAGCAAAGTGCATTAATGCCACAGCGAGTGGTTTTCAGAACGCACAAATTAACACGTGGCAGCCGCACTTCACTGAAAATTGTGCTCAAATGAAAAACTGCAAGCCATTACAAGAATTTCCAATTTTCACATTATTGTCCAAACAGTGATTTAAAAGTGCCAAGAACCCAGAGAAAAACAAAAACACAAAATAACTGCTTATTTTAAGTGTTACAGCAATGCTCAGGATTACGATAACTGGTGCTTTGGCTGCTGGAAGCAGTCTTTATTGTACTTGTGTGAAATGCTTCAAGGGGCCTTAATACAACGCCACTTTCTTGTCACACTTGGGGAAAGGAGACTGCGGACCACGGCAGCGTGTTGGCATTACGAGCCCAGTATTTTTTATTTTGATTACTGCAGGCTTTGCCCAAGGGGCCATCGCTAAAACTCAAGAGCACACGAGCATGTTGTTCATGCGTCACAGCGATACCTCAAGACGGGAGAGCAATCGTTGTCCTTGTCCACGAGACTCATAAGTACGCGTTTTATCCCCGAATTGAATTAAATATACGATTAGAATATGTATCACAGAAGCGTGTAAACTTAATGATACCAGTCCACCACTATTAATGTACTTCATTTCTGAGCCATGCCATTGCACAAGTACCCATTTTATTGTTTCAGCATTATATATGTGCAGCTGTAATGGCTGGGACTGTCACTGTATACGTGATGAATATTTAATGTTAATATTCTATGCGTGCAAACTCTACGATGACAAACATCATATTTGCATGTTGCGTGTGTTATGTTTTCGCGGATACGCCTTTATAGTTGGCAGATAATGTGGCAATGACCAAAAGAGAGGATCAACATAAGAGACCAGGGCTTCGCACATGATACTCACCAAGGAGATACAGTGCTCATTTTCCCAGGAGTGTGTCTGATCCTTCTGCATGAGCAGCCAGCATGAGCAGCCAGTAAGCACCACTTGAACCCAAGGACAAAATACACCCACGAGTATACAGCCACGGAGATGGAGGTAAAAGATCACGTGCGGGAGTGAGATGTGTTTCGTTGCATCTCACGGTACAGAGAGGCCTTCATTCAGCAGTGGATAGATCATGGCTGAGAATGACCACGTGAACCAGACACTTAATTATTCATGAGCAAGTCTCCTTGAGCAAATGAGACAACGCAGCATGCAGCATTCGATTTTAAAGTATAACTATCGAGTATCAGAGGCATTCGCATTATGGTACGATGGGAATGCCCCCAATACTGGATAAGTGCCAAAGTTGAAAAAGTTAACGTTTGTTTCTTGAAGTCAGCTTCAATTTAAAACACAAGTCATTCAGGGAAGCTAACAAATGCCTTTTCCACTCTGTGCTCTTATAGTATGTTTTTCAATGCCAGCATATGTACCGATACCAGTGACATTTAAATGAACCCTTTGTGTCAGCTTTGCATCAATTACATTTTCATAAGGTTGATACAAAAACATGGCATATATGCTACAAGCCTATATCCAAATCGCCCGGAATGATCTAGCTAAATCTCGGAAGCTCAGCAGATTGAACCTGGAGATCGCTGGGTTAGGCGAGCATCGTGTATGACAATGCAGCAGGCAATACCTAACCTTCGATTTAAAGCTTTCGTGACTGCAGGGATTCATCTTCTTGGTTCTTTCGGTGACTTCACCGAAAGAACCAAGAAGATAAATACCTAACCTGTGCAGCGGTGTTGTGGACAGCAGAGGGCAATGCAGCAAACTCTATCACACTGCATTTCTATGCGCCCATGTATACTAACCTGCATTGACGGAACATAGTGAATTACGCTCTATTAACCCCCATGACTTGTAACGCTGTGAAGAGGCCCTCTCTCAGCACTTCCAAAGGGCTGAATGACAAAGGGCGGTACATGTACATAATGTGTGCATCCCCAATGAATCCTTGGTGGTTTCATGGCCTTTGATGGTGAATGCAACTTATACCTCTATTGAATGTAATGTGAATGCATTAATCTCTGAAAGCACCAAGAGAAAAAGGCGAAGAACACAAACAGCCACAGCAAACAGATAACCTTCATTGCACTCTACTCAGGAGATGTTTCTGCGATGCCTTCAGGGTTAGACTTCATCTGCAATAGTTTGTTTTTCTTAACACTGGTGAGGAAAGTCTTTTTGAAGAGTAGTTCTTAGAAATAGAATGGATTTGGACAATACAAGACTGGTGTCATAATTAATTATTAGCGTGCAATGGCAACGCTGGCATAACCAACAATATATTTTATTTACACAACACTTGCAGATGAGTAATGTTGACGGAATAATAACTGGCGAGCAATAGCCGTTGACTTTAATGCCCAACTGGGACAGAACTGCTCCCAAGCTTTGTGAAGAACACTGCGGGAAAATGATAAAGGCGAAGGAAAATGAAAGATTAATGGCACACTTGTTTTGTTCGCTTGCACATTAAATGTCCAATGTTGTCCACTTTTCTCGTTAAAGTGACTTTAATTTGGCTCTCGAAGCCAGAGGCATTTCTGTTAAATTCGGAGTAAGCTTAAATAAAAAAACCGATTGCAATAAAACTCACAAAAGGCACATTGCTGCTCTCAGCTCTGAGATGTGTTGCAAAAAAAAGTAAAATTTTTGTATCACCATTCTCTAAGTTCCATGTCATTTTATACGTATTAATGCTATCACACACACAACCGTTTTACATTTCTAAACTACATTGTGCTCAAGTTATTTTTCTTCAACGCTAAATAATTAAAGGCTACTGATTGTATGATATTACTTTCTTCAGTGTCCAGTGCACAACGCTAATTGTGGCAGCTCCTAGTTTAACAATTGCTGTGAAGATTCCTCGTGCTTATTATTTATCTTGCCAATAATAATAATAGCACCAGCACCTTGAGATGGCTGCAGTGAGATCACGTTGAACATGTGTGTTAAGACTACTGGCTTTGCTTTCACTCACCATTCCATATAAGTGTCGCATCGAAGCTATTTATTTCTTTAGCTTCACTGTCTCGCTGTCATTGCTGGAAATATGTTAATGTTTCATTTCTGTGTTAAGTGGATGATGGCAAGCCAAGGCAGAAATAAATGGACGATCCCCTTTGCTCGCATGCGCAGGCGTAAACACATCATTCTTGCGTTGAGAAAAGTGGGTTTGGGTAGGACACATCGCTAGAATAATTACGGAGTGGCAGCCAAAGCCTGAGAGGATGTACGCCGAGGTTACGGAGCGATGAAATTAGCTCGCGTGGAGGTGCTCCGTGGATTATTGCATCGCCAAGGATCGTGAGGGATGGCGGCCGCTTGGGGAGGCCTTCATCCAGCAGTGGATTGTTCATGACGATTACGCTTACAAACTTACGCCATATATGAACCTTTGACATTTTAAAACTCATCAGGGGAAATCGATAACAAAAAAAAAACTCATAATTTTTTTGCAATCCCATTGTTTTTGTTGTCGATGACAGGTGACATGCTGCTTTGGGAGGAGCTTGTGGGTTCTTAAGCACCGGGAGACCTTGGTGTCCCCCCCCCAAGGCTGCCGTAGGGAGCACGAGGGGGTGTGGGGTGTGATGGGGGAAGGGATGGCGTCGTCTGCTAAACATGTCCCTCCGGTTCTCATGTATCTCTGCTCCCGTCACCATCCTCCTCCTCCCCCCTGCAGTGAACACACGGAAGAGACCAAACATCGCTGTTGCACCTCACCTGTTGCACCTCACCTGTTGCACCTCACCTGTTGCACCTCACCTGTTGCACCTCACCTGTTGCACCTCACCTGTTGCACCTCACCTGTTCATCAATAACAAGTCACTCGTTCGTCCCCCAAGCACGCACGACTTTCATCATTTACTTATATTTTCTTGGTTCTTTCGGTAAAGTCACGTAGAAGGGAAATAATAAAATAATAAAAATAAAACATTATAAAATAATAAATACTAAAATAATAAAATACTATACTTTAATATTATTATTTTTATTATTTTATTATTTCCCTTCTACGTGACTTTACCGAAAGAACCAAGAAGATGAATCCCTGCAGTCACGAAAGCTTTAAATCGAAATTTACTAACATTGTCAATAATAATTAATAATAGCTGTGCACATTGACAAAATATATATCAAGGGTACCCTTATGAGTGAAATAGTTTTCTCAGTTTAATGAGCCTGCCTACAGCAATGCATGGTGGCAATGTTCCCCACATAATAATAAACGGAATTCATTCGCAACATTCTCTGTCAAAACGAATTGCCTCTGGCCGAATAACGTAACACAATTACGTATGACAAGATCGCGGCCAAAACAAGATCATGTAATAGCACGCCTTTGTCATTTATTAATATTTGTTGCCTTCCACCCCATCCTGCCAGCAAAATTAACTATTTGTTCATAACATTGTTGTATATTTTCCCCGGTATGATCTGTGTACACTCCCAAACACACCGTTTGGTCGCGAAAAAAACGACTTCACCTTCAGCGCCGATGCCTGCGGAGCAGTTCGCGAGCGCTAATTCAAGCAGCCGAGTGATTTATGGCTTGGACCCGACACGAAGAAGCCCCTTGCGGGGTTCTTGCGAAGTTTTTTTTTTTGTTTAACGCCATTCTCTTTAGATTTTTTCGCGTTCACCTCGGTGGAATGACTTTCGACACACAACGGTGAATGGAGCAGATAGGGCGGTCCATCTCTTTAATTATGCGCAGAACCACTTCGTCGTTTAATTTGTCCGAACCACACGGCGAATCGATTGCGTTACCATTGTAATATTTACTATGGCGCCAGACCTAAGAGGAAAGCGCGCGGTGAAATCAGGCTCTTGCCGTAAAGAAATGTCGTAATCATTGCAAAAATAGTCAATATCGGAATATATGTACACGTAGTGCACAGTGTATAAATATTTTAATAAACTACTGCTGCTTCCAGGTCTACATGGGTCAGTGAAATATGGTTTGTGAAAATCGCTCACGAGGGGAAAAATCAACATTACGGTTTGTGTGCCTTTGTCGTGACATCTTGGCAAGGCATGTAAACCGGAATACGCACGGACTGACACACTGTCACAAAGTTTATTATTCTTCTGTTGTAATAAAAATGTTTTGGTAATTCTATGCGTAGGCAGGGGTATGTGAACACCGTAGGACTTGCAGCGGTATGCTGTAACATAGACAGTATGCGGTGAATTTTTATACGAGCAGCGTAAAAAATATTTTTTTTATTCCACAATTTTATCCAGATCGTGCTTTCGGATTCATGTCAAGAGACGGAATATCCATTTAGATGTCTCAGAGCCGTGCAAAATCCTTCGTGTTGGAAAATGGCCCACAGAAGCCAATGTCACAGAGCTCCCTCTGAGATCTCTTTATGTGACCTCTGCTGCACACGCAAACGGGCAGCACTATCCCATCCATGTCCAATTATGTATTTTTTTAAATTCCCAAATTTGAAATTTAGCCAAATTAAGTGCAGAACCATTGTTGTGGAATTATTTGAGATAATTTATGTTTAAATTAACATTTTTACTTCCATTGGCTAAAAATTGTGATGTTTAATGCATTACACTGTATATTAAAAGTTAAGCAAAGAGTAACCGAATAATGAATTCAACCCAAACAACACACCGTTATTAACTTGTACATACACATCGAGGCTAGGGTGTCCTGGGTTGTCTGCCACAAGCGACAAGCTCCATTAATGATATAAAACAAGTATAACCCGTAAAAACAAAGTTTTTCACTATAAATCCTTTATATGCGTGGCAGCTAGAGTCCTCGTCCTCTGGCTTGAGATGGCTGCCACCTATGGGTCAGATGATTGTCTGCCAGTATTAAGCAATTGGTAATTAAATAAATCATTTGTTTTCCCTAGACAGTGTAAAATTTTGGAAAAATTTTTTTAACGAACATTAATTGTCTCGCACAACGAGTCTGTGTGCAAAATGTCAGCTCGATTGGATCACGGGAAGTGGGTTAAAAAACGACCGAAAGATTTGCACGGTCGTAAGCAAGCAAGCAAGCACGCAAGCACGCAAGCAAGCAAGCGAGCGAACTTAATATAAAGGATTTAAAAACTATTTAATCAAAAGTTTCGGTCAGGTACACTCCAAAATGTGATGTCACCCTAGTGACGTTTGATTAGCAAACAAGTTCGGGACACTACATTGATGTCACCAGCACATTCCTGATCATACTGGTAGAGTCACGTCAAATCAATGCCATTTTAAAAACTCGCCAAACCATGTCGATGATTATTCGGATGGCTTCTATAATTCCACGTTGAGAAGTACACACCCCAAGGGCGCTGTACAAATCCACGGAAGAGATATGGTAAACACGCGCATCTCTTGCCGTCTTTTGAAAGACTCTCGCACGGACACGAGAATGTCGGTGGGTCGGCTGTTCCATGCCGTGGGACTGGTGGCACCGAGTGCACGTTCGCCGACCGCCTCTGATGACGCTGATCGTGGCATTGGGGGAGTTACAAAATTAGAAAAAAAAATGTGGGTTGAATTTTCCTGTTTTGCAAAAACGACGGCTTATATGTACAAAATGTATATATCTAACAAGCACAAGGGACTGCGCATTGGCAGTGCTGTGCAAGCAGGAATAAAAAAAACCCCACCACATTCACCATCACCACCACTGCATTTTAACAGGAAATATAAATAATATGCTGACATTTTCAGGTAATGACCGTTCTTCAGAGAACAGAGGCAGGACAGAGATTGACCGACTTTACACCGTTGAGCTCTGATAAAGAAAAATGGGAAACGTTAAGGAAAGTGACGAATGAACGGTTTCAAATGCACTTCTACCGTGCTTCTTTGTGTTTCGTTCGGCTTTTGTTAAATTTCCCTTGTGAAGTGTCCACGTTTCTGAACCACGCATCATAAAATGGAAAAAAAAATGCAAAGATTGAAAATGTCCTCCAACTGCTTGCCGTCAATCCGCCACTATTCCGCCACTGCGTAGGCTTCCGCGGTTTGCGCCGTATCGCTCCACGCGTGTGACCCAAACACAGCGTTTTTTTTTCTTTGCGTGTGCGCGTACGGGGTGGTGGTGGTGGTTGTGCCGGCGTCGTGCGACGCCGTACGGTATATTTACCGCCGCGTGTCCTCCAGGACGCGGACGCGAGCCTGCGCCGCCTCCAGCGCCGTCCGCAGCTCCTCGCACTCCTGGCGCCACGACGCCAGCTCCCGCTCGCGCTCCAGCAGCGATCGCTGGAGCCGCGCGTTGGCCTCCTCCAGGCTCTCGCAGAACGCCTGCACGCACACGGGCACGCACGCACGCACACGGGCACGCACGCACGCGGGCACGCACACGGGCACCCACGCACACGGGCACCCACGCACGTGGGCACGCACGTGGCGCACAGACCGGGGGGGGGCAGGGGGGGCGCAGTGGTGGTGCCGTGAGATGATATCCTGATAAATCCGATGAGATGCATTTCCTGATCACTCCGCGTATCTCTGCGCCCGCGCGTGTGTGGGCGCGTGCAGTGCCATCGAATGCCGTTCACTTTCATCGAGGTTAATCTTAGTGACACCCCCATTTCACATGCACATTGATTTCACTCGAGTATTATATTGTGAACCGTTAAAATACGGACCAATGCTAACCGGTAGCTTGTATCTTCTTGGTTCTTTCTGTAAAGTCACGTAGAAGGGAAATAATAAAATAATAAAAATAAAACATAATAAAATATTATGAATCCCTGCAATCACGAAAGCTTTAAATCGGTAGCTTGTAGTTTTGGGTAATTGCGAGGGGGTGAATGTCAAGCTTGCCTTTTGAAACAGTGATGGATCACCCCGCCCCACTTTTTGACTCCCAAAAAAATCCATGAGAGGTTTTTTTTGGGTTAGATCACGTAAATAAATAAATGTGTTGTTAAAACCCGCCACCACCTGACACGGCCAACTAGTAAGGGTTGTCACCTAAACAGCACATCGGTGATTTGGAGAGCCAAGCCACAACATTTACAATCTAAGTATGACATTTTGCCAGTAATTACAACGAGCTTCATCAGGCGACAGCCAGATTTGTGGAGAAGTCCACCTGTTTCGTAGCTTATATAGAGGCGCAGATGTGGTGACCACCCTTCTTAATGAGCCAACGTACATGATGCATGCGCATTATGCGAGCCCTTTGATCCTGTCCTTTAACGACACATTTAAATATATTTACGCAATCTAACCCAACAAAAACTCTATTATGGATATTGGTCGCGAAAGCCTACGTGTTAAACCAATCCAAAAAAAAAGTTTTTTTAAATTAAATATAGGGACCTATTTAAAAAGCTTGAAATTTCAGGATTGCTCCATCCCCCCCATCCTTGGAAGTTTCCAGATCCACCTCTTTATGGATTTATCTAGTTTACACCACTGTCTCAAATACCCAGGAAACTACTTTCACTTTTAAACTGTGAGTGTCAGCGCAATATTATCCAATGGCTGTCACTTTGATAGATCTCGATGGAAGTGTATAATAAGTGCCGGATTAGACACAAGATAAGTAAGCTACAGCTTAGGGCATTACCTTATGAGTGGCCTCTAAATACGAAGAAAAAAATCTAACGGAGTTTCAAGTTTTACAAAATCGATTGAAAAATAAAGGGAGAGAAAAATAACTGTATAAAATGGTTCATTTTCATTCTGACATTACAACAATATACAGGCATTCCTATATTTACGAACCGTGAACTTGACATAGCTTAAGAGCCCCAGCATATCATCCTCCGTCCCTGTGTATGATACATGTACAACTGTCATTATTTACAGCCCTTTGTCGATCCGCTGCTGGGCGAGGGCCTCTCCAGCCGTGTTAGTCATGGAGGGGTTTGTTTGACCCTGCCTCAACATGCTGGTCAGGGCGAAGGTGAGCAGTGCACTGCCACCAGCAAAGGGCCTTCAGCACCAGGCCATCGACGTAGCAATGGGTAAGGGGGGGCGGGCAGCACATGCCGAACCTAATCAGAAAACAGTTGTGATCTTCTGTTGGAATTTTGACTTCAAGATCAGGAACTTCGAATATTAGTTTATTTCCCGTATTTTATTCACATATTTACATTACTCTGGTGTGTATTTCAAAGCACTGCTATCCAATCGCGTCGAGTATCTGGCAGAGTATTCTGAGTATTGGTGAAATGCTGCATTGAACATTTCAAAAATCAAATGCCAGCCTTAGTACTTTTTGCGTGTGTTAAACCTTGATATTGTTTCATGTCAGTGTACATGGTTTGACTGCCTTGAACTATTTACTCAAGACAATCAAATTTAGATCCAGGTGGTTTAATGTAGTGTTGTAAAGTCGAATGCAGTGTTGTAATACAGCACTGAGGCATTGCTCATCTCCTGTTTACAGCCCTGGGCCAATGGTGCAAATTCCACATTCAAGTGGCAAGGGTGGGTCCATCCACAGGACAACTACTAACACTACGGACTAACGCTAACTGGTACTGATTTTATTGACTACACAGGGACCATGGGCAGAGTCAACCCTCACCGAGGATTTGAACTCACATCCTTCCCCATGTTTAGCCACTCACTCCACTGCCGAGATACTTGGCCGGATAAATATAGTAAAGTGGAAATAAGCCAAGATACACCAATGTTTACAGACAATAGTCGATGCTGTAAAACTACTCACAAATCTCACCTTTCCTCCCTTCCTCCGCATGTTGTCTAAAACAAAGTTTACAAAAAGCCCCAAATAACATATGTATACAAAATAAACCTTTTAGATATGTAAATAACAAAAAACTGAAAACTAAGGGCCGATGTTGGCAATGGTGCAGTAACTACAAACACCCCGCGTATTTTTCATTAACACTGACTTATGGCAGAAATACACATATAAATATAAAATAAGCTAACGCTTCAGGCAATGGAATAACACTGGCATGAAAGGGATTATGTTAATACCAAATCCGTTTCACAGGGGGAAGGCATACTTAAGAGTTTACAGTTATAGCCCTCCTTTAGTTGTGGGTTTCAATTCACACCGCGGTGCCCCGAAAATGTTGAAGTGTACAAATTAACGGCATTGATGCGAGACATGCAGTACTGCCCATAGCGGTCGCTTATTTTATAAATATATATGTTATAATAAATACGATAATTAATCATGATAATTTACGGCGCTCTTGTCAATACACTGCTGGAGGCTTCCCCAAACTGATGTTGGTCACTGGGGGGTTGTTTATCCATACTTCTCCGTGAGAGTTGGTGAAGGAGGGGGCCTAGGACCTATTTCAGACGTCAATCACCTCTCATGTTAGCCATTATTTATAGAAATAAAGCTTACGTCACGGGGGTTCGTAGTGTTGTGTGCCAACCACTGCACCACTCCTCCACGAATATGTTAAACAATTTGCGTTTTAGGTCAGTGTTGACGACGTGCAGAATTATTTATACAATAATTGGGCATATTTGTACGTCTCCAAAACAAATCAGAAAACAATGGAGCTATTCAGCATTGCTTGGTACAAATTTATCTCTCTATTCTTGGGATCGTTGCTAAGTTGCTTCAGTTTTGGCTGTTGGGAGACTTTGGCTTCCTTGTAAGAATCTGAACCATGGTCCAGTGTGACTTGCAGCGACCCACAGTTTGTTTTACTACAATGGTTGTGAAGACATTTATTGTAACTTTCTTAAACTTATCGTCATGATAATTATCAGAAGTTGTAGTAGTCGGTTAATAGAGCGAACAAAACTACAAATGTGATAGAACAAACCAAAAATACACGTTAGATAGCAAAAAGAAAAAAAAACAAGATAATCGATGATTAAATTGAACCGTGACCCTTAATCATGACAATTCACCAAGTTGCTAGTGGGGTGTAAGCTACCATACAGCCACCAATCACTTAATGCATGCAGACCTCCCTTCTGTGTCTCTACTAACAAATAATAAATGGGCTTCTTGTTTTATCCATCACCGTACTGACTTTCCAGGCCAATAATTGCCAGCAGCCTTGGTTGAACTAAACGAACTCTGTATAGGTTTCAACCTTCCGGGTCTGTTCCACAATAACGTATGAGTTTGGCTACGTGATTTAGAGGCCGGGGATTGTTGGGTGTGAGGTTATTGTTGCGATGTGGCTGCATTCATGGGGAGGGTAGTGTGGTTTATCGTGTAATTAATAAATTCTCAAGTTTTCTGATATTAAATTGGATGTAAAAACAAGTGCGGGTACCACAAAAGGAGATTTAATTCCACTTTTGCTCGCTCTTGAAGCGAGAGAATGATTCAGACGCTCGAGGGAGAACCACAGACAAGCGGGAAAGGCAGCCAGGCGGTGAGCTGGTGCGAACAATTGCCCGAGCTCTGCGATCCTCTATATAGTACAGTTTTTTTCGGCCAATTAATGAGTGTTGACATGCAGGAGGATATCAGAGCACCCAGAGAAAATCGACACGTGGGAGGGGGCATCAATGTACCCCATACAGATGGAATAGGTGGGGATTTGTCCACATTATGTTGCTACCACCATATACCCTGGCCTGCCAGGGTATATGGTGCCAGGGTATATGGCACCTCGACGCTCACGGGAAGGGAGTTTCGCAACCTGTGTGTGATGCAACAGCTCTCGCCTCCACAGTGCTGGATTTACAGGCCAGGTGCATAGCCACCGCCGCCCGGCTGATCGGGAGGTTCCGCTTGATGTAAACCTTCCATGTGTATATAATGCACGATGAAGGAGAAAGGAACACGTGTAAACGATATGCGATTGAATAGAGAAGTATCTGCCTGAGGTATAAAATAAAAGTGAAAACAATAACTTTTCTAATCCCCTAAGGTGACTTTTACAAAAAAATATCTAAAAAAGACGTTCAAATTACTTTTGCAAAAAAATGGCGGTGATGAATGCAGACTCATGGCAAGTTCAAATGTGAATACAAATATGTTTTGCTCCTCAGGCGATGTAATACAAAATCTAGGTATTTACTGAGTGAATCATGTGCCTTTTAAACTAGTATATTTTACACGGTTTGCACCCTCTAATAAGCCGCCCTCCTTGTTTAACAGTGACCAACGGTGTTATTAATGGAGGTGTGTGTGTGTCAATTATTCTGCAAGCGATGAGGTCACGTGACTTCCCCAATATTTCCGGCAATTTGTGTGTTCTGAGGCCTCGAGTCAGGCTACTTGCAAATGGTCAAAAGAAAACTCACGCGCTGAACAAAATTGGAAATGCCTCTTCGACTGACGACGAGCGACACTACAAGGATTTCTCCACCAGGTGGTACCACCAATCTGTTCTCTGCGCAAGATCCACGATCGTTTGCAACGAATTTTAAAATCTTGGTGTTTTTTTTTCTTTTTACACGTGGAATTCATCCGAGTATAATGGCTTTTTGCCACCGATGGCCTCTTTCCCCTCCATTCTGATTGCATCTTTTCAGAGCTGTCCACCTCTAACGCCACCGCACATTTTCAGTTGAAGTGCCACTCCGTGTGACGGAGATTGGCCAAGGCCGGCCCTTGGGGGGGGCAAGTGTGGACAATTGGGGCGCATTGGTTTAAAATGTGCATTCCGCACTGAAATGATCAATTATTTAGCTGCAATGGTAGCTGGTGGAATTTGCACACACGTTAAAAAAAGTGCTTGTGCGCACACACACGCGCCTACATGCGGACACACAATTTGCTCTCTGGTTTGACCATCTAAATAGGTACTGTTTTGTGGGCATCTATTGCAACTAAAACACAAAAACACACACCTCTGCAACTTTTCTAGTGGACCCTTAAAATTGAAATCTCACAAAAGCACAGTGTGTTTTATTGACTTCTTGTCCTTCCCGCCCTCGCCCCCGACCCCGTCCAATGTTGAGGACGGAAGCAAATTTGACCTCTGCGACCTCACCCTGCTCTCCTCCAAGCTGTCGAAGGGTCCGGGAGGCTCATCGAGGCACAGGAACTCTCGCACTGCAGCGCTGCGCGCTCGCAACAGGGAAACAAGAACAGCGCTGGAAATACTGGGAATCGTTAAAAAGCCGGCGGATCTTCAGACACCGACCACCATCCCCCCCCCCCCCCCCCCCCCCGGGGGGAACTGAGGATTTAGAAGCCACCGCAACGGTGCACAGCTGGCTCGTTATTTTATTTATACATTTAGGCATTTTTGTTACATGTTATTAATAATGTATGTGCTGGTTTGAAGAGGCGATTGGTTAATTATTTTTCTGCACATGCTGTGCACATCAAGTGTGACACAGACAAAGATGCCCACCCTAAACTTTTGACCCAACGCGCTGATGAAAGCACCCCATGCCTTAAATGGGCGACCCATTTAAGTGCAAATGGCTCGCACACAATGGCAAATGTGACCTGGCACGGCGATAAAAATGTTCCCGTTGAAATATTTATCACGGGGTGTGTTCAAAACACGTCACACTGTGCATAAACAGCACGCACCAAAGTAAATTTGAGCCGTCTCATTTACAAAGATTCGTTTCATCACCCGTCTTAACAAGTCTGTTTTGTGTTTATTTTGTTTTTAGCTCTACCCATTATTTTTTATTGCCAACATTTACTTATAATTAACTGCAGCACGATCAATTGCTGTGCCTTTGCAACTGGCTGCAGATTACGTAGTCTGTGCTGCACATCACGGATTAAACATCGCTGAGCACGTACGCACGGACGGACGCACGCACACACACACACGCACACTCTGACCTGGGTCCCATGGCCATAGGAAGTGCGCTCAATTCCACTGAGATGCAGAGTCTGACTCGGTGTCAGCGGTGTCAAGGCACATCATTTTTCCCGACAGCTTGCTTATAAAACCCAATGTGCCCAGTACGACCGACTAACAGGACCTCGCTGTGTCCCGGGCGCAATCGCAACGCTCGCAAACACGCTCTCCCAGCGGGAAAGGAAACTGTCGCTGCTCTGTGTGTGTGCGCGCGTGTGTGCGCGTGTCGGTGCCAGGTGCACAGCCTCCGTGGGTATCTGGACAACCCCGGCATGTTTAGATATGGCTAAGGGACAACCCGCAAGATGTAGAGAACAAAGATTATCGTATTCTCGTGTTATTCCGGCATTGCCTAAGTCACACTAGATCAGTGTTCTTCACTGCAGGGCCCACGGGACACTGACGGCCACTGATGTGCCACTCCCCGGCGACACACAAATGGTGAAAACACCCCCAGCATCATCATCGTCATCGTGCTGCTGTCAAACCCCAATGGATTCAAATGTGTGGCGGCCCGCATACACACTGATGATGTCTTATCAGCGAAAGTACACCCCCTCTCCCCCCCCCCTCGGAAAATTAGTGAAGAACACTGCTCTAGCTAACACAATGTCTCCTGGACATCTGCGAAAAAGAGCTTCATAGCTCATCGGATTCCTCCAATCTAAATAAATATTCTGATTATGTATAGCTTTTCTGGAGATCTGTTAACCCTCGGGCATTGTTGCATTCCGCTGTCCGGCGTGCACGCTGCCTACACCCAGCACTGGCACTGGAGCCACGAGTGATCCCCCCCCCCTCCTCCGCCCCCCTGAGTGAAGAACACTGGGCAAAACCACTGGAACCTCATTTGCCAGTAAAAAAAATATGACAATTGTTTTTTTACCCTTTTATCTGGCAACAAAACTGACACCTTTTATACAAGGAGTCATGTTTGCATAGACCACAATACCTGCAGTCATAATGCAAACAAAAAACATAACTCTGATAATGTATGGGCTAAACCGTGGTTCGGATTCCCGAGCCCTTCAAAACAAGGCGGCCGATCATGCTGACGACGGAACCTTTTCATCACTCGGTAGCGCGCTCGCACGGCAGGCCCAGGACTGAGTCGCTAGCCAGTAGTTGTGTGGATTTTACATAAATTGTGGTGCAGCTGAACTCCTCTTGTCTGTGACGAAGTCGGGAGGGGGAGGGGGCAAACTTTGCAGATCCTCTCTGCAATGTAACCAGTGACCACCATGAGCCATTAGGAAGTGGAACATCCCCAACTTCCCACGTGTGTTCTGCACCTGCACATTGAGATCTGCAGGCTAAAGCGAGCTCATTCACCTCCCATCGAGGTCTGTTCGCTCAAGTGATGGCATTCAATCCCACAGAGATTTGTAGACTAAAGTGACATCCGTTGACTGTCACCAGAGATATGTAAGCTAAAAGCAACCTCATTCACTGTCAAAGAGATCCGTTAGCGAGCGTGACCTCCATTCGCTCCCGCAGAGGTCTGCTCGCTAAAGTGATGGCATTCAATCGCACAGAGATCTGTAGGCTAAAGTGACATCCATTCACTCTAATGTTATCTCATGTGACCTCATTCACTACCATACGGAACTGTTAGCTACAGTGCTCAGCCCGAGCTACCAATGATTTGATACTTGCATTGCCTTTGCCCTGTCCTCCTTTTGGCGCCGTTCTCTGGCCTAACACTGGTGGTGAGACAAGACCATGAAGGAGGCCTTCTCCGGTGTAGCCCAATCAGTTTCAATGACAACGCGTGCATCATCAAAGTACGTGTGTTTGCATGTCTTACCACAAGCGTGATGTGGTTAATGCAGACTACTGGTGCTTGAACATCTTAACGCCTCCTGCGTTATTGACGGAAAGGGTAAAGCCTTTTTTCTTACTACTCGATGAGAGTGAATGAAATATCCTGAGATAACCTGTTCATATTACGCTGATTATCGTACGGTGCGAAAGAAGTTCAACACACATACATAGTGACCCGCCAGCATGAGCAGAATACTGGGGGTTCAACTGTGCGCGTCCGCGGTGTGAATAATAACCTCCGCATCCACGTCGCTCGTGAGCGGGCCGCCCTGCAGGGCGTCCACCGTCTCTCACCTGCGCGCCGCCTGGCTGTTGAGCACGACGCTGTACAGGTACGCCTGCAGGCCTCGCTGCCGCACCTCCAGGAAGCCGGGGTGGAAGTTGTCGCGGAGCCAGCGTTTGGGCGGCAGCTCCATGCGCAGCTCGGGGAAGCTCTCGCGCAGCTGCCGACACCGGTTGTCGACGTCGTCCGAGTGGTTTTTGGGCCAAAACCGCGAGGAGCGGAGGTCAGATCGGAAATTGAAAAGCGGCCGCTCGTGAGCCCACGCGCCACGGCTCGTCGTTTCCGCTCCCCGCCCGCACCTCAAATCGTGCTCCGTCGCGCGTCGCAACAAAAATCGGATCGCCACGTTCCCCACAATGATGCACCTGTTAATATTCAGGCCACGCGGTCGCGAGTTAAAGCGCCGCTTGTTGACCGTCCTTGGGTACGCGTGCCGTTCGATTCGGTGAACGAAATGTCATGATGAAGAGGCTGAGAACGGTCATGCATATGCACGGCTTACGTAACGCTTTCCAACTTGGTGTGTTTATCTTAGGGGGGGGTATTTAATTAGCCGTGCAGATGCCGACTGGCAGCCGTCAGGGTATGACGTGTCTCCATACTTGTAAACAGTCCTCTGTGCCTTGGGTTGTGTTTCTAAAGTTTGGGAGATCCTTTGATCGATGTGGCCAGTTTTGAAATTGGGTCAGTCACTAATAGCAATTCAATATTCAACTCCAACTTTATGCATATTGGATCACCTACATGAGAGTTACAGTGATGCTCTCACCACATTACCGATGGACGGGCGGAAGGGTTGAACAGATAAACAACCTTAGTTTGAAAATGGTTAAGGGTGAAAAACCCAGAGCAGCATACGAATGCGGTTGCTTGCATTCTGTTTTAATAAAGCACAAATAAGGCAAAAATTATTAATATAATTTTAGCTTGTCTATGTCCGAATAGGATTCAGAATGCCTTGAATTGGACATTTTCAGATATAATATGAAATTTAAATGTAAATTATAAGGAATCAGTCAGGGTTTTATTACTTTTTATAATTTAATTTTTTTTGAGAATATGGATGGTAAAGGGCACTCAAGGCAAGAGATGGAATGAAATTACGAGCAATATATTTTTAAAATGTGGAGAGGTTAAAAGGCTTATGATGAATTTTGACTGAAACAATGTTCCTTTTCTAATAGATGCTACATAATTTAATTGGAATGTCCCAGTGCTAATATCACATTACTATTTAATGATGAACCATTTGAGAAATGTTTTCAAACAGCAGAGGGAGTGCGTGCGGGAGCGTGTGTTGTTCTGGAATTTGTACAGAGCGACTTCAACGTTTCGTCAGATTCACAGATTCAGACGTTCGCTGAAAATGCCGAAATACATCGCCTTGGCAATTTACCCGATCGTTGGCGACAGGGGCGATGACACATTTTCGCTAAAAGTCGGACGAACGGGAACATTCACAAACACGCAAATTGGGCCGCTTGTCATTTGATGGTGCTGATCAAAGCACCATCACACGAACACTGATAAGCATAAAAATAGACAATAAAAACGATAATTACATGCACGGTTGGCTACGTACAGTGTGAAAGAAGTTATACATACGTAGATACATCATGAATGTGATTTATGAAAGGCGAAGGATGAAGGTGCAGTGCGGTGACTGATTTCCCACATCCCCTATCTAGTTGGAAGCTACTCCACTGGAGGGACATCTGAGGAACATCTCCAAAAGGGTGTTTTGGCCTACTCTTTTCCGCGCTGGTCAGACCCCTTGAAAGAGGTGGGAATGCTCACAATCTACCCCCACACCAAATACAACCACGTGATTTACAAACGTGCGGTGTACACTGTTATACTGCTGTGTGTACATGAACAACAATCACTTGCGAACACATGGCATTTTCTCACTGATAATAAAACATTTTTTTTTACAAGCCATCTGTTATTGGAGACAATTTTGTCGAGTAATTTTTGAAGTCACAAAATTGGAACTAATAAGGTTGAAAATTCACGTGAAATATCATATTCGTTGCGCTGTTAAATAATAATGTTTCGCTCTGCTGAATAATGACAATCGCTTGTTAGCTCCGAACGTAATTTCTGAATGGCCAGGGGGATCAAATCGGTCATCGGTCGTACACTTTAGAAGAATTGTAAGCGGCAAATAAATAAGTAAAGCTTCAGCGCAAAAGATAATGGAGGCCGACCAAGAAAAAGCGAAACGTGGCACTGCACGTGTGCAGCGGTCGCGTAGCGGCGTGCACACTGCAAGTCGAGCCTCACATCGCACCGATATCGGAAACCAGTCCTTAGCTACTCCTCATTACAAGACTCGCGCTGACCAGCGTAGAGAAGTATGGTCACAAAACCCCCATGACCGAAAGGACGCGAGGTCTTCATTCAGCAGTGGATTGACAAAAGGGTTGCGCATTATATTACATAGTCACGTGCATACATGGCTTAGCCCTTTGGATCTATTGCCATGTCAGATGTAAGGAGCGAGATGCATAATGCCCCAGAGATTTGAATGCCGGAGATGACGAAAAATAATCGAAAGAGAGATGTTCGCAGGTGAATTGAGTTTGACGGTCACAACCCATGCAGATACGCCTAACAAATGGAAACAGATTTTAAACAATATTGAAAAACACACTCCCCCTTCATGGCCATGATTTAAATACATTTCTCTGACCGGCATTTGGGTTAGGAGATGAGATGCGTAGAAGGGGGGGGGGGGGCGACCGATAATGTCGACACGAAAAGTGATTTTTCCAGTTGTGTCCAATTGGCAGCACAGAACCGAGAGCGCACAGTGTGCAATTTACATTGGCCAGGATGTTCAATGAGCATTCCTGATATGCTCCACACGATACACCGATTGGTTATTCAGCTATATTGCATAAAAAGGCATTATGCATTGCGGAGCAATATGGGTGAAAACCTATATAAGCAAAACTCCCATTCTACATCTCCACATAAGAATAGCCCACGGGCTTACTTGGATTCCAGACCAGTATTATCCAGCAGTATTTGTTTCAGCAAGAAAACTTTGGAACCTGTTTCACACTTTTGGGTCTCATCATCAAGCAGGCTTGTTAAACACATGCTTCTGGGTTATGACGTGTTGTTGGCAGGCACACTATCTAGAAAGGTCTGTTTCGCTTAATAACCCTTACCTCTCAAGAAAGTCCGAGTCTAAACAATGGGGGGCATGAGGAGCTAACTCAGCACTACCCTGTCCAGCCATTGACTGTTTTAAGTAATATCAGAGAGTGTTTCAAGAACAGAAGATACTCGTCATCTGTCAGCTGTCGGTGCGAATTTGATTAAAAAATAATTGCCTAGAGAATTGGCATGATAATCTGATTACCATGTGCAATTTGTGTCTCTCCAGTTTTGCTGCTAAGTGCCATACACATCGCATAACCAAGGACAGCAACGCCCTTGCGCGTGTGCATATGAGAAGGGCATCGAGTGAGCGGCGTGCACAACACCAAACGCTCAACTCACCTGACTCTCACTGGACACTGGCCACTCGCCTTACGCCATTGACCTGGGACTACTCACCACTCGCTTAACTGTCACTAAACACCGACGCTTATCACTCGCCACTCGCCACGCACTCGGTGATCATGCACCAATGGCCGGGGAGTGTCAAATCGGCCGTTTACATTTCCAACTTCACAAAAGCAACTGCCCAATCGACATATAACATTCCCCACTTCATATAAGTCTCTTTACCCACTGCCCACCCCTCGCACCTGAGCTGAGTGTGCCGGCCGGTCCAGCGTTTGGCGCGACTAAAGAATCCAGCCAATCGCTCAGCGCAGGTCACGTGACTTTGAGTGACGCCGGACAACGCCAGGGGCCGTTCCGATTGGTTGCTGACGACGAACATTCACCGGATGGACGGCATCGTTCGAGCGCACGCCGGGTACGGTCGAGGTTCAAAACGAGCGGATGAAGCGCCTACCTTGTCGTGCAGTCGGACGAAGTCTGCGTACCTCCGGAAGACGATCCAGCTGTCGTGCGCGTTCCGCTCCACGCGCACCTTGTACACCTGCAAGCCACGTGACAGGACAGGGTTGTCTGCAAACGCCCAGTTACCCGCGGGGTCATCTGGTTTTTCCCTCCAGATTTAAAATGAACATGCGTTCAAGAGCACTTTGCTGCTATGAATTTCCACACGATGATAAGCCAACTTCGTTGGGCTATCATTTGCGGGCCGCTTCTGAAACAAATAGCTGTGTAGCTCAGTGGGGGCCTTACCCAGTAAAATAAAAAAAATATATTTTAGTTTCAATGGGTGACCGTGGCTTCTGTTGTGCGGCAGTTGTGAAAATTCGGTCACAGTTCCTAGGACCACTGTTTCATTGCTTTTATGGCTTTATTTTGGTGATTTTCTAAAAGTTTTTTGGTTTGGCCATGTTTGTTTGTTGTAGTACAGAGTTAGACTGATGGCCTTAATCTAAGTTGTCTTGTGGTTGTTGTTGTTTAACTTGCATCCCACTGGGATATTTGCACAGGATTGGTGTACGGTGATTTTTTCTGCAATATTTTGCTGTCTTTTCTTGGATTTTCTGTTTGCACAGTCACTTTAAGATGTTTTCTTGTTCATGTTTTTGTTTTTTGTTTGTTGCGGTTGCACCCGATTCAAGAGCCGAATGGCTCACAGGGCTATACCTAATAAATGAACTTTGAGTTCCACGGCTGTGTAACGAGCGCCCTGCCCAGCGTCATTCGGGGGGCGAGGGCGGCGTTCAGACCCCCGACTCTGCACGCGCTTTATTCTCTCTCACTTTGTAATCTCTGAATTAGCATCTATTTATTTGCCGTCTTAGTTTTTCCTCCCCTTGGCCTGCCATGTATTTTTATTTCCGTGACGTACAGCGCCTTGAGTAATGAGCAGAAAGGGCGCATTTTTATAATGTAATTTATTATGATTACGAATCTTACTCTCAGTCGCATTACATTTCCGTGGTGGCCACTCCATCTAACTCGGAGTGACTTATCAAAGTCACTAATCGTTATGCACCCTTTCAGAAAACTGTTAACCCGTCCGGGCTTCGCCACTGCGATGGGGTTTCCATCAACTCTGTCGGTGAAGGAAAAGTTACTTTTGTCATTTGAGGCAGTATACGACTCCACCAAATGCTGCGCAAGGCGCAGGCACACACAGCCACTCAGCGACTATTACTATTGCATGTGACGCATTGCAAGGGCAAGCAAAGGTACACGCCTGGTTTCATCTGACCCAAGAGTAAAGTGTGCAGCTGCAGTCAGCATTTACATCACGCCCTGATTGATACAATTCAATATATATATTTTTTATAATGATAATAATAATTATAAAACGAACCACAGCATGCCACGTAGTCTATGCAGTCTATGCAGCATTCCATCGGCAGAGGCATGTGTCGCAAATTCGGTCACAGATTGATTTTAACGGCGACAATTTGGATCTCATCGCAACTGCATTTCAGAGACACCTGCAAGAATGAACTCTGTTATCCGACTTGTTTTGATGCCATCGAGTTTGCGCTTTTCCCATTTTCTCAATCTCACTCGTAGTTTGTGTTCGCCCGGTTATCCAAAGATGGAATGTTTCCGTACGAGCTCCGTACGTTTTGCGCCAATATTTAACCGATCAATTCTCACGCGCACGATTCGATGCGCGTGTCACGAGCATCAGACTCGACTTGAATCAATCATTCAATGTGTCATTACATGTCCAATGACGAGCACATCGTCATCATCATTATCAGCCATAGTTAATCCTCTGCTGGATGAAAGCCTCCCCAACACGTTACCCATCTCTCATGACCCTACGACGTAATAATCCACATAGCACCTGCAGATCCGCTGATTTCGTTGCTCCATCTCCACAACAGAACTCCGAATCAGAGGCGTTTCATTATTTGGTTACCACTCCGTCGCTTTATGTTTAGACCATCGGCCGTCATCCCTTCTAGTGACGCACCCTGCCCAAGCCCACGTTCTTTTTCTCAGCGGTCTGAAGGGCGTCGTTAACCTGGGTGTCTTCTCAAATCCATACCTTCCACTTTCTGTTTCTCGACATCATTTTACAGGGTGCACATCTCCTTCATACACTCCGTGCTTGGGTCCACTTTTTCAAAAAAGTTCTTAATGGTCACGTTGATTGTGAACCGCGTCTCTCGCAGAGGGCAATACATGCCATGATTAAAACCTTTCTTCTACAGGAACATTTGTAATTTACTTTTCATTATTAAATTCCGCTCTTCAAAATCACTCCAACCTTCTCTCGTCCGCCTCTTTATTTAATCATTTTACTTGTGCTGTGCTTTCAACAGCCATCCTTGGCGCGCGCACACACACACACTCTCAAGCAATGTGCTACAACGAATTAAAATACAGGCTACGGACTCGCCGCTAATTTCTAATTAATTCCCACCTCATTATCAATTCCGAGCACCACTGCGCGGCGCGGCGTTCGCACTTAACGCCGTCCTCGACTCGACAACGAAGCCTTTGCCGCAGCATATGCAGCGGATCGCGCCGGGCAGTGGCGGTGATGGAGCGCGCGTGCGCCGGGCGCGCGTGCGAGATCACATGGCCCGGTTGCTTTGCGGTGGGCGGAGAGCCGGAAGATAGTGTCAAGATAAGCAGCGATGGTGGTGGTGGGGGCCGCGGGATGAAGGCAGCAGTTAAGGGAAAAAATGAGGATGAAAAAAAATGCCATTACCATAAACTGCCCGCTACGCCACCCCGCACTGCTGAATCTTTTAGAGGAGAGACGATGACCCGGATGGCTCGTGACAACAGTTTAATCTACGAAATGTGCTTATTGTGTTTTATATATAAGTACATACTTACGTGAATAAACAAACAAACGAATGAATGCACGCACAATCCTGGGCTGTGGGTGTAGCAAGGAGCTCGGTGATATCGCAGGTACAATGAAAATGTTTAAATAGTAAATAGGCGTCTCTGGCTATTATCTAGACGATGTCTTCCATAAACATCCGCTTGCTCCCCCCGCACCCTCCCATCCACCCTCCGTGTTTCTCCCCCCCTCCCGCCCGTGCCATTGAATTTACCCAATGTAATTAAAAAGCACACGGTCAAGCAAACGTTATTTGCAAAAACAAAAATAAATCCCAACTCCGTCAGAAGACAGGGATTACTAAAGATTGGGACTGCTGCAAAAGCCAGGCGGGGGGGGGGGGGGGTAGAAGTAAAAACCAAAACCCCAACATCCACAACGCTTTCGATAAACCCCTGGCATCCTTGCCCAACAAAAAAAAAACACGGCATTTTTACGACAAATAACTGATTTGTCGGAGCGGGGACGATGTATTGTTGTTGTTGGCGATGCCGGGCACCACCGTCACAGGTCCCGGGAGAGGACGAAGCCACGGCGGTGGAGGGAGTCGCGTCTTTGCCCCGCGGTCCGTTTGATCGCGAGCGGCGCACACAGAGGGCCCTCGGTTAGACTTCACAAAAGCGGACAAAGAAGTACGGGGATCCATCGGGCCGTTTGATGTGTGGGCTTTCCCAGAGGGCCGTCTGCCGTGCCCGTTGAATCAGAGTCTTAGATCAGCTCTTGTGCGATCGAGCGCGTCCGTGTGGGTGAGTGTTCGCGCGTGCGTGTGTGTGTTCCCACGCACATTTAAGTGTATCGTACACGCGGCACGCCCGCGGTAGATCTCTGTCTCTTGATTGGCACTCCTGTGAGCGACAGAGCGGTGTTTCGCCATCGTGCAACTCCAAGCAACCCGTCTTTTTTTTTATCGACTTAAGGAAAATAAAAAAAATCCACCCGTTCGCCTCGAGACATCAGAATGCAAAAACGCGGGGAGCCACACGAATCGCAGCTGTGCGCGAAACGTGTTCCTGTCGATATTAGCTATTTTTTTTTTGTCCCTTTTCCCTTCGTTCAACAAAACTCACCCGCCGTTTGAAGCTCTGAACTGACCAGGCCGCACGTAGGTCAACTCCTGCCCACCTCTGCCCTGTCTCGCTCCGCAAATCGCACGTCCGCTTTATTTGCCTTTGGGTTGTAATTATACCCCCCCCCCCCCCCCCCCACGTGGAAAGGAGCACAATTGACGCTTTTCAAAGCGAGCGTTGGTTTTTTTTGGGCGCTTTCAGAATAATCCCACGAGGTTATAGTGCAGTTTTAGAGCTTCAGCTTACAATTAATGGCACTCCCCAACAAGGAATGCTACTTCCCACCTCACATTGTCGTGTAAACTAATTGGGGGCACGAGCCCTTCGCGATGGTGCGCGTGCTCACGGCACTTTCTGCTCACCACGGAGCTGGTACCGGCGGCATCGGCTTAAACCGTCCCCGATCGCGTGCGCACGTTTGTTCACGCCGGTGGTTCCGCATGATGCGCGTTCGTAAATCGAAACTGCTAAATTTTCCGTGCCTGCTAGTTTGTCTCATTCAAGTGACCTCGGGAGAACGGATCAGCAAAGGTCATCGAGTTTGTGCATTTTCACAAGAATAAATTCCTCCCTGCTTTTTCAAAACCTAAATTTTTTCACCCGCCCCCCCCCCCCCATCCTTAGGGTTCCATAAGCTTACACACCGACCCAAAGACTCGCACGCACTTACGTGATCCACATACTGACGTACAGATTCAGCAGAGGCTTACATTGGGACCCACGTCTTCTGCTTAGGCTGAAGCCACATCACTGCAATGGGGTCGGCTCCCCAGAACGTCTTTCGCCACGCGCTGCCATTCCGCGCCTCTCCCTCCGTCGCATTCGCTGCGTCCTCGTATCTCATTCTGCCGTGCCCCTTGCACGTCACCCTCGGGCCTCCCTCTCCTCCTCCTCCTGCCCCGTGGCAACGCAAACGTGCGCGTCGCAGGGGAGAAGCCGCACGAGAGATTTTCCGCATCGCGACGGTGCGCCGTAATATAATTCGTGGCATAGAATGCGACGCATTCCCAATTATATTTTTTCCAAGCACCTTGGCGGGGATCTTTTGTTCACGTTATGCTCCCAGGTAGCATTACGGGGTGTCATTTCGCGAGGGCTTTGAAGGACGGTTCCACGTACGAATGCCAC